AGAAGTTGAATGTATTGGAGTCTGATATTTATGTCTGTTCTCAAATATAAATACATATGGCCAGGCATCGCCTCTTCTAAGCTTATTTATGCTGCTGTATCAAGATCTTATTTATTTATTTATTGTATTTTGCCCTTACATTGTGTAAACATTTCGTGGTAGAAATAGAATAGTCAGTAGAAATAGAAATGGTCCGGAACACTCCGAATAAAATCTTGTTCCAGTGTACATTCAAGAAACACATTTACACATTTACAGATAGTCACCTATTCAGCCTACAGCAGTTCAGCTCTGGCCTTTCCCTCTGAAGTTATAAGGGGTGTTTCAGCCCAGACTGAGGCACAGGCCAGCCAGTCAGAATAGAGCTCACTTACACATTAGCCTTAAAGGCACAGTAAGAAAAAAAAGGGCCTGTTTTTATTTAAAGGGATAAGAGGTTGGAAAATCGTCATTTAAAATTTTATTATGGCTGTTTTTAGTACGTAAAACCACAGAAACTTTATAAATGGACCTCAGGGGGAATGAATTACAAGCTAGAAAAATGCAGGATATAGGCCCTTTTGAGTTATTGTGGCATTGGCGTAGAGTTAGACACAGGGCGTGTCAAAGTGCTCTTTTATTAAACACCAGCTGAAAAGGCACATAATAACACAGTGGGGAGGTCATAAACTGCTATACATGTCTTCAAGGTAGACACTCAACCTACCTAAACCTGCGTCCCGACATACAATAACACAGGTAACACATGACACATCTTTAAAATAACAGTCAGAAAAATAAACAACAATTCCCATTTTCAGATGGTGAATGCCTCCCAAGAGCCTACTCGCATAGCCTTTCACATGACCATGCCTCCCGAGCCTCTACAGCAGTGCGAGCCAGTACACTGTTAGAAATTAAGGTACTGTGCAGGTACATTTTTTGTTCACTAAGGTACAAACAATGTAAATATTCCCTCAAAGTTACAACAGTGGTTTTAAGGTCCAATTGTGTACCTTAAATGTGTTTTTCCAAGGTAAAACATATGTATTTGTACCTTTTCATAACCTGATGTTTTAAAATAGAATAACAAAAAACACCCTGAAAGTGAGACAGGGTGTTTGGAGTACAATATAGAAAATATAATTTCAATGGATTATGGTACACTTAAGTTCTCTGTCTAAAGGTACTGAGCTGTACCCTTGAGAGTACCACCCCAGTAACAAGAGTGATAGTTTCGTACCTTTATTTCTGAGAGTGTAGCAGTACACTACAGTGTGAACGTTTCTTCAGAGATTATGGAGATACAAGGTTTTCTTATAACAGCAACATTTTCCTTGTGAGTTATTTAGCCAAAGCATGGGTGGTGGCTACTGGCCTGGGAGGCAACACATTCCTGAACTTTCACCTTTCTAAAACAACAGCCTCAGTGCATTCTCAGGTACAGCACTGATTAGATGTATTTTCATGTCTGTCTGTGTTAAGTTGCTTGTTGACAAAAATGGTCCCAATTAGTGGCACAAGAACATATTAACTCATGTTAAAAACCTCAAAATTACCTGGTTTTTTTTTGTTTGTTTTCCTTCCATTATTTTCATTTTTTTGTTTTGTTAGTGTACACTTGAAGTTGATGCTTGAATGTCTGTGCCGCCATGGCAACAGATATTCGGTATCTTAGTAACAAAATTCATTCATTGTGAGTGATGCGAGGCAAGATTCTTTATAATGACGCAGCATGAATCCTGCGCATCAAATCCTCAGCAACATTTAACCTTTTTATTAATAATGGAGCAGGATGTGACATTGTGGCTGAGTGTTAAGAAATGATCGGAAGGTGGGAAGACAGAAATACTCTTATTATGATTTAAGGATCGGACACTTGCAGCGGGTGTATGTTTGCATAACCTGAAGATTTGAATGTTTACATAACCGCCACCCCCTCACCCCAGCCAGCTCCTTTCTGCATCTGCTATAGGTCTGTACATTACTGTACTATATGTTCTGAGATGAGGACAGAAAGAATGTGATAATTTAGGTGAAAGGTTCAGAAGAAGGTAATTTGTGACACAGTTTTTCTCCAGCCATGCTCCAATTCCTCATTGACAATCACAGGGAGAGATCTGTTCATCTGTCGATTCGTCCATTCATGATTGTCAGTGATAATTTGTTGATAATACCGCTAAAAGCCTGATTGTGACGTGTGCGAGGAGGGGGCAGAGAGGAAATTAGTGCGTCCCTGACCCAGCTCTACTTTACCCCTCTACACCCACAGAAATAGACACAGAGACCTTTATTAACATTTAGCTGGTAAAAATAACAAGGCCTTACTTCTAAATTTGGAGTCAAATGGGACATTTCCTCTGTTTGTGACATTCTCCGTGTTTGTTTGTTATTCTTGTTATTGTTTTTAATGATAAATAACAATAAACATACTAATGACCCCGAGCTGATTGTGTTTATGTAATTACTGTTACGCTAAACCAAATTGGGTTCAAATTAGCATCTACTGGCATGTCTATGTATTGCCATGAGACCCTGCAAGTACTGGTTTATGGGATTCTCCTGTTGAAAAATACCCAGCAAATGTGAATCTAAAGATAGTAGGTACCTTAACAGATAGACCTCAATCAAACGCCTGAAAGGGCAGTTAACGAGACAGTCTGAGCATGTGTTTCATACCCCGTAAGTCACATGTCCATTAGGCTGTGATGGCCCGGGTTTCACTCTACACTATGTCCCGCCTACTCCCATCTGCTGCTCTACCCACCAGCCCTCTGTGCCAACACCAGCCATCAATGAGCTCATCTACACCCTGCTGGACATCCACACCGCAGATCATAAGCAGCAGTGTAATATTACACACACTCACTCATTCACACACACCCACACCCCCAACATACATATAATAACCAAAAGGGAGGCCTTTGTCTCTTTCAAATGAAATAAAATGCATAATTTTGTCCTTGTCCCCACAAAACCATCAACATTTTCATACAAAAAACATTTCCCCCTTCTTTTTCCTCATAACGTCAAATTTTTTTATGATTTTTCATCATCATGGGGACATTTGATCCCCACAGCTAGCTAAATACATCCAAACACACTCAAAGGTCTCTTTCATCTTTTCTTTTCCTTTCCTTCTTTATTCAGACATGAACTAACAAAATAAATATTAATTTCACCTCTTCAACATTTCTGTATTATAGCCCATTGAAGACAATTAGCAGTAAATGTGAGAATCTATCATTTTGCTCTTCATATTTCTATACTATACTGAGTGACAGATTCACTCAGTCTTCACTTACATTATTCTTTTTTCAATCTGGCAACAAAGTTGGACTTTTCTAAGCTAGCTGTACTGCACTCGTGCCATCTCTCTGAAAACTACGCCTCTCACATATCTCCAGCAGTTTATGTGTCTGTGTTACACTGTCACCCTGTGGAAGTATTTGATTAATGCAGTCAAGAGATTTGCTCACCCTAAATACGATTTAGAACAAAAAATAGAACAAAAAAAAAGGCTAGGGTACTGTTTCACAAGCATCAAGCAGTGGGGGTCATTATATTCCAGACCATCTCTGTATGTCCCGGGCTGTAATCCTCCTAAATATATATATGAATATGGACACACAATGCAGTGCAAAAGTCAGAGAAAACACATTTGTTTATTCAATTTCCAGTAAAAACAGCCATTAAGTACAAGTTATTCCGTGTCAGAAACAGAAGCAGGAAACATATTTAATAGAAAATTACACAGAAGCCTCAACAACTAAATATTTTTTTTAGTATTTATTGCTTTTGACCAGCGGGATATTTTTCAGGTTTATCAAATCTTGCAGTATTTACTTTGTCCACTATTTTTGCACCTACTACAACTTTAAATCTGTGCTCTCCCAATAAAAGCTGTTCTCAGAACTGTCACTGATATTATGTTCCCCTTCAAACAGACACTGTCATTCACACAAGCAACTACCCAAACACACCTTAGCTGCCTTACAAACTTCTTTCTCTAAAAAGGCTAAAGAAGAAATTTCTCAGATCACATATAAGAAATCTACCTGCGTAATGAAAGTCAAAGTAAGTGAAAAAACAGTAAAGAAGTTTCCAAAACTAGACTTGAAACAAAACAGAGAAGCTGAAACTCCTGACAACTGGCAAAACCTTGAAGACCACCAAAAATGTCACCATCAGATACACAGAATTTTCGTCTTTAAGAGAGAGGAGAAAACCAAGCTTCACTCTTCATTCAGATCTGAAAACTCCACAGGTGTTTCTGTCCATCCTTCCACTGTGAGAAGACAACGCAATGCTATGGGTCTGAAAGGATGTGTAGCTGTTAAGAAGCTGTAGTATTTGTTTTCTGCTTTTTTTGTAACACTGAACAATGAAAAGCTTGAAGTTAAGGGTCATTTTGACTCGGAATAATAGTTTAAGGGATAGTCTCAGACTTTTGCACAGTACTGTACACAAATCTACCTTACTTTATTTCTTCTCTGTAGACAACGTCAGCATGTATTGGCAGGCTGCACATCTGTTTATTTTGTTTGTATTTTATTTAGTGTATTGAGTATTTTATATATGTTCTGTATTTTTATTGGAATTTGTTTTGACACCTGTAGTAACAGAAACTCTTTGTACTAGGCAAATAACATTTTGTACTTGGCAAATATGGTTGCTGACTATGATCATTGGGGCAGTTTGGATCATTGGGACAATTTGGACAATTTGTTTCAAAAATAATTGTTCTTGCTTTCAGTGGCTTCAGTGGCCTAGTTTACTGACCCAGTCCTGACATCAAAACTCAGGTCCTGCCTCTGTCTTAAGAGGACCTGCACTGGATGAATAAAAATAAATCCAAGTAAGTGAAGTAAGGAAGTGGCCTATATTTACCTGAAGATGTAGCACTAGAGAAGACAGAAGAAAGGAGGAGGCTAATAACATGCATGCGGATAGAAGAAAGAGTGGAGGTTAGTGGCATACACGCATGTAAGGTACTCAAAGAAGACAAAGGCACACAGGTAGGACCTTGAAACACTTTATTCCCATTAGAAAACATGATAGTCCTTTTGTACGTATTAGAAAAAAAATCAATGATCTATATTTGTTCTTTGGCATCACCGAGATGAAACAGCATCTAGAAAACTTGATCAATGCACTGACCTCTTTGGAACACTTATATTGAAACAAGGGTGTTATCTATCAGAAGTCACATTCTATAGATCGATAAAGTGGTTTAAGACAGTTTTCAGGCCTTCTACAAGTAAAAAAGGAATGTATATTTTATTGTCAGTTCCTGGTTTGCTATTGAGCTGATGCATTTACCCAAATCTGTGATAAAGACCTCTCACTAAATTACTCAAAAAGTCTTTACAACTTGTAGAACTCTGCAAAGTAAAATGATAATGATATTGAGATAAATCATCTTCAAGAAAGCTAAATTTACTCACATGGAATTCTGAATGAGTACATTAACACCTGAGGTTTTTGTGTGTGATTGAGTGTATTATATGTATGAGTCTATGGTGAGAAAGTGAGAGAAATGAGTGTACCAATGATTTAGCACCTTCCAGAATAAGCCCACATTCATAGGCTAAAGTAAGAAACACAGGAACAAAAAAAAACATTTCACAGGTTTGCTAGCCCATAGAAGTGTGTCAATTTTCAGGAACAATCTCAGTGCCAATTTTATCCCTTTCTCTCATCATTATTACTCACGCTGACTTCTCCCAGCACCGCACCACACATCTCATCTTTCTCATCATCTGCTTACTTTCTCCCTCACTCTCCCTCTCTGTCTCTAGAAAGCATAAGGCCCCACATAGACGGAAAGGCGCAGGGTTGAGCTGCTCTGGTAGCTCATCAGAGGGTTGACAGACACCATCTCCAGGTCCAAAACGTACTCTTTAGGTCCAGTCACTTCCCGGGCCAGCACGAGCATAGCACTGACGTTGTTGATTTGCTAAGAAGATAAAAGAGAATGACTTAGTCTTGCACTTTTCTGTTCTTCATGAATCAGTTATGTTCCCTTAATATGTCTGGAAGAGAATGTAGTACTGAGAAAAAAAACTGCCATTTTTGCTTAGAAGATAAAGGAATGCCATACAATTTTGAAATATAAGTAAGCTGATATAGAGTAAGACACAGATTCTGATTCTTGTTCAATCAAGATTTTAAGGCAGCCCAGACCAACTAACCAAACCTCACTTTTTAAAGTTAAACCCTAATGTTTTATTACAGTGAAGATTTTGATAGCTTGCAATAGACTACATTAAGTGATTGGGGGTTGCTTGTTACTTGTAACTTGTTCTTACTCTGTACCATAAAAAAGAAACTGCTTGTTGCACAGACAGACTTTTTGCTCTGTTTCAGTTCTATTTTTAACATGTCTTCTCCAACTTCACCACTGGAAAGTTTGTCACACACAGGCTGTGAAATGCCACCCCCCTTTAACCTCTTCAATCCCCTGAATGGCCCAAAATTAAAAAATTGTGGTCCCTGAAAATAAACTTCTTATGACATTATGCTGTCCTTTAAGGGAAAAAAGATGCTGTAATACAATCGCCAAGTTCCTCTCTTTGGTGTGCTCCACTAACTAGATATGCAGCACTGGTCTGCTTCAGGGTGGCGCTGTATCAAACTGTTTAGCCTATATGCTACAGCATATTTGTAAATTTGAAAACTTGCCTAATTTCCCAAGAGAGTAGTAGAAAGAGTCAATTGTTGTTCATTTTTCAAACCAAAGACAAAAGGGATGTGTAAGATCTCAATGAATGTGTGGAAGACTGCATTACCAAACTGGAAACTAGGGGTATTTTGGACATTGGTCACACCTATGTGGCCACTCGCAGTACAAGGGGAGGATGGGACAATGAAGAGCAGATTATTTAAGTGGAATGCATCAGCCCTCAGCTAGGTTAGCCTCAGTGAGCTATACAACCAGCCATGGTTTGTGATGCAAAACACTTTTTAAGAAGGTTGGACATAATGTACAGAAATTTTGTGTCTGGTTAAGCTTTGGTTTAGAACCATGGTACGTTGTCATTATTTTTGTTGTTGCTAGCTGTGTAGCCTTTAGCCTGCTAACTAGCCGGCTAGCAGAGCAAAGTAACGAAGTTGCATCAGCAGTCATGCGTAACGGAGTGGTTTGCCACCTAAAACTGATTGTGAACTTAGCAAAGCAAATGTTTTGTCTGCCACAATTTGGCATCAGGCATGAAGAGGGAATTGCATCAGGGCACAATGATTTCTGGGCAAGTTCTGCTGGTGATGCTGACACTTGTGTTCACTCGATCTCCTGCAAGGACTCATCTAATACACTTCACTTGAGCTAATGGAATGGCCCTTAAGATGTTGCCAGAGACTCCCCCAGGGGAAATGGTGAGACCAAGCAAACGAGGGCATTTTAAAACTGGTATTAAAATGGGTTGTTTGAATGATGGCAGCGCTGTGACGAGGGCAGAGAGGGGAGGGATACCCTATTAACAGGCATGCTCATTTTGATCATTACTGATTATAAGTAATATATTTACTTACCCGGATGTAGAAGTCCCCAGCATCATCCCCAGAACGAATGCGGAAGGTGTTGTAAGATCCTGGATAAATGCTAGTGGCCTGGATTTGGAAGATATCAGAAGGCACGGAACGCTCAGAGGTGATGCTCATGTAGCGAAAAACTATGGAAAAGGGCAGATCACGGCATTCCGGCTTTACCGATGGACACACACAGCGACTATGGAGTTAGAAAGAGAGAGAGAAAGAGAAAGAGAGGGAGAGATAGAGGGAAATAGAGAGAGAGAGAGAGAGATGGAGGTGAAGAACAGATCACCTGGTTACACATACACAGAAGGCTTCCTGTGTGGCCTCTTTGACCTCACATCATTTTGAGGCCTGTAAGCAATTATTTGAGCATTCAAAAGTTTGAGACTTTTGTTTAAATGTTTGGAATAAAAGGTTTCAAGAATTCAAATAGAAATTAAAAAATCAATTTGGGTGCAGACAAGTGCAGCTTCACAGGTTTCAAATAATTAGTAGGAACCTGTAAAAATGAACAAATTTAAAATATTTCCAAAATGACTGAGAGAGCTGTATAACATCATGAATGAAGTTCTAATAAAATTAACATCTAGACAGCCTTGAATTTCAAAAGTGGTAATCAAACCTCAAAGCAAATAACAAACTGTCCATGATTTAATAACATTTTGTTGTTCCCAAAATACTTGAAATACTGAAATATCACAAGAAGGAATTTCCTGTGTGTAATTCACAATATATATACATTGTACATGCTGTATTACGCGTGCAAAAGTCTGTAAACCCCTGTTCATCCATTATTTTCTACTGAAATCAAGGGTATTAACTGGACGTTTGTCCACTTTTGCTGTAGTAACAGTCTCACACTAGATGTTGGAACATTGCTGTCATAATTTTATGAGAGCATTAGTGAGGTCAGATATCAATGTTCAATATATATATATGGGGCTTCAAATTAGCTTAAGCTAGATGCCCTATATACATTACATGTGTTGCATTCTATGTTTATCTGTACTGTCCCTGTCAAAAAAACAAATAATTAATAAATAAATACAAAAATCAAAAACATCACTCCAACTCACAGTACAAAGGTACTGGCACTTCAGAAAGCACAGTTCCACTGCTCCATGACCCAGTGCTGGGGGGGTTTAGACCCCTTTAGCCAACACTTGGCACTGGGCATGGTGACCTTAGGTTCTTGTGCAGCTTCTTCAGACCATCCCATTCTATTGGCAGTGCTTTTCTATAGAGATTATACAAACTGGATGTGCACAATTGAGCACAGTTGTCAGCAATGGGCGCACCTTAAAGTAGCTGAATTTACTAATTAGAAGGAGTGTATGGATGCCTGTTGACATTGTGTAAGTAAAAATAAATGCAAGTGAAAACTGCTCCACTGTGGACCAGTGGTGTGTGTGCATGCGTGTGTGTGTGTGTGTCACTCACTTCTCTGAGACTTGGACGTAGGGGTCCTGGCAGCGATTGGAGTCCACACAATGGTATCCTCCATGCACATTTACACAGTTCTGTCCTTCTGCACACTGATGACTGCCTGACTCACACTCATTCACATCTACCACAAGCAGGAACATGGCAAAAAAACAAAACAAAGTGTGAATGGGCGGATTCTGAGAGATCGTATAAGGCAGGATGAAGAAGCTTGAATTGTTGCCTTGATGAGTCACCACTCCCATTGAGTGAGAGCAGTAGGTTATCTTACTCTCAAAATAAAGCCTTACCCTGGCAGAGCCGCGTGCCCAGGAGCTGGTATCCCTGTGGACACACACAGGAGAATTTGCCTGGTTCGTTCACACATTGAAACTGGCACAGGTAACTCGAGTAACTGCACTCATCGATGTCTGCAGATGAGGAAAGAGAAAAGGAGAGATAAAGATAAACAGAGACATACTTAAAGCAAAAACTCAGACTTAAACTATTTTCTCCTCACCCCAGACTAATGGCAAACCGTGATATTAGAGCTAGCCCTAACGTCAGTGCACATGAAAATTTATTGTCTGTTCTAGAATAAACACTGACATTTGATGGTTCCAAATCATACAGTTGCTGCTGCTGTTTTACACATATTCACAGTTAGTGATGTACCTAGGGCTTCACAAAACTTCAGAGTGCCATTCTTTCTCAAAGAATTGGTCCCTGAATTGATTTGTAAATGAATTTGTTGATTCCTTAATTATTTTGGCAATTAATTTAATGCAAGGCTTTCTGTCCAGCTTCTGAAGTCTTAACCATTGGGAGAGTTTGCTTTGTTGTTTGGTTGTGTCTACTTAGACACCAGGGGAAAAAATCTGATTGGACCATGTTCTGTTGGGCCCTGAGGGTTCCCCACTGTCCCAAACATCAGCCAAGATATACTTGTTGTAAGATTGCTTCTTTAGCTTTACTTATGCTACAACACTAATGGTGCCAATAAGTGGTGGAGGCTTCTCAGTTAGCAAACTGCATACCTAAATCATCACAGACTTGGCTCAAATCTGGTGGAGTTGTTAAGTCATTTCAAACACACTTGCTTATGTGGTTTCTGACACTGTATGACAGACTGTTATCTTAAAAAATAGACAAAAGTACAAACAAAATTCAAGCTTCAAAATAGCTGCTACTACTGCTTTTAGCTACGTGGTAACCTTTTGTCCATTTCTGAAGATTAACAGTATGTTACACAGTATAACCATATAAACAAGTCTTTTTAAGATTACTTAACAACTCAACATGGTTTGAGGCAAATATGTGATTATTTAGGCATTCAATTTCACAATGCTAATGTGTGGCCATAAGCTTCAATTACTTGCTATACACGTTAGCCTAATATAGGCTAGAACAAATCTAAAGAAGCATGTCTTGGCTTATTGACTAGTAATTACATAAGGAAATTTATTTTTGGCCATATCATCCCTTTAACAGACAAAACAACATGAAACAATTCAGTATAAAAAGGACAAGAAGAACACATACCATTGCATGAGAAGCCATCAGGGCCAAGGTCATAACCCTGCTCACAACGACACAGAAACGTCCCATAAGTGTTATAACACCTCTGCTGGCACGGGGCACCCATCTCACACTCATTCACATCTGGACAGACAGAGACAACACTGACCCATCACTCTCCATGAGACACTCATACATGAGAAACATGTTTTTTTTTTCCTAAGCAACAGCCAAAATTACTTGAATCCAGTTTTGGTGTGGAGAATCTCAGCACAAGTAAGGGACATGCTTTTCTTTGGACTAAAACACAAATACCAAATTGGTTCTTTTATATATACCCACAATTCCCCACAGGTTATGGAAAATCTGCTCTCTACTCTCCAAGTAGGGAAACCTGCACTGCCTTCTTCGGTATCCCATGTGAGTATGATGGGGAAGTTTCAACATGTAAAGCATTTGTCATGTGGTGTGAACTTTATCTTCAGCACCTAGACTGTTCTGCCCTGCCAGATTTTGAGATGACTTTTAATAAAACTTCTCAAAGGAAATGCCTTGGAGTAGAAAAGAGAGGGAAAAAAATGTTGAAAGCTAGATTCCTGGTTACCACGCAGGTCACATCAGCTCACGACCTCACCTATAAACCCATCTGCAGAAGTCTCTGCTAAGCCTGCAGCCTCTCTGGAGGCCTCTGCCCAGCCAGGCCCTGTTCTGTGTTTTCCCTATTGTGTATTGGTTTCCTCAATGCCCCTTAGTCTCTTGTTTTCTTTCCGTTTAAGTATTTTGAGCTTTAGTGTTTTTTCCATTTAATACTTTAGAGGACATTTTTATGAATCCAGTAAAATCATGGACTTGTGCTTGCATCCTGCCTGTATGTCTCCCTAAATGTTATGACAAATCACAGAAAAACAATATGTAACCATATGGTTATGTGAGAAACTTAAGGCAAGACATTACAGGCAGAAATGACTATTTTGATTCTGCCAATCATTTTTCAGATTTTTAATGAACTGCATCTATACTATGTTAAATTATCACAAAAATGTCAAACAAAGCAAAAATTGGCAAAAATATCTCAGCTTGTGAGAATCAATGAACATAACAGAACACTTTGGAGTGAATAGTTCTAGTATATGCAATGGTTCAGAAATATCTATCACTTGTGGTCAGTAACACTAGATCAGAGTGTGAGCTTTGTGTTGGGAGCTATTGACTCACCCACACAGGAGCGGTTATTCCCCGCCAGCTGGAAGCCCGGCTCACACTGGCAGGAGAAAGATCCGGGCACATTCACACAGCGATGCTGGCAATAGCGGTACCTGCACTCGTCAATATCTACCAGCAGAGAAGAGTGTTAACACATACTGACATACTGACACTGTGAATGAAAAAAGATTCTGACTTTAGATCGGATCATATGACAGCCATTTTCTCACCAACACACTCCACGCCGATCTTGCTGTAGCCTTCGGGGCACTGGCAGGTGTAGGTGCCCTGTGTGTTAATGCAGTCCTGACTTGGCTGACAGTCATGCAGGCCCAGCGCACACTCATCCACATCTGTACACACAGACAGATGTCTGGCATAAACTTAGTACTTAAGTCATCCTCACTTCATTACATATTCAATATTCACAGGACTGTGCAAAAGCCAGACATCAATGCTAAGGTTCTGAAAGGATGTGTAACTGTCAAGAAGCCATTACTGAGAAAAGAAAAAACATTAAAAAATCAAACAAAGAAGTTACTGGTGTTCTCAGAACAATGGACTGTCCACCCCAGGGTTCATACCTCAGCATCACTGAATGTGTTTGAGATTACTTGGATCATGAGAAGCAGAAATGCAACCAACTTCTAAGACTGAACTTTGGAAGAATGGAAAAATATCCCTACAGATTTTTTGAAAAACTGAAAGCAAGTCTCTCGAAAAGAATGGAAGCTGTAATTAGGACAAAAAGTGGGCACAGTAAATATAGAAAAAATAGATATTTAGTTGTTTCATATTTATTTTTAGAAAGTTAGCAAAGGGGTGGGCAATATAACAGTATTTGCTCTTATCGTGATATATCTCCCTTACCTACGCAGGCCTCCCCCTGAGCCTCATAGCCCACAGGACAGGGGTTGAATGACTCATTGGACCCCACAGGCAGGCTGGACTCTGACTGGCCGGAGGGCTCGGGGGCGGTGATGACTGAGGCGGAGCGAGGTAGACACAGGTAACCTCCATAATGGTTAAAGCATTTCATCTCTCCCTGACACGCTCCTGTAATCGTCTCACATTCGTTTATGTCTGAGAAAAGAACGACAGAGTAAAAAGACAGTTTTAGCCTCTTGACTGGAACATGCTGACAGACTGAAAACAGACAGCGGACAAGGACGAGACGTCTGTGTGAGTGACATTTCACCAGATCATGGTAATTAGCAGACAAATGTATCATCTCATCACATCTCTCTCATGACCTGCCACCCACCTTTACAGTGCTGGGTCTGCACATCCCACTCATAGCCATCTGTGCATTCCTGACACACACACAGAAAGAGATATTTGGACACACATTTTCACAAATGCTCTGCAACCACAGAGATACTGTATGTGCAAAGATAAGCAGTTCTTCTCTGGCCTTACAAACACAGGACTAAGATGTACAGATGAAAAAAGGGTATACTGTTGATAAACATACCTGATCCTAAAGTTTAAAATTATTGCAGTTGAGCATTATTACCATACTACACAGTATGAATGGTCCATTTAATCTGTGTACTCTGAGCACATAGCCAATTGCCCACTAATTCTTCCATATCTACTGTCTTCTTTCATATCTACTATTGTGAGGTTAGACAAGCTTTAAAGTAAGATGGTGGAACCATCAGTTTAAGGAGTGTAGGCTAACATTAGCTCAATACAACATAACACAGAAATATTGCTTTTAATTGGAGCCAAATAATTTGTGTATTATGTCATTGGAACTCTATAGAATTGACTTTTTTAAACACATAAAATAAATATAAAAAATCATGATCTCAGAGTTGAAATCATCACCAAATCATGATACCAGAATTGAAAATTGCAGCAAACCTGAAAATATGTGTATTGTTACACCCCTACTTAGCATGGCTGCTACTTTTTTCACATTTTACACTGTGTATATACATTAATCACTTTTCATTACTTTTTAATTAATATTTTCTGTCTTTGTGTGAGCATTTGCAAAAACAAACTAAAAAAACACCTTCTTGGGTATTGAACTTTTCTGATTCTGACTGATTCTGGTGGAGCTTACCGTGTAAGTGTCACTCTCAGCAGCAGGTGATTGACCGTTTGCAGCAGGAAAGAGAGCCAGACAAACACACAGCAGGACGTGGGCTTCCTTCATTATTACACCAAGAACACAACTGACTGCAGGAGCAGATGTGTAGACCCTTTAAACACTCACACACTCACAGTTAAAAGGCCCAAACACAGGTGGAGGAGGGGCTGTTCACTTCACAGTATGACTGAAAGAGAGAGAGAGAGAGAGAGAGAGAGAGAGAAAAAAAAAGTAATAGGAAAAAAGAGTTAGACAACATGAGCCAGACATTCTGATGATATCATTTACTTTGGAAGTGAAAGAAAAAACGATCAGTATGCTTTTAGCAGTGAACGCTATGCTGACTGTTATGCTCTGATGAAAGTTTGCATTCATATGAATCAGCTATCAGCTATCTCTTTGTTAAAATTAGACAGCGCATGAAAAGAAAGTGTGAAGAAGAAAAATTGCCTTCTGATGTGTGGGGGCAGCAGTGTGTCTGCTGCTGCTGCTGGTGTTTGTGCTGGAACACGAGCGCTGGCCTGCCCCGAGTGAGAATAATCACACTGAGCCTTAACCAAATCAGACTTCATTCAGAAATCAGATGAGCTCATGTCCTATGTTTTTGTTCCATTTTATTTTTACCTCTGAGGTCCATTTATGACACGTTTGTGTGGTTAAATGTATCAGAAACAGCCTTTCATTCTTACATGATCCAAACTTGTCCAATCTCTCTTTATCGCTTTGTGTTCAACAGGCTGTGCCTTTAAGACTCAGATATGTATACATGTAAATGATTGTGCTGTATTGTTCCTCATTCAAAAGCAGTCTGGGTTGAAACACTCCTTATAGCTTCAACATGAATGGGCAGTGCTGACCTGCTGTAGGCTGAATTGTTTGTATTTATTCTAATGTTATATAGTGTTTTTACAAACAAATAAACACACTCATGGTCAAGATAAACTGTTCTAAATAACAAGCTAAAGTGACTTTTGCCCAGTACTGCATGTAAAGGAATTGGTGATTATGCCATCACAAAAACATTAATCCAAAATGTACTTTTTTTGCAGCTCAGGTTCCACATGTAGACCATTCTACTGAATTAGTTCAAACTGCACACAGTACAAAAAAACAACAAAAACAAATGAATAAAAAATTTAAATAAAAATTCAAATATTCAGACAATAGATATTTATAATCTATTTAAACTCAAAGAATTAATTGAGATATTTATGTTTTGATTTCTTTTAAAGTGAAGTTTAGTGAAACATTTAGATTTATTATTTATGCTGTCTCACATTTTCAGTCACTACCGAAACACAAAGAGTTTGAGTCCGTAAGTAGAGATTTATTTTAGCCACGCCCCTGCATTTTATAGCAGGGAGTGAGACTGCATCCCTGTCCCTCTTAATCATATGTTGATAAGTTAGATCCCATTGTTTTGAAGTAAATCTGTCCAAAGGTCTGAAAATCAGCATGTAAAATTAGCATTGTTACTACCAAAACAAATATTTTCTGCAATTAAGTAAACTTTTTGTGTTTTAAAGAAAAATATTGCACGTTTATGTATGTACAACTGTTCAAAGCTGTATTTGCTAGTCATGTACTAGCCAGTGTTTTTGAGTTCTGCTCAAATAACTCAATAACTTAAATTGTCACTACTGAAATATTTAGTAAAGTTTTGGAGGCTTTATTTTTGTACTGGTAGTGACAAGATGCAATGCCCAATCATTAGTTCAAGCTAAAGGATTTTAGTGTCAAGTCCAAGCCAGTTAAAACCGTAAAATGGGTTTTCAACTCTTACTTTGCATGAGTTCAGGAAATGATCTACATAACCGGGGAGTGAACATTAAGTTCTGAAACTCTAATGATGTTTACATATTACTACTAGCTTCTAGAAAAAAAAATGAGGAAAATTTAGTTTTCCATAATACGAGCCCTTTAAATAGTGTACAACACACTCAGCAAGTTTTCTTTTTAAATGCTACTCTTAAGTATATTTTAGCTCTGGCTTATTCAATTTGCCATTTCATTCCCCTCAGAGGCCTATGTACTATCTACCGTAGATGTAATATCTGCATTAGTAACAGCAATAATACGCCAAATCAACTAGAAAAGTAAGATGAGGGCCCTGAGATGAATTGCTCCGGCATTAATCAATGTGCTCTATGCTGTGATACTTTCCTGTTGATCTTGTGATTGATTTTCACTGTCATCTAATAACAAAGTCCATAATAGTCAACAATGGCTATGTGACTAACAGACAGTAGGCACTAGATAAGAGCAGATAATGAGAGCTGCAGAAATGCTGAATGCTTACTGTGAGTAACGCAGACATTTATTATTTATTCTCGTACTGATTTGCATTAAACTGTTCATGATTGGACTGTGACAGCCATCTATTAACCCTTTAAACCCCAGGGGTTCGTGTGTGAGCCCACACATGAATTTCTTCTTCACATAACTTCAGATAATGGTTTCATAGTAGTTACTGCATAATTTACAGCTGTTGAGAATTAGCAGTTAACAAAGTCTGAAGATTAATAACTGAATAATCATACTGATGTTCAAGGGGTTAAACTTAGCCAAGCAAAACAAACAGAAAACAATCTAGAACACAAGACCTGTATTCAATTAAATATCAAATTAAAACATGAATTCTGAAGCAGTACACAGGAATCTAAATCAAAGAATACAACAGTAATAAGAAACTTCAGCCACTCACTCTGTGTAAGTCTCCAGCTCCTGTATGGTAGGCTGAAGCCTCTCCTCATGTGGATTACAAACTCTCTTTGGAGTTTCTGCTCTTTCCTCCACGCCTGTGCCTCTGTGTTGGTGATATGCAGGCTCTCTTTTTGCTCCCTCTAAGTCTTCCCGCCACAGACAGCGTGCTTCCAGTTATAGCTCAATAGATGTGTGTTTATAGTGTATAGAGGAGGGGTGCAGGGCCGTGTGTGTGTGTGTGACGGAATTAACTTAAGACAGCCCACTTACCCCCCTTCTGCCACCCTTCTCCCTCCCTCTCTCCTCTTGTCTCTTTCTATCCCCCTAGGATTCAAATTCCTGGTCTCTGGCCCAAATTCCAAATTCATCTCTCATGCAGCAAGAAACACAAGCAACATGTACAGTCGCCCCACCCCTGCCTGAAATCCCTCAGAAAAACAATACACCTGGCTTTTACAAAGTCGAGTCCTTTGGAACATTTATACTCATACAACTTAATTTGGGCTCCTGAAAGCACTTTTCTTAACTGGTCTCGTCACATTAAGTTTTTTTGACACTTTTTAAACTTTTCCCTCAACGTACACTCTTTTTTCAAGTTTCTTACACGGTCCTTAGCTTGGAAGTTCTGTTCCTACACCTTATAAAGGATGGTTCTGCAAGGGTTCTTTAGTAAAGACAGGCTACTGTTATGATATCAAGCTTGTAACAATAAAAGAACCCTTTCTGGTGCTTCAGGGTTCTATAGAACTATCATCTTTACTAAAGAACCCTTGAGGAACCATCCTTTTCAAGTGTGTAAGAAACTTTAGTTGATATGGAAACTTTACATTATGTGGAGGTTCTTTAAACCTAAAAAGATTCTTCACACTCACCCCATTTACCAAAATGGATCTTGAAAGGGCCCACATCATGGAAAATCTAAATTTCCTCTTTTTTTATTAAAGAGTTTAATGTAGTATATAAATATTGCTAAAGTTCCACAATGCAGCATTCACTCCTCAGTCCATTTGTTTTGAATTCATAGTTTTTTGTTGTTATGAAAACCAAAACATTTAAATATAACCGCCTGTTCAGCCTACAGCAGTTTAGTGACGTTATAAGGAGTGTTTCAGTCCAGACTACTTTTTGAATGAGGCACAATACAGAATTGAATTCTTTTACATATATCAGGTGTATATTAGAAACATGTTCAATATCATTGGAAAATGGTCATGTAAAGATCGATTATGACTGCATTTGGAACATAAATACACACAAACATCAACAATAAAATGCAAGAAAATGTAGGATATGGGTCCTTTAAAGGACCATGTCCTTTTTTTTTAGCCCACTAAGTCCATTCATGATGTTTGTGTGAAATATGTACCAAAACTATTTGTACCAAAATTATGTGCCATAATTTATTTTCACATGACCACTGTTCTTATTGGCTGCCATGTATTGTGCCTTTTTCAAAATGCAATCAGGGCTGAAACACTCCTTGTAACTTGAATGTGAATCTGTTGGACTTACGTGATGTAGGCCCGACAGGCAGCTACATGTAAGTGCATTTGTTTTTGTGACATCACAAAAACAATGAATGCAAAGCATTGTTTTTGTAGCTCAGTTTCCATATATTGAGTATATAGACAGATGGGTGAATGGTACGTTTAGAAACGTTTAAGTTTTTTTTATTTAAAAAAGGGAAAAAAATCAATTTTTCATAATATGGGCCCTTTAAAAGTGTATCTGGAGTATCTAGGATCTGCCCCCTCAGATCTGTCATTGTGGATTTTTACTGGCTGTGAGGGGGCTCAAGGAATGTGGACACAAATTAGTGAGAAAGGAAAAGCGTAACCCGAAGAGCAGTCCCCTGTATCTGCTGTTGGAACGCACTAACACAGTGCCAGGAACATGTCATATTTCCTCATCACCCACAAGGTTTGAGCACCATTAGCACAACGGCTAGGCGGCTGAGGTAGTCAGGCTTTTTGAAATACAGCCAATCTTATGAGCTGGGCACAATGCAGCTTAAGTGAAAATCTCCTAAAGAGGTCGCAGAACTTTTCTGCTGAAATTTAAGAAGAATTTTCCACGGCCATTTGGGATGGCTATGGGGTGACAGCTGTCACAGTTCAGGGGTTTTTACAAGGCAGTAAAAGTTTCCCGTCAGCACCCCCCTCATCCGCCCTCTCTGGAGCCACTGGGCCAACTGTAGCCCCCTGCTGCTGAACTACCCCCTGAGGCACATATTCACACACTCTCACACACACAAATACACCATTGCAGTTGTTTTTCACTGCGAGAAAACATTGTTCTTCCTCTGCACTTACAGAAGAGCTCTCTGTTCTATCTGTCTCAGTAGATACATGACAGCACACAGTAGACTGAAGGACCAAAACAAAAGACAGAATCAACAACCGTTTCTATGTAAAACATTTTTACTCATTATAGTCTCCAGTACAAACAATTTAACACTAACAAACTGAGCTCACAACAGTTTTATAGAAGGTGCTAAAAGGAGAACATATATAATGCAAATATCACACCACAGAGACCAGCTATGAGGTGAGGAGATAGAAGAGGTTTGAGGGGAACTCTGTTTTAATCATGATACATTTTCAGGATGCAGCTTTTAATGACGCCCATGTATCTTTCCCATATCACTTGGTACCTGTAGAGAGACAATTGCTTTTAATACAAGCCCAATACAAAGTTTTATAAGACTACTCCAACATTTTTCAACCTAATATCTACCTTCCGCATCTGTAGCATACAGTCCATTACCACAAACAATAATTTAGATGTGTTTCCCTGAACTTAATTAAGAACAGAAGACCTGCTGACTCATAAAATACTTACAATAGAGGCCAGGGGGCAGATGCTGAAGCAGGCAACTGTACGCTACAAATGCACCAGATAGAGATTAGGTCGAGCATTCCTTTAATGATAACAAGAGTCTTTATACCACATACACACATGTACACACTAACCTGAACATCTCAAGTGTGTGTGCAGTGCTAGTGTAGAGGGTGAGGAAAAGTGTCAGGTCTCCAACCATCCATTTATCAGATCGGCACGGTTCAATGAACTGAGGGCAGAAGGGAGTGTTTCAGACAATGATATCTAAGCCCAGCAGGGAAAGTTTGCTTGGAGTAAAAACAAATCATTGGCTGAGGTGATTAAATTGAGGTAAAACACTCAATTGTGTCAAGTCATTTAACTGAAATCGCATGTTCAACACATCATGGACCAAATGTTACCTTTTCCACAAGATCGATAAACAAATCTCGCACGTCTTTGGTATTTGTGAGTTTGGAGGCGATGTTAATCAAGGCTCTAGAGAGATTCTGTAGAATCAATAATGTAACATCAATGATACAAAGAACAGTACTGTTTAAATGCACAGAAAAACACTGTGGGTAAATATTACAGTGTGGTTTTGTTAATCCAAGAATCAGTGTGTAAAAACTACTTTTAAAATATTTGTGGAAATAAAAAGGTATGTAAAAAAGAATAAAATACAGGGTAATTAAAAAAAATCACACATCATTTATTATTTGTTATTACACATAATTTCTATTTTTTTATTCACCCAATTGAAATATTTAAGTCTCCCATACTAGTCACATTTGAGGTGTGAATATGAGTAATACAAAAATCTTTTTTTCACTGTCAAGGGGAATTTCACCAATTTTTTTAAATTTCTGTAACACTGAATGGCTAAGATGTAAGTCATTCAGAGTGGTTTTGTGAGAAATTTTCTGCTCTGAAACTGAAACTGAACTGAATTGTTTACAGTGGTAATAGGAACCAGACGTCTAAAGCGTTTAATGCCTGTAAAAGCTACAGTCCAGAAAGCTGTTACGTGGAATAGTTATGAATGTGTTGCCTGATACCTGACACATTGTTTTTTGATAGTTTTAGATCATAAAATTTTCAAGGATCATGTAGTTTTTTGTACATGTGTACGTTCACTGGTTGTTTTGGACAGTAAATAAAATGTCTGGTTTTGTTATGGGAGGCAAATCCAGCCAAAAAAGAAATTAAAATTAAAACAATAAAATGTAAATGCAAACCTCTTTTTGCCATTTCTTTTTCCAAACATCTGCACAAATATCATGCCAAAATTGAAAATTAAATGAAATACCTACATTTGCAATTTCATTTTTCACATGAGCATGAGCCATTTGTGACAAAAATAAAAATAAATGTAAAACAGCTGTTTGTCATTTAATTTTGGTCGTTATTCTGGTATTTCATGGCCAAATCTAAAATGGAAAAGCTAACAGAGAAAAGAAAATCCAAGCTTCACTTTGGCTTTGGCTTTTCTTCATGAAATGCAGAAACCAAAATTCAATGTTCACGTTCTTATTTCTTTTTCACAGCAATCGGCTGCATATCTGACAAAATTAAAATGAAAATGCAAAATGGATAAATCAACAGCAAAGTGACAGTTTGTGATTCAGTTTTCGGCCTGGACGCGCTTTAAAGTGTCAGAATGAAAAGGCAAATGCAAACGAACATCAGCTCCACCTGCTGGAGATTTACTTTACATTTCCCACTTTTCGTGACCAACATGCAAATATATGTTAATTAGCACTAGACAGGGCTAACGGGTACATTTTGGGACATCCTCAGACCTCCAAGTCAGAACGGCATCATTCCTCAAGCTAAACAACTTCAAGTCTCGAGAAAAACCATCGTCATGACTCAGATCTGGTGAAACTGAATGTCAGAACAAACACCATCAGACCAAACGGCCTCAGAGAAAAGGTATCAGACCAAATGCAAGCCTGGTCGAGCATATAGTGGCTCATATAACTTAGAAAACTATTATGCATCTCTATATAAATGTCAGTATAACATTTTCAGTTTTGTCTGACGGTGTTTGTTCTGACGTTCGTTTTTTTGTGTTGTAGACATCAAGACCCCTGGTTCCAATCACCACCACTGTAAAGAAAATCAGAGTCAAATCAAGTTTCTCTACACTGCTCCATTTCACATCAAACCACTCTGACTGTCTTTACCTACATCTCAATGTCTGAATTATGCAGATTGTTTGACAAATTTAATCAGATTTGGCTTTTCATGAAATCAACAGCAAGTTAATAACATCTAACTACCACAAAAAGCATTAAAAGGCAATGTGGTACTCTTTTAAAGTTTGATTTATGGCCAGCAGTGGCCAGTCAAAAGCACAATAAAGTCTCACCTTAAAGTTGGCCTCCATCTCACTGAAGACTTTGATTTTTCCCTTTAGCTGTGAACACACTAGGCTGCGACACAAACGTGGAAAAGATAAGAAAGGCAAAACACTTTCACATAACTTCCCATCAACGTATATTAGTTACACATAGCTTCTCTACCTTTTATGTTGGTCCAGCATGTCCTTATCATTAACCAGAACCTTCAGGTCTTTCAAATCATGCAGAAACTCTTTTTCCAGATCTACATCCATGTCTTCCATCATGTTATCTAATAAACAGAGAAGGGCAATAAGGGGAAAAAACATGGCAATTTTTAAGTCTGTACAATAATTTCGTTCCAGCTTGGCACTTAGTTGGCCATTACTGCCGCTTTCCAGTCTGAATCCAGCCAAGCATTGCCCTAGTGATAAGCATTGCTTGGTTTTCCATTGGCACAGACAGTCATGGCTGGTTTGGCGCTGGCTGCTATTTTTAAAAGTGATGTAAACCATGAGGCTTATGGACTGCTGATAGTTATCACAGACTTTCTATCCATCATGTAATTAACATAACTTCATACAAAGTGGTAGATAAGAACTCATATTCTCATACTGTGGTATTGCATTCCATTTGCAACCATATTTTCCCAGATACTTGCGCTGTGTATGCAATTTTCTTTTTAAGGCTGTTTAGTGGTACTTAAAAAGCACAGGGCTTAGAAATAGCGTTAGCTTGGCCTTAAAAAGACCATCCTATGTTGTTCTTTTTTAAATTTTTCCCCCCAAGTTTCACCAATTATGTTTTTTTGTGTGTTATATGGACCAAAAACAGCTATAATTCACTCATTTACATGACCACTTTGCAACCTCTTTGTCCCTTAGAATTTAACAAGCTATTTTTCTTACTGTGCCTGATGTATGTAAATTAACTTTGCTCTGATTAGCTGCCCTGTATTATGGCACATTAAAAAAGCAGACTGAGCTGAATCTTACAAATTATATCTTCAATGTGAATAGTAGGGCTAATCTGCTGTAAGCCAAGTAGGTGGATGTAAATGAGTAGCTTTTCTGTGACATCACAAAATCAATGAATTTCAAATAAGCTGTTTTGTTGCTTAATTTCCATATTCACCGACCGGCCACTCCATTAAAACCACCTCCTTGTTTCTACACTCACTGTCCATTTTATCAGCTCCACTTACCATATTGGTGCACTTTGTAGTGCTACAATTACAGACCATAGTCCATCTGTTTTTCTACTTTGTTTGCCCACTTTCACCCTGTTCTTCAGTGGTTAGGAACCCCACAGGACTGCCACCGACATGGTGGTGGCGTGTTAGTGCGTGTTGTACGAGTGGGTCAGACACAGCAGTGCTGCTGGAGTTTTTAACACTCCAGTGTCACTGCAGGACTAAAAATAGCCCACAAATAGTTGGTCCAAAAATATCTAGCCAACAGTGTCCTGTGGGTAGCGTCCTGTGACCACTGATGAAGGACTAGAGGATGACTAATACAAACTGTGCAGCAACAGATGAGCTATCGTCTCTGACTTTACATCTACAAGATGGACCAACAAGGTAGGATAGAGTGGACAGTGAGTGAACACAGTGTTTAAAAACTCCAGCAGCACTGCTGTGTCTGATCCACTCATACCAGCACAACACACATCAACACACCACCACTACGTCAGTGTCACTGCAGTGCTAAGAATGATCCACCACCTAAATAATATCTGCTCTCTGGTGGTCCTGAGGGAGTCCTGACCATTGAAGAACAGGATAAAAGGGCTAACAAAGAATGCAAAACAAGTAAAGCAACAGATGGACTGCAGTCTGTAGTTGTAGAATGACAGAGTGAACCTATATGGTAAGTGGACCTGATAAAACAGACAATGAGTGTAGAAACAAGGAGGTGGTTTTGATGAAGTGGCTGGTCAGTGTATAGGCTATGTGTACTGGGGAATGTACATGTATAATAGTACATTTTGAAACTGTGTTTATGTACTGTATCAAAATATTTTAATTAGAAAAAATGGGGAAAAACAATTTTCCATGAAATGGGACCCTTAATAGATGTTACTGTGAGCTCAGCTTACCAATGGCCCCTACAGTCCAATAGCTGATGAGCTGGCCAGCACAGAAGGCAAAATCCTGAAAAGATAGATACTGCAGCTTCCTCTTCCCTGTCTCAAAGCGACTGTTTGCAAAAAATACAACAGCAGCGTAGTCCCTGCAGGGAGAGATGGCTGAGTCAGTGAGGGGAGGAGAGTATGAAGGGGTTAAAATGATGAAAAGAAAGAATATAAGAAGAGGACATGAGCAAGGTAGCAAGGAGGGAAGGGAATGGAGAAACATGTTCAAAAGATAGTGAATGATCAACAATCACATTTTGGTATTTTTGCATTAAATCTTCCATTTCATTCAGAGAACATTTTCTTCTATCCTCATACTTACCTGGCCAGTGAATCAGACAGCAGGAAGTGATGCTGCACATTCTCCACCAGGGGGCCCTTCAGCTCCTCCACCACTTTAAACACTCGCTTGAAATTATCAAACTGAGAGAAAGATACAGCAGTTCAGAAGTGTGCCAGTGCATATGTTTATTATCTAAAAAACTGAAGCTTGTCTGCATATGCAAACATCACACTGCATCCAAAATGAAAGTAAACATCTTGTAGCGGTATACAACACAGGCAATAGTGTGCATTATTCTACTCTGAAAACAAATCTCATTATTACTATGAATTTTCATGAGGTTGTTCCACGGACTACTTTGTATTTAACTTATTAACTTACATTTAACTTACAACAGTTTTCATATGAAAGGCAAAAGTTTTCATAACTTGTACAGCCACATCTTATAAGCAAAATCAAAAGCAACAACAAACTAGATATTCTAAATTTCATTTAATATAAACTCATGCACATTAATTGAGTTATCTCCCGTTTACAGTGTGCCAGGTATTTTTTGTTTCTCTCATCTAGGAGCTAAAAGCACCAGCTGGTTGTGTAAGGAGTCAAAGGTCTGTCTGGCGCACCTGTCGACGGCAGCTCTTCAGAGCAACCCCAGTCTTTAAGCTGATGTCATCTAAGTCCTTCTTGGTCCCTTTAGAGAGTTTCTTTCCCAGAACCTCTCTGGCAAACGTATGGTCAAACTCATAGTATCTACAAATGAACCAACACGTTTGAACACATGAATGTTTTTAGCCTGATTTGGCAAATTATGTTACAAATAGGCCCGATAAATCATTGATTGGCCAATAAAATCGGCCGATATTAAGGTACAAAAGGTCTGAACGATATCTATAAGCAACGTGTTTAACATTTCAATGAACAGATACTCACTTTTTTTTGAGGATTTTATGGGGTTCATGCTCTTATGTCTGCCAAAGAATGCTAAGCTAATAGTCAACTGTTTAATGTATTATAATAATACAAGCTGAACTGGAAGACAACATGTTACAAACACCTTTATGTGAAAAGAACTGATGAAAAATAAGAAAATTAAGACATAATTAAAAGAATCCAATAAAACAGCTAATTCTGGAAAGCACCACCTCCTATGACAAAATTTTTAAGACTTTGTGAGTTTCTTCTCTTTGTTTGAGCATAAGAACTTTACAAATTGACAAAAATTTTTAAATCAGTCTGTCCATAGTTACAATGAATGGATGCTAGATTTAGTAGTACGTTTGGCCATTTCCACATTGCCCATACCTCTCAATGAGCATGGCCTGGCGATGGGCAGGAATCTGGAAAAGCAGCTGATTGGCTAGCTTAGAAGGGCAATGAAGGAGTCGCTCGCACATCTGGAAGGTTCTGTATTGGTCCATGGTGTCACTGTGCAGTACTTCTCCACTGGCCTCGCACTCGCTCAGAGCACCACTCTCTAGCCGCATCCTCACCGCATCACTCACTGCAGGACAGAGAGAGGACTGAGTTTACACAGTAGTAATGATTGGTTTGACAGCACTGTATCAATAAAGTCTCTGCTAGGACTGGCACTATTGATTATACATATTAGTTTGACAATTATTAGTAATGAGAGGGTTTTTAACACCAAACAATAAATACAAACTTGAATAACAAATCCAAGTATGCACATTTCCAAAACACTCCATTGGGTAATGATATTCAGCCATTGACTTTTATTTTAATTGAGTTTAAGCAAGTAACCTTTTGCAAGGTTAGTTCCTTTTGCAAACTCAGCCCAGAACAGTCAGAAAGACACACCTGAATGCCCATCCAACCACAGCTGGTACACCTCTTCATCAATGATGGTGGTGTTCCCCACAAATACGTCTAGTTCCATCGACATTCTCTGAAAATGCACAGAAAACCTTAGAAAAAGTTGCCTATTATTTATGCATTAGCAAATGATTACGGCAGGGGTGCGCAACTCCCGTACTGGAGGGCCGGTGGCCAGCACAGTCTGGTGATTTACCAACTGAAACACACCTCATCACACTTATCTGTTAATTACCAGGTTTAGTGGGTGTGTTACCATAGAGAAACCTCCAAATAGAGTGGGCACCCTTGGACTACAGTCTTAAGTACTTATTAATCAAATAACCCAGTGGTCCCCAACCCCCCACCTGGGGCCCTACCTTTATCTAATATGCTACCCCTTCCCCATACCTACTCTCATGCATCTGATCCAGCCCATCAAAGACTTATTAAGTTAGTTAGAGCAGGGATGGCAGATTGCGATTTGAACCACAGTCCACAGGAAGGTAGATCTCCAGGACCAGGGCTGGTGACCACTGAAATAACCAGTCATGACGAAATGGTGGGTTCAAAGCCAAATGGCTGAAAAGTTGAGCAACAACACAACTACGGTGCTATCGCCAGGAACTTCATTCATTAACTGCCCGTGAACTACTACCATACTTAGAACAACCCCTTAAAGCTCATTAAGAGGTCATAAGCTGCCCAACACCTGAGCACCGAACTTACCGTGCTATTCTTGTTCCGCACTGTGCGTAAAGAGCAGTCGATGGAACAGCGATCGTTAGCTGGTACCAAACTGAAAATACTGCAGAAGCTGGTTTTTGCCGAATTGGTCTGTAGGTGGCATCTGCAAACTGTGGATTTTAAACAGTTAGGAACTCCACCTCCCACGTTTCTCGGTGAGCATTCGTCTAATACTAAATTAACCCCCCACTGGAGCAACAGGGTCTGGCTGCAGATATTAACACTGATGAATGCAGCTAAGGCGAATGTATAAGACTACGTAAATCATTAACGACCGACCGTCTGTCTTTAGTTTGGCTGAATTGGATATGAGACGAACTACAGTGCGGCATCTTTCTCGTAGCTTTCAAACTCCATATTCAACAGCTTACAGCACTACATTGCTGCCACCTACTGCTGCGGCATGCAGATCAGCTGGAGCAATTCATTCTTACTAAAGAAAGATGGTTCTTCAATGGTTCTTTAGTAAAGACAGCGGTTCTATATAGAACAAAGAAACATTTGCATGGTGAAATGGTTCTTCAGATTGACAGAATGTGTTGTACATGGTTTTAGCATGAAAAGGGTTCTTCTATTGTTGCAAGCTTGACATCATAACAAATGAAGCTTTTAGTGCGGTATAGAACCATTTTAAAAAAAGATTTTATGTAAAACCATATACAGCACATTCTGTCAATCTGAAGAACCGTTTCACCATGCAAAGAACCATTTAAGCATACAAATATTTCTTTGTTCTATATAGAACCACTGAACCTCTCTTTTTTAGTAAGAATAAAGATCCATTTGATCATGCAGATGGCTTTTTGAGTGTTCATGGTTCTATACAGAACCATTGTCTTTACTAGAGAACCCTTAAAGAACCATCCTCTTTAAGTGTAGCAACTTAATGTCTAAGCCAATATTTTTAAGAGTGTAAGCTGAGGAAAAAAAGTTTTAAAAGTGTCCAAAGAAACTTAAACTTGATGAGACCAGTAAAGAACAGTGCTTTCAGGAACCCAAATTATTGTTGTATGAGTGTAAATGTGTCAAAAGGACTTGACTTTATAAAAGCCAGGTGTATTGAATAGCACCCTTGTTGGTGCTATATAGAATCATTCAAATAGTTCTTTAAATGTTCGTATCGTATATAGAACCCTTGTCTTTTCTAAAGAACACTTGTAGAACCATCTTTTTTTCAGAGTGCATGGAGTTCAGTTAATGTTAGATTTGAAGAGCCACCAAAACATTTAAGAATAACTGCAATATGAAATAAATAATTACAAGACTAAACTAGAGTCATTAGGTTTCGTTCTTTATTGTAACAGGAGTTATTATGGCTGCTTTTCATTTTTGTTGTAACATTTGGTATTTGCGATCCCACTGTGAATCATGCATCTGTAACAGTGTTTTCCAGCACTGGGCAAGACATGCAATTGGGTGGCTTGAACTTGAACAAATGATAGAAGGGATTCCCAGAAAAGAAGTGAAAGGAAACCAAATTAAAATCTATTTGTATGTACTATTCATAAAAAAACAAAACACATGCACTTAACATAGATAACATATTGGCCCTTAGCTTCCTTGAACTAATACACTGGTTATTGGGACTGGTCTGAACCTGCAGACTCAGTTCTGAACTTGTTCAGAGTTGACGGTTATTAAGGATTGGAGCCATCCATCTTGCAGGCGGGCCTGTGGGCCTCCAGGACTAACTCCAGCCTCTCTCTCTCCCTCTCAAGCCCAGCAATCTCCTCCTCCAGCTGAGATTTCACACGCTCCAAGCGCTCAGTCTCCTAAAAGTAAGTGATAAGAATTTGGCATATATTTAACAATAAATATATAGTAAGGCAGGCATCCACACAGCCCTGCAACAACAAAGTATCCTTCTAGCATTTTTGTTTGTTTTATATACATGTTCACCCACTTCTTATATGAGTGCACTGTGAGCATATGCCACCCTCCCAGAAAGTCTGTACACAGCCCTGCAAAACAGCTTTGTTTTTCTGTGTTTCTGCGCTAAACCACATTTTAAAGAAGGCCTATGACAAATGAAAGTCAATGTGCTAAATCCAGTATCTGGACAACTGGCTGATTACTATGACTATAGCTTGACAAGCAACAAGTCAAATTCAAATGCACAAATGCTTGAGACTCACGTTTTGTAATGTGTCCGTAAGCATGCGGCGACGATCCCGACATCTAGCTGCGGCTATTCTGTTCCTTTCCCTGCGGGCTCGCCTCCTCTCACACTCCTCTACGGCTTTCTAGAAGTGATTCAGAGGGTAAAATAATAATAGATCTCTAGTGAGAAGTCTATGACAAAGAGAGAGAGAGAGAGAGACAAAAGTCCAGTTCATCATTCTCACAAACCTTTTCCCCCATTTACATAACCTGGACAGCTAGGGCAACCGAATGATAACACTGCCATCTCGTGGGTGACAACAAAACAGCATGCAAAGACTTTTCCCAAATATCACTCCTCTTACTCACCAACGGCCCTTTTGACAAGCTGGTCCACCCCCTGAGCGTGTACTCTCTAACTCCCGCGCAAATGCTACTATAATGACTCATCCTATGGGCTCCTATGTGACTCAGGTGTGAATCATATCGCCCCTTTACCATAACTGGATGAGTCAAATGAAAAGCCTCGTCCCAACTTTCACTGATTTTGAGCGTTAAAAGGCAAAGATCTACTACTTACAGATTCACTGGCGTGGCCTTTGTCGGCGTGCTCAGGTGTCCTCGCTGTCCCAGAATGGAGCAGGTCTGGACTGGAGCACTGGGAGACACAGGGGCAGTTTGGCAGTGTGGAGGGCAAAAATGAGGCTAACGTCTCCCAGGCGGCCTCTGCTTCAGAAACTACAGAGGACTCCAGCAGCCACTGCAGATTTGGACTGGACGTGACAGTATCAAGATTAGGGCTGGATGTGGCTAAATCCGTGAGTGTCTGCAACAGATAACGAGGAAAGGACAAGATAAAATTAAATATAAAAAAATCGAAAGTATTACTCTATATATATATATATATATATATATATATATATATATATATATATATATACACATTTTTTTCATGAAATAAACAGACAGCTAAAACAAATTCGAAAGCCACTGTAACTGCTAGCTGACCTAGCTAACTAGCTATATGCTATTGTCAAAAAAACAACAGGCTAATCTACAAGTAATAGCCTAGCCTACCTGCTCACTTTGTGTAACATTTTTATTAGATTTAGTTTTTATTTCCTGCTTCTATTCATACTCTGAACTAGATCAATTTACTGTCGGCCCTCACCTAGTCTTCTTAATTTCAACTAACAGCTAAGTTTAATTAGGAAAGGTACAGACCTTGTGTATGTTCAGGTCCAGTCGTGCTGACATTTCGGTGTAAGGCCCGTAGCTGAATGCTGCACCAGCTTTGCTCTGATACATCTCCATGTTGGTCTCTCAAAAGTTTTGTAGGGGCTTCATGGTTAAGTTAAGCAGACCAGTGTAAAATCCTTAGATAGGCAGACTTCCATCTTAACCTCTGCTATTGGCCGATATCCCCCAACATTTGAAATAATCGCGCCACACCGAACATTCAAATGACTCCACCAGAAACTCCTGAGAGCTAAAACCAAAAGCACGTGATTGAATATCTTTTAGACTAGTCCAGTCTGCTCCAGTCCCTCCCTTCCTTCTCTTCTCTCTGTGTGACACTCTATCCCATCCAATAAAACCTCCGATCAGAAGCTGTCATTATCCCAGCAGCAGCTCTGCTTCTTCTCATCGTGTAAAGGGTAAAAATAATCAACAAAATAAACTGGAGCATGTAGTTTCCAACGGCACTAAATAAGGCGGATATTACTTTTTCTGGTCACTTCTGCACTTTGTTTTTAGTGTTTTAGCATCAGTTCGTTTTCAGACTACACAGGAGAAGTTCATAAGAGAAAGTGTGGAGCGAACAAGTGTGGAAGTCTGAAGTCGCAGGAGTTTAAAACTAAATCTGGATTTATTGTGTTGGCAGTAAAGTGGCTAATACTGAGAAAAAAAGAATCATCTTTCTGAACCATTTCCAGATTTTCCCCTTTGATACGTTTTTTCCCTCACATTTGATCTCTGTAACGTTAAGTTTCTTATTAAAATAAAAGCCACTTTCTCTTTTTTTTATTCTTCCGACCCTTCAAGGTGTCATTCAAGCCTTTCTCTATTGTCTCCGTAATCCTTTGTACCTCACACTTTCATACCGGCAACATTAAAGAAGAAATATAGCTTTTGGCAATTTTCGTTTTTTTAAAGCTGTTTGAAATATCTGACCCAGCTTAGTCACGTCTGTTTCAGTTCAGTATGTTAAAAATAATTTGTTAGTCATTTAGGTCATCCTTAAACTTGTAGGAATTGTTGGCATCAGGTTGTTTACTGCAGAAAAATCGTGCTGTTTTTTGTTTATTTTCACATAATTTTCATAAATATTACAAATAAAAATGTATGTGGGTGGGAAACAGTGCGTGGGTGGGTATTTTGTAAAGCCATTTCAGAAAGTACCAGAGCTGCAGCAGTAATGCTGGTCAGAGTCTCTGCTGTGACTCACTGTGAGCTCCCGCCGCTGCTTTAAAGGCGCACGGGCTAAAACAGCCCCAACTGGCTACAGGTGGTATTACCGTCAGAGTCTGGTTGTTCGTTATATAATAATAACAATAATAATAATACACTTTTTACATTTTATTAGAATTTGATAGGTTGGATTTCACTGATAAATTATGTTTTGTGATTTTAATGTTATGATTGCAGTCAGTTTTTGCATGACTCCACCAGAGTGCATTTAGAACAGGAGGCCCCCACCCCCCATCTTTAAGCCTGCATTCAGGCTCTTTGCACATGTTGATTTTCATTCAAAGGGGAACAGCATCGATTTTTCAAAATTTCTGCATAGTTAAATAGTTGATGTCAACAAAATGAGTCAAAGTGGTTTGGTGTGTGCTACGTTCTAGAGAAACTTTGTCAGAATTGTTCACAGTGGTGGTTATTGCAACCAGATGTCTGAGGAGCTTCACGCCTTTAGAAGCTCCCTCCCAGAAAATGATTACATGAAATGGTTATGAATACACTGCCTGATGTCTGAGACGTTGTTTAACAGTAGTTGTGAGATTAAGCTTTGGTCCAAACGTATTTTAATCAATTTATTTTAATCCATTCATGGTGGAGGGATACATGAGGCGTGTTAATGGTCCTCAGAGAAAGCTTAATTTTTCAGATTGACCATTATTTTACTATGATGAATGTTACATATAAAAACTCTGAGGGACTCCTGGTTCCCATCACCACCACCATAAAGAAATCTGGGTCTGTATGTTTCTCTGCAAATGAACCATTTCATGTCAAACCAATCTGAATGACTTGGTTTATATCTCAACCACTGAATTATTCAGACATTTTGAAAAATCACTGGTTTTCTCCTGTATGTGAGATCTTTGCCAAATAAATGACAAATACAAGTGAAAACCACTGACATTACAGCCAGCTGTCTATGAATCACACAAAAGGGAGTGTCTAGGCAGAGAACACTTAACACTGCCATGCCCTAAAAAAGACTTTTGGAGTTTAAAAATATATTTAACTGCAAAAATGACAGTCCTAATAGCTATTAGCTTAAACTTGTAATTGTAATACATAATTGGTGTTGAAGTTTTTTAGTATTAGTAGAGTCTCACTAATAGAAATGTCTATTCTATGATAAATGTAAATTTGACAAAATGTTTTGTAATGTAACAGTTACCTTTGTAAGTTAAACCACTGATGTGTAAATAAAAGAGTAAATAAATCAAAACTCTGTTACTGGTGTTCAATATTTTATTTCTTCTGAAACTGCTGATAGAGCCAGAAAAACATAGATGTTCAATTATTGTATTCTAGGTTCCAAATGAAAAGATATCAAAAGCATTTCAGGAGAACATTTACATTTCTTGGAGGTTGGTGACGGTGTGGGAGAACGACACCTATAGTGGTCTGTAGGCCCCAACTGTGATATCAAAAAGTCTGGGATTGTTCAGTGTCCCTTCCTTGTCCATAAGGAAGTAGAACTTGTGATCTTTGACTTTGAGAGGGATGAAGGAGGGCGATTCCTGCCTATGTGCATGACATGCCACTTGATTCAAAGGCACTGTTAGATGCCAGGCTTTGTTTGCACCAAGGGGTGACTGGGTATGCACGGTCACCTTTCCACCTCCCCTATGCAGGACAACGCGGCTGACAGAGCGACGGCTGAACAACACACCCAGTCCAACAATTCCTCCACCTGAGAAAGAGGAAAAGAGAGAGAGATGTAAGGTGTTCAACAGCTTAGTGGGTTTGTTGGTTTCTCAATACTCTCAGCCTTAGGTCTTTGCAAAGAACAGATTCATAACATTCATTTTTATCTTCACTTGCCTGGAATTATCCACAGTCTTTAAAGGGGAATTCCACAGATGTTTCAAATTTTCCTCATAATTCACTCATTAAGATGTAAACATTGGGCCTCATTTACCAACATCTTCCTAAGTTTGTTCTTTAATTTGTTCTTGAGAAAAGCCCTAACAAAAAGTCTACATCAGATTCATGGCATGTTTATAAACTGCAGAATTGTTCACACCTTTGTGGTCTTGAGTGTGTGTAGATTGTGTTCTAACCAAAAAACAAATCCCAAATAAGAAAACATTGGTGAATATCAGAATCTTCATGAAAACTGAATAAGTGGGTTTTAAAAAGAAATTTCTTCTTTAGAACGATTGGTGAAGGAGGCCCAAAGTCATTAAGAGAGGTTTGATGTGAAATGCACCACTCTAAAGGCAATTACGGAGTTAGATTTCTTTGGTGATTACAGTTGGTGAAGTAGTATCTAAAAACAGTAAATCCTAGTATCTAAAGAATATAAAATCAGAAGACACATCTAGGTTCCCTAGTGTGTTTTGAATAGCAAATAAAATGGCAATTACAGTTTCTCTACAATGAACCATTTCACATCAAACCAATCCGAATGACTCTTAACATCTCAATTAATTAATTATGCAGAGATTTAGAACAGTAGGTGGAATTCCAATATAAAAAAAATGCTTTGAATAAAAAAAATGAACAAGTTATTTCATCTTATTATATTTGTTGACCAGTTAAAGGTGTGCAAACAGAATGAAATCAGTACTGTAATTTCTCCCTGAACAGACAGTAAGAAATACAGAGTTTAAGAAACCATAGCAAGTATCAGTAATACTTCATAGAAAGTTACACTTACCTATGACTAGACAACCAAGAGTGAATCCAAATCTCCAGGCATTAGACCCCAGATTCATGTCAAAACTGAAAAGCCCCAAATCAGTTCTGACCTTTTGAGGCTCTTTGCTGCTTTTTCGGGTGTCTCGGAGGCCCGTGAACGCAAAGTAGGCCAAGTAGGTCCAGAATAGAAACTGACCTCCACAAAACAGAGCCAAGACCCGGAAGAAGCGGGTTCGGTCATGCTCGAACAGCAGCACATCCTTCACCACAGCTGTGGATGTGAAAGAGTGTGAACTCTTCCCCACCAGCTGCTGGCTGACCAGTCCGTGAGCTCGACCTCGGGGTGAAAATGAAAGCGGCGAAAACCACCGCAATGGATTTGAGACAGTTGTTTTGTCGGTAACTTGCACAGACCGTTTAGAAACAGCAGTGAAAGCTCGGAAATTCTGCACTAAAGTCAGCCTGTGAGGAAACAGCAGCCCCGCACAGGAGGAGCGACAGGTCCGAGCAGCCAGCAACACGCACTGAAAACCCATGACCGCCGGTTATGTTCGAGTTATCTGAGCTATACGAGGTCGGAGTCTAAGAATCCATTTCATCACCTATAAAATATAACCAAGCTGCTTTTAGCTAGCACAGCTCACCCAGGACGCCGCCATGTTCTTCGTTACTTGCCCTACGGCTGCGGCATTGGTCCAAAAAGTATGAGGCTCTCGATTAACGCGTGATGACAATAGCTGCGTCCAAAACCGCATACTACTATAATAGGCATACTACACTAAAGGAAGGACTTTTATTGGTGGTGTACTCTTTTGACATACTATTTGGTAATATGCGGTTTTGGACGCAGCCATTGTCCAAAAGTTTGTAGACACTACTGGGTGTTAGTAGTTTGTCCCCCTTTGCTGCAGTAACAGCTTCTGCTTTACACTAGATGATGGAATATTGCTTGAGGATTTGATTGCATTCCGACAGAGGAGCGGTAGTGAGGTCAGGTATTGATGTTGGATGATCACAAACACCACTCCAACTTACCGCAAAGGTTTTGGATGGAGGTCCATCAGTTCCACTGCTCTACAGCTCAATGCTGGGAGGCTTTATACCCCTCTACCTGAAACTGCCTGTTGTTGGGCATGCTGGTCTTAAACTCATGTGCAGCTGCTCCAGAACATCCCGTTCTAACAATGCTTTTCTAAGGAGATGTGTGTGCAGAATTGAACAGATGTGTCAGCAATGAGTACACCACAAAGTAGAAGGGGTGTTTGGTTACTTTTGGACATACAGGGTTTGTTTCATGGACAGGGATTAAGCCTAGTCTTGGACTCCTCAGCATTTTGAACAGAGGTTTCTCATTGAAAGGAAAATATAGTCCAGGACTAGGCTTCATCCCTGTTTGGAAAACTGACTCATAGTGTACCGACCCAGAGAGCTCAGAAATGGGGAGATTCTCCAAAACCAAAATCTTGAGGTCCTTCCCAAGAAAAAAATCTTCAGACACTGATTCCTGGATTATATAAAACTACATATACTCAACACTTACTACTGAAAAGCAAGCTTCAGCAAAAAAACAACATATCCAGCTACTTTACAGTTGGCTGTCCTGTTAGGCTGTTGTCAGGGGGCATGATGACATTGTTGGCATTGAATGGGAAAATCAAGGCAAAACCACAGGGAAAAATTATCTTTGTTTTATTACACATTGATGTGTTCTAATCACCTATTGTCAGCCATGTTATAATTACATTGGCCTTTCTCAGAACTAGACAGCTACACTCTTAAAACAGATGTGTTAAAAACAACACATTCTGTCTCTAACTACACACATCAGTGTATTCAGTTGGAGATGACACATTTTATGTTACTTTTAACACAGAATGTGTTAAATTAGAAAACAGTATGGCACAAAAACTGTTAAAAAAGGTAACACAAGTGTGTTGTTATTTAATACAGCACTAATTATCCCATATCACAGCACACAGAAAATATAGTGCACAGATTCAATAGAAAACAAATGCATTTTTTACATGAAGCAGGAAGGGTTGAACAGAATAGTTGTAGTCACCATGTGTTCTTTTAAGGAATGGTTCAGTGAAAAATCATATTTACACATTTTCCCCCTTAGCACAGATGTAGTCACTTTTTATCAAAAATGGCTGCCAACTGCATTTAGGTATACAGAGAAGTTTAGTTCACTTTTATAGTTCACAGTAAGTCATACTGTGCTCTAAACCAAATCAACAAGTCTGCGCAAACTTAATGAAGACCTGGATGTGGTTCAAGTGGGTCAAGAGAAGTTCTCGGTATGTGTTTATGGAAAAGATTTGGATTAGTGTTAGTTAGAAATGCTAGCCTTGTAGCTCTAGTGCTAAGCTAAAAAAGCAAAATTTGTACACCAAATATGTCTTGACTGATTGACTACATCTGGGGTAAGTGGAAAATTTTTAAATTTAGATTTTTCACTGAATCATTCAGCGTATAATGTATAATGTCCATTTCACACTAATGATTTTGCTCTGCACCAGAAACAAATAAACTAGGCTAATCTTAAATTTTTCCAATTCTCCCTCAGTGAATTATAATATTGTGGAAATATTGTAATATAATAACATATATGAGAATATTATGAGAATGAAAAGACCTAATTCGATCACAAATACTGAAATTAGTTTTTGTTTTATTTATTTAAACAATGGTATTTTTCAGTGCACAAACTTTGTTAAAATGAACTCATCACTTAGTAGTAATATCGCTATTTACAAGTCAAAATGCTGTTTAAACATGATGGGCATGATTAAATAAATCAATCAAATAAAGATGGCAGAGTAAAAAAGCAAATAATAAAAGATAAAATGAGAGATGAAAATAAAATGAAGAAATCACAATAAAACAGTAAACAGTAATAATAAAAAAGGCAATAGAAAAGTAGTTACTGATAAAAAAAACTGACTGACCAGTAATGCATGAAAAAAACAATACACACAGGCTGATGAGTCTTAAACTGCTAAAATAACAGATGGAAATAGTAAAATCGGCTAATCCGGCCAACATTTTCATAGGCTATATTTAATTCCCAATTATCTACTGTTCAGTTAATTCCTGACGGGGGAGGATGTGTGTTTGTGTTTGGAAAGCAGTTAGGACGGCTTAGAGAGGGGCCTATTGTCTCTCACCTGAATAAATCTTATCAGATCTGAAAGACGACCTTATTTGCATACAGAGGTGGAAACAAGACTGTGAAAAACAGATGCTGAAAAGATTAACAACGTGGACATAACCTGAGAAATATTATAAAGCCAAAAGTGATGTTAGAGACCCTTTAAACGGAAAAAAGGTTATCAAAACTTAAATAGGACCATATACAGTGAGGTATATACTGTTTTTACAGTTATTATAAATTCAATCAAGTTAAAAAGCTGAAACTCTCAGTTTAATTTCTGAAGGCTAAACTGAATTGGTGTAGTCAATAAAGTGAAATAAATAAATAACTGAAATGTTGTTTTGTCTCTCTATTGACTGAAATAATCTGTGAAACACCCCTTACCTACAACAATACCTACTGTGTTGGTAATTAGTCCAAATAAACCCACACCCACAGACCTCTAGTCAAAAACCACACCTAGGCTACTTAAAAGCAAGACACACCCTAAAGGACCAGAGGCGCTCCTAGCAAAGACTGGATGTAGTTGAGTTGGGAGTGAAGCCGGGCCAGTTTATTACTTATAGGCATTACTGCAATTGTTGGTTGTCTTGCTGCACTGTACGTTGAGGAACTGCTTTGGATTAGGCTCATTTACTTGAAGGTACAGGTTCAATTTAGAGTAAGCAGTCTGTTGGAGTTTACTATTTTAGTATAAAATGGACTGATCACCCCTCAGTTCTACTGAAAAGAAGTTGAAGTGTGACAGTCTGCAGCCAGCAAAAGCTTAAAAATTGTGACCAAACAAGATCCTTAATGAGACATTTGAGAGCACTGTTTGTGTAATACAGCCTTGGTATTAGGACTTGGATTGTAGATTGAGGTAAAAGCAAAAATGCCACGAGTGTTCCTAGTTAAAAACATGAGGAAAAGAAACTGGGGTCTGCTCTCAGATTCTACACAAGGGGATATATACATACCAGGTGAGTGATCACTTTGTTTATAGTCTTAATATTGTAATGATGTTTTAATTTTGACATACTTTCATGTTTGCATTAAAGGTGAAATATTCTGCTCTTCATCTAAAGTTCATTCCTGATTTGTCTCATACATTGGGTGAAGTGTTATATGGTAATGTCCACATATCCAATAAAGCAAAGGATTAAGTTATAATAATTGCACACTAAATACTTTTGTAAGTGAATTAGCTCATACACAGTATTAAATCTTGTAGCTTATATACAGTATAACAACAGCTTAAATTAGAATAAATCAAAGTTTTTTAAAACAGCGGTTCTCAAACTGGGACGATGTCTCCCTGGGGGTTGGGTAGCATAGAGGTGCTAAAGGGGCAACAGAAAATATCAGAAGTTGTACCTCTACAAATTTTTATTTTGTCAGTTTATCAAGTCGATATATAAAGAAGTATCACTTATTGAAAAATGATAGATGTTATTAAATGCTACTCAAATGAAATACATGCCAACCAATCACAATTCACAGCCATTATGTGTCCACATAACAAGTTATCTGTAATGTCACAGAGCAGCAGCATGTCTCTTGTATGTGCAGATCAACAATAGCTGTGGAGAAAGCTAGTTCATTCATTAAGTGGAAGCATGGACAATGTGGGGTGAGGGGGGTAGGGCAGTGACACTTACTATCCACAAAGGGGCTTTAGACTAAAAAAAGTTTGAGAACTGCTGTCTTAAAGTGTCCTCTATTACCTGATGGCCCATTATAATCCACTTTACATCACACTCCTATGGAGATACAGTTAGTGCAACTGGTCTAGTGTTTGAAATGCTAGTGTTGTTTTGTTGGATGGTCTTAACAGTCTTGATACGTTTTTCTTGCTTTTTAGTTTCTCTTTTTCCTCCCTGTTATGGGCAGGAGGGGTGTGAGGCCAGCACTGCAGAGCTTCCCCTCTCTCCCTGCATGCCACAGAATGGAGACATGCACATACAGCCTCACTCTAGTGGCCTGACTGTCCAGCTGCAGGAGCCTGGCTCACAGTGCTATATGAGGACACACAGGCCTCCTTATAGCCGCTCCAAGATTAAGGTCAGTTAACTTCTTTTGAGACGTTTAATGTGGAATTCTACTTAATAAATAAATAAGTAAATATTATTTTGTTATTTGTCACGTTATGTAGGGTTCTGTAACGCAGTATTGCTTTCCTCTGCATTATTGAATTACATTATACAACCAGTGGCCAACCCTACAGCAATAAAGAAATTCTGGCTGTTAGCACAATCCCTAATGTAGAAGCTAATAAATACAGATGTGATGTTCAGCTTCCTTGAGAAAAAAAAAATCAACAGCTTGTTGTGCTTGTAGTTTTTCAAAAGTTCCTTCCACCTAAGACGCCTCATTAGAAGGGGATTTTTTCTTGACTTTTAACTGAAAATCTCACTCTATAGAGTACTACGGCCATGCTTACAACAGATGTAGTGATACATTTACATTTTCATTTTGGCTGCAGTGTCCTTTTAAGGAAAGTCTTGTTGCTTCATTCTAGACTATTCTTTTGGTTTTGCCAGAATTACTTAGATGCAAGCCGTTTTTTTTGCTAGGCTAGTCTTTATCCCCTTAAACCCTTATTTTATATCAGAAATAGCCCCATCACCCCAATTATATCACTTTGCAGTCAACAATTATAAAGAATTGATGCTACAAAATCCATACTCAGGGCCCCCTAGTGACTGCTTATGGCAAGAAAAGACCCTGGTTATTATTTAGTTACTAATTTTAAGACACGTTATTTGTAAGTTATGTATTTATGAGAGTAAAGGATTGAAACCTTTATAGTTTTAATGGATTAAAAATTACTGCAAATGCACAACTAATCTCTATTCCACCATTCTAATATTTCAATGCAGATAACCACAGGTGAAATGTCAACGCAAGAATCTACCACAAGGTTACCAACTTCTATTACACCATCTTGTCCGATATGCCATAAGACGTTCAGTAACACACAAATGGTAAAACGTCATCTGAAGATTCACAGCGACTTTAAGAGGTACTCCTGTGAATTCTGTGGGAAAGGCTTCAATGACACTTTTGACCTCAAGAGGCATGTGCGCACCCATACAGGTACGACTGTCATCATGTGTCACCATCTTTTCTCCTCTCCTTCTTTCTCTCACCACACTAACCTAAGCATCTCATTTCCAGGTGTGCGGCCCTTTAAGTGCTCTGTGTGTGATAAGGCCTTCACTCAGCGCTGTTCTCTAGAGACTCACTTGAAAAAGATTCATGGTGTCTCTCCACAATACGCTTTCAAGGAACGCAGGAACAAGCTGTATGTGTGTGAAGAGTGCGGCCTGACTGCTCACACACAAGACAGCCTTCTTACTCACCTCCAGGCCAAACACCCCAGCAGCAGAACATCCAAAGCCAAGAGAAGACAAAAGCAGCCACCCAGCCAGGAAGGAAGCACATCCCCCAGGTCACCTCACTCCCAGAATAATGTGGTTTCTGTTGTCTGAGATCAGTGTTGTTGAAATCATCAATTTATGCTAATTACTATGATAAACATAATCCAGAGTCTTTCTTTATCTGCTGTTATATTTTCTTTGGTGCACTTGTAGACTAATAAGAATTCCAAGCAATGCTAGATTACTTTTAAAGCTTTGTAGGTTCCATATTTGATGGTTCATATTTGATGTTTCTATGGAATATAATTTTGTTTATCAGTAAAAATTAAATGATCAAAACCATGTTTTAACTCATGCAAACAATATTTGACTTTAATTTATGCAACTTTAATTTATGGCTTCCTACTATCAAAATACTCAACAAACATCACAGTATTTACACAATTACATTAATTGATAAGGAGATATATATGCATTTTTAAAAAGTATGTCATGCAAAGCTAAGTACAAAAACAATAAGTGTGTGATGTAGAACCTCATTGTACAGTAATTCATCTCAACTTAGTTTGTTCTCCTTCAAATACATCATTTTTAGGACTATTTAATAAAGGATAGCAGTAACCTATAGTGCATTCTGAACCAAGTATAAGATCATGTCACAATGCCCCTGGGCACAAGCTCCCAGGGCTGAACGATTTAGAGAAAATAACTGTGGCCTTTTCTGACCAGTATTGTGATTGTGATTTAAATGCATTTATTTTCAATAAAGTAAACTCCAGACCTCTTATTTTGCCAAGAAGACCAGCATATCATTTTTTTCAGAAACGGAATGTCGTGTGCCACAAGTTCTGTTTTTAGGTTATATATATATACACACACACACACACACACACACACACATATATATATATATATATATATATATATATATATATATATATATCGCTGCCCAACGAAAAACATCTCCATTTTTAATTCTGACCAACAGAAATGCTCCAAAACTGCTTGGAATAAAATATATTAACATTACCTTACATTGTTTTTCTTTGGACAGTGACTATATATATATAAAACAGGGCAGGGGGAACTGTCCAGGACCAGGGCCGGGAACTACAGGTTTAGTAGTCTACCTGACGGTAGCTGTAGAGGCTCGGTCCTTCCTGTGGCAAATTGCTGCAACATCCTGCAGTGCCGAGGAAGACCAGCGACGGGCTCAACGACCTAACGATGGGTTTTTGGTGCCATCTGTAGGCCTATTTGAGCACATACATACATGAAGATCTCACCTGAGCATCCTGAGCGACTGCATCCTTGAGCGCAAGGTCTGTTTCCACTTGTTTTAACGGAGACATGCAGATTTTTACATCTGTCTGATTAAGACGATGCGTTTTATTTTCAAATGAGAAAACGGTTCAACTCTGTGGCTGATTGTGGTTGATAGACGCCCCTTTGTTTTTGCTGTAACGTTAGCTAACGTCTCTGATGTGGCAGACAGCCGTACTAAATCCACTGCTGTCTAGAGGAGGGAGAAAGGTGGGCGTGAGGATGACGTCAGCGGGGAGTGTGTATGTGTGAGTGTGTGTGTGATCAGGTGTACACGCCGTTTGAGGAGGGAGAGCGAGGAGGAGATGGAAACTTGAGGTCAGACATCGTGTCAAGGGCGTTGATAGCTGCCCATTTTAAACCAGGCGAGCCCCCCCCCCGGCCCACACACACAGCTGCGTGTCCCGGATGAGCGCGAGCGCGAATGGTTCCCGCCACACAGACAAACGGGAAAGCGACGCTGACCGGTACCTCTCAATTGCTGAACTGTCCGAGATTTTTCTGGGCATTTTTTCAGTATTTTGCTCCGGAGAAGACTCTTGTTTTCGTCAGTGGCACTGTTACTGATGCGAGGTGAAGCGCGAGGGGGAGGGGGAGGGGGAGGAGGACGGGGGGGATCATTTTGGTGAAGGGAAAATGCCTGTTCGCCGCAGATTGTGCTGTCAGGAAAACAGCAACAACATCATGGCCTGACTTGGCTGTTTCAGATGGGCTGAAGCTCGTCGCAGGACCGCAGGGGCGGTTTGGAGCCAGGACATGTCTGCAGCACTGACGAAGGCGAGTGGGCAAGAGGGAAAGGACTGAAGGATGCAAGGGGTGACGGTGAGCGGAGAGGCGCCCACCCTGACTGGGGGAGGAAGGGAGGAGGTAAGAGCGAGAGTGGGTCTCAGTCTGGTCTCTTTGCAGCTGTAATACGTTTTGAAATGGTGTGGTATGTTGATAAACCACTACTGTACTTCACTCGCACCTTAGTGTTGATTTAGCCTTGAGGTCATCAAACAGTCATAAACCGGACCTGCATTGTTTCTTTTCGTATTGGCTACAGTTTACTGGGTTCAGTTATCTGGGGTAAAGTAACCTGAATTGAATATTTTAGAGGACTTCAAAAAGTGATGTGATAAATAACAACACGTTTACTTGTGTTACCTGTTTTAACACTGTTTGTGTCATATTGTTTTCTGATTTAACTCATTCTCTGTTACAATAACACAAAATGTGTTGTCTTCAACTGAGCACACTAATCTAGTTAGAGACAGAATGTGTTTTAAGAGTGCCTAATTGTTGACCTAGGATAATGCAGATGCCAGATAAGCATTTTATTAGAAGTTATACACTTTGAGTTCATGCTGCTTGCTTTTAAGAAACCCCCAGTAACTTAGTTGTACTTAAGCAGGCAACATTTGTCATAACTGATGGACACCCTGCACAGCAGGTAACTGTGATCTGACCTGTTAATATTGCCTGCACACTCTGTAGGCTGAACTCCTCGATAGGACAGATCTGCCATAATATCCCTTAAGTGTGGCTCACCCTTCCTGTGTGGTTTGTGCTGGCCTGGTAAAAAGGGGAGGGGCGCCTCCTTTGTCGTCATAGAGACCACAGATAATATAGGAGGCCTTCAGAAGATGTTTATTTTACACCTTTTCTGTGTGTAGAAAAGTCAATCAGTTCACACATCAAACATCAATTTCTCCGCCCAAATGTCTAAAACCTGTATTCCTATTGACACCTGTTCTCCAGGCTGGTGTTAGCTCTATGAAAACTGACTTCTGGGTTAAGATAGCATTGCACTTTCTAACATCCGTTTGTCATAGATTAAAAAAGCCATGAAGACATTTCTCCTCGCTTTATTATTGCGCAGCACACTTTCCAGCCTGTTATTCAGGAAGATTACTGAATAGCTCAACAGCAGTATAAAAATATGTGCTGTGGACATGTCATAGTGTTGTTACTATTGTCAGCTATCTTTGGTATCACGGGTCTACAGGGTTAAAAGGATTTTAATTAGAATCAATCAATCAAAAGCTGTCAGATTTTTGAGATGTAATATGATGATGCAAATTATTTCTTTTAATGAAGATAAAAGTTGAAATGACTGAAACTTGGTAATTCAGACTGAAAAAGAATAGATCCTATGTCTCATTGCACTGTCAGTTACCAGTTAAAACCTGTCACCAGGTGTTTGGCGTTTCAGTCTTGTCAGTGGGAGAAAATACAAGCCATACAGTGCTTAAATATGGTCGGGTTCTCTGTGAGTTCCATTCAGTGATTACATGTTGTTTTTACATAGTTATTTTACTTGGCTCCTGTCAGCGTGTACATAGTTCTGTCTTTGCCTAAAAGCCAGTCTACATGGAAGCAGTCGAATTGCTACGACTCTGAAAGTAGGAGCCTAACAGAGATGGCCTCCCTCTAATATTCACATGTTCCTGAGCTCTTTTTTGAAGTGGATCAAGTGCGTTAGGTTAGATTTGGAACTAAACTCTGCAGGGTGAGTAGATCTCCAGGACTGGCACACTTACTAAACTATTACTAATACAACCTGTATGGAAAGAACTGCACTGGCAGCTTGTATCTTTCAGGATAGATTCTGAAGTTCTGCTACTAGATTTTAAGGCTGTAAATGACCTAGCGTCCACTTACACCACAGAAAGCTTCTCTATGCCCCAACACGTGAACTTCAATCTGCAGATACTGGCCTTCACCAAATTCTTTCTGTAAAGTACAGAAAACATGGAGAGGCATCTTCCTCTTTTAGTTATGATGCTACTAAACTGTGGAACTGAATTCCACCTTTTATTAGACAGTTAATCTCAGTGCACACGTTTAAGAAACATTAAAAAATCTCTCAGAGTTTAATTAAAATTCTGTATCTCTTGTAATTAACTTTTTAATTCGATATGTCATTGTGTTATATGATTTTAAATTAATATTCATAATTTTTTCCTATTACTGTTAAGATTTATCACCTGTCTGTAAAGCACTTTGAGCTGTCGCTGGTATAAAAAGTGCCAAATACGACAGAAATACTAAAATATAGTATTTTAATATAGATACTATATAAAGATGATTTGTTATTATTTGTATCATTATTATTATTATTAAAAGCATTCCCACTAACAGTCAGATGATTGACAGTCTTTCAGCCATAGATGGTAGTGTGTTCTCTACATTTTTCCCCATGTATGCTCCCCAATTAATTCTCCTCCAATAGGATCCATACAGTCTTTATCTCCACTTATTGGATAATTGGCTCACGCAATTCATTCAAATGGGCCATCACTCTGTTTATCAGATTATATCATGACAAGATAATGAGAATGTTAGTGAGAGCTGGGTCTGAGTTGTGAGGGTGGTCTGTCTCTCTGTGTGTTAGGCCCTGTGTGCGGTCAGGCATGACAGCTCTGCCACTCTGCACTGTGTAGAGCTCCTCAAAATGAAGGACAAAGACAACATGCTTAACATCATTACAGCCACACTCAAGAGTCCTTCCTGATGTGTGTTAAGGAAAGTGGAAATGCAGCCTCGAACGGCAAGGCTTTCAGGACAAGAGAGTCAAAAAGAAAAAAAAGAGATTATAATGTAGCAAGAGGATCATTTTTAACAGCACATTTCTTTCTCTCTCTCTCTCTCTCTCCCCTCCTGAATCTGCACTATCATTGACCTTCTTTTTAGTGCTGTATTTTTGCCACATTGACTGTTCTCTTTTAGCTCACACACTGCATCTGAATTATAGTAGAAACATAGCACTGAGCCAGCGAGTAATTAGTTCATGACTTTGTGTATGCTGAGTTTCAAAATGCTAGTGTCAGCATTCTTAGTATTGGTACCTGGAAAGCATCAGAGCTCACGTAATCTAACAGTGATTTTGAATCAATCTGAATATAAATATAGATAACCTAAATTGTTTCTGGTAAACTGTGCAATCTTTGTCATGTTGCATCATTTTGTGTTATCATCTAAATTTGAACCTTGAGAGTGACTCTTTCACTCACACTCTCCGTTGCTGAGTTAACCACTCATATAATGTTACAGACTGATCAATAGAGTGAGAGACAGAGGGGGGAGGGGAATGACTAGGATATGTTATTGAATTTTCATAATGTTCATGTAATAGTGACACTTACAGCCATACCAGTAGTGTTAGCTGCAACTATTTCCATTTAGCAGCAGCTCTTATATTCAATTGCCTGACATTTTTCTCTGCTCTTTTCTCATGCTCTGAAGCATGTTACCCCCATTGAGATATTCTTACCACTCTATGTGTGTGCGTGCCTGCTGTTGGCTTATACAACTGCTTGAGTGTTCCTCTCTGGGGCAGACAGAGAGAGAGTATGTGCTGAGTAGGCAATCAAGACTTTTTTAAAAGAGCATCTCTCTCTTATTCATGATTATCACTTCAACCTCTACTCATTTCCTTCCCTTAACTAGCCTGTCTCTTCTCTGTTGACTTACTAGGGATGTGCGTTCTGACTAATCTTTAATTATCTGAGTTCATGTGGAGATGGAAAAACTGAAAAAACAAAAACCAGAAAATAACAAAAGAAAATATGGCGATTGATGTAGAAGGGTGGCTTACATTTTATGGTGACAGCACTAGTGCTTCACAAAAATCTAGCATCGTGCAGAGAATTACATTTTAAAACATGTTTTATTATTCAAAAATAGCCAAGAGAAATGAGCAAAGGATAACTCACACCCATAAATAAGAGCAAAACTCACATTTTACAGTTTTCTGAAAACATAAAATCAGCTTCACTTAATTGTTAGACTGTATAATTTCTCTGTCTTCCTGTCAAGAAATGCAAGTAATACTTGAATAGTGATTTCAGCATGGGAATATCAGCACCTCAAGCGGTTAACCGAGTCCTCGACAGGGTTGGGATGTAATGGAACACAAGTATTGCAAATTCAGGTTCAGAATACAGAAATTAAGTATCTGGATTCAGTCCAGAGTACTCAGAGTATAGTTACCTTTTACATTTTTGGGAGAATACTTTTACTTATTCACCAAATTCAGAAAAACATACAATCTTTAAAATGAACACAACCAGTGCTTGTTTATTTACTGTTTTAAAATCAGGAATAAGGTGCAATTCGGATGATGTGATGTTAATATGTTACTTTTTAATGTATTATAACAGAATACATTACTGAATACACTTAGGACAGTGTATTTAGTATTCAGCCATCACTGCTTTTTCTAAGTGTTTTGTCCATCTCTGCTGCTTGAGTATTTATGCACATCCCTAACTGGTACCCTATGTATGTTCTGACCAACTGGTGGATAGTTATGTGCTGTATGTCATGAGGGAAAAAAGCATTTCCATTTAATTGGCCTCTGCTAAAATAAGGGCAGTCATAATTAATTGAGATTTTTCTTCTTTTCTCAATGAATAAGCAGTGATTAGTTGGTAGATTGCATGATGATCAGTAGCCTAAATTCAACTATCAGTACTTCATTGAAATAATGAAAAGCAACGTAACCTTTTCAACTCCTTGGGACCACCGGTGGTTCCAAAACGCACTTCGTCATATTCTTCATAACTTTCATATTTCATAAGCTACATTCAAAAGGTGGGTGTCATATGAGAGCTGTAACTGTCTTCTTTCCAGTCAAATAGATGGGTAATGTAATTTTAAAACCTTATAATAAAAGAAAATAAAACTGAAAGTTGACCCATTTTTCCACAAATCTGGGCTATAAACTACAAACAGATGGTGTCACTTCGGTGATATACTCTGTAAAAATTATTTTTATAAAAAAATACAAAGAGCGTCTAAGATTTATGACTTTCAGCAGTAAATTGTAATGTGTATGATCATAAAACACATTTTCTGTCAATTTGAGGGGAGCTTTTACCAGAAAATAAATAAATAAATAAAATAAAAATTTACATTTATTTCATGCAGTTACTGAATAATTTGCCTTACGATTTGGTCGTGTAAATTCAGATGGAAAAACCTAAATATACCCTGGTGAATAAGAGAAGTATAAAAGTAGCAGATAAAAGAACTACTAGTACTGAGTAACAAAACATTGTATTGCTTCCAGCATCTAACAGCTTAGGAACTGAACTTTGTTAGCTGCTATTTTTTTCATTTTGAAGCACTTTTAAAATAAAATGCTAAAGTTGTGACCAGTTGCAAAACAGTACAGATGTTGAACCGACAGAACAAAATAAAATTAAACAAGGAGAAAAAATGTAATGTGTAAAACTAAATTGGGTGAAGAGTGTATAAAGGTATATTTTGAAATCTTTGACAGGCTATGCATGGTTTGTGTTTGTTGTTCAGGGCTATTCAATTGTTAAACGTTTACATTTTAAAACGTTTAATTATTCAAAAAAGTTGAGAGAAATGAGCTAATGAGCTAAAACTGTAGCTAACTGATAACATTGCATGCTGATGAAGACTCGTCATTTTCTTCAGGTGTTTTTCCTCTTCAGTGGACGATGTGCCAACGTTAGTTTGTTAGAGAAATACAGTGGCTAGAGAAAGTATGTGAGTCCTTTGGAATTACCTGCATTTATGTATTAATTTGTCTAAAAATATGGTCTGATCTTCACCCAAGTTATAACAAAGAACAAACACAATCAGTTTAAACTAATAATAATGTTATAACTAATGAATAATGTATTGTTTTCATCCATTGAATACATCGTTCAAACATTCACGGTGTAGGTTGGAAGAAGTATGTGAGCCTCTAGGTTAATGACTATAACAAAAGTTAATTGGAGTCAGGAGTTAGCAAACCTGGAGTCCCATCAAAGTGAGGTGGGATTGGATGTGCAGGTTAGATCTACCCTGACTTGATTTGCATAAAGCTGAAAAGGGTTACAAAGTAATACCAAAGAGTTGAGGTATTCATCAGTCTATATTTAGACAAATAATATATAAATTGAGACAATCTACTATTGTGAACTCTCCCTGGAAGTAGGTGCTCAGCCAAGATCACTCCAAAGGCACAATGCAGAATACTCAGTGAAGTTGAAAAGAACCCTGGAGTTACAGCTAAAGGCTTGAAAAAATCATTGGAACTTGTTAGCATTTCCGGCTGAGTGTACCATACGAAATATTAGCTTGTTGATGTTTGCAAAGAGAACATTGACACACCAAAACATCACTGTGAAAATGTTTTGTGGACTGATGAAACTAAAATTAAATAGTTTGGGGAAAACACATAGCACTATGTATGGGGTAAAAAGGGCACTGCGTACCAACATGAAAACATCATCCAAGAGGGCAGTATGGTGGGGCTGCTTTGCTGTCTCTGGGCCTGGACCAACTATCATCATTGAGGGAAAACAAAATCCCAGCAGGATCATGTCAGGTGGCTGTCTGTCAGGTGAAGCTCAGCAAAAGCCAGGTGATGCAGCAGAACAGTGACCCTAAACATTAAAGAAAATCTACTGCAGAATGGCTTCAAAAAAAAAAAAAACGCCTTTTGGAGTGGCCAGTCAGAGCCCTGACCTTAACCCAACAGAGATGCTGTGGAATGACTTCAAGAGAGCCACTCACACCAGAATTCCGAAGAATATAGCTGAGCTGAAGCAGTTCTGTAAGGAATACTGGTCCAATATTTCTCTTGAAAGTTGTGGAGGTATAATCTGCAGCTACCAGAAGCACTTGCCTGAACTTACTGCTGCCAAACTAAGTTTGTCCAGTCATTAAATCCAAGCCTTCACTTATTTTTTCCACCAGCGCTGTGAATGTTTAATCTGTGTGCACATTTACAAGACTTTGAAAGATTACAATTGTTTTTTCATGTTATTAGCTTTAGCACATTGTGTTTGTCTATACCAGTCACTTACACAAAGAACAGATTTTATGACCAATTAATGCAGAAAACAAGTTAATTTTAAATGGTTCACATACTTTTTTTGCCACTGTATAACTTAACTGTTTCAGCAATCAGCCTAGCCTATATAGTGATAAAAGTCACGCTGCCTCTGCCTTCTCAGTCTCATCCTTAACAACACGTGTTTGGCAAAAGTACCAAAGAAAAACAACACGCATACTTGTTTTCCAGTTCTCTCAAAACACACAATCAGCATTTCACTGCATTGTTGGACTGTTTTATTTGTTATTATTATGTATTTCCTGTCAAGAAATGCAAGTGATATCCAAATAGTGATTTCAGCATTCTAGTAGTGGCACCTTGAGCGATTAACCAAGTACTCGACAGGGTTGGAATGTATCGGAATACACATGCTGAGTATTTGTATTATGTATCTGTTATTGCTCTGCTAAGTCAACCTTTATTCAGTTGTCAAAGTAATCAGTAAATAACTCTAATAAAGAAATCAACAGTGACAGAACTTATTTTTTTAAGTAAAAAGTTTAACAAGTGATGCTTTAACATAAATAATAGAAAGGCCAAAGGAATGAATAGAATCAGTCACACTTCTTTCCCTTTCCCCTCCTCTGTGCAGAGCACAGAGAGAAACAATACCCCAGGACACCCAGAAACACACACAAGCACGGTGCACTTTCATGTTCACTTATTCTCTCCCTTCCACTCAAGCACTCAGCACTCTGGTGCCTCTCATATGAAAGCATTCACATGCACATGATCTTCTTAAGCTGTGGATTCATAGACCAGCTAAATAATTTAACCTGTTAGAGTGCATCTGAAATACCAGGTGGACTTTATGCACTATTCATATGTCCATGCCGCTGTTCACTTTGTCATGATGTATTCAAATGCTGTTAATCATGGAAGGTTCCAGAAATGCTCTACCAGAGACTATCTTTGTTGTCTCTGCGGGCGTTTCCTTGCAACATAAACATGACTCCATCTTCTCACTATCTCACCCTCCCACCACCTTACTTTATTCTATGATGAGGTACTTGTGCCAGTCATTATACAACATCTACTTGATGAATAATTGATCAGTGATAATGTGGTCTGTATTATTTCACTCAGAGAGACTATTGTAGTGATATTTATGAGTCCCATTTATTTAGACATAAAGACGGGGACAAATATATTCTTTATTGTACAAAATATGGAAATAATTATTATTATAATTTTGCAAGTTATGTCCTGTAACTTATAGTATAAAAATCTCAAAATGATCAAAAGTAAAGCTCTCCACCCTGCAGATTTTTCAAAGGTGACTATGATGGTAAAAATGCATCAGCCACTGCTGAGTGGGGCAGCAGAGGCTTAAAGTTCACTGCAGGTTGTAATTGATTCTCCTATCACCGTTTGCTCTCTTGTCCTTGTAAAACCAGCACAATTAAACTCACACACCTCTGCCAAGAAGAGCAGAGCTCTCACAGTCTCTATGCCACAGCTTGGACTGCAGCCTGCCTTTTAGTGCTGCAATCTCTCACAGCAAGGGCACCACTCTGAATATTAGCGGGTTGTGGGTGTGTGTACGCGTGCTGGCGTGTGTGATTGCCAGAAGATGTAGAATGTGAGAGAGCATGTGATAAAAAGGCTGTGGAGCTTCTATGCAGGTTATGAAACATTTGTTAATATCCCTGTTTGTACCAAGACCGTTATGTGCTGTAGATTGTTCTTTGCACTGTGGTTGGAAATGAGCATGCAGGAGTCATAGGGTTGCTGTAGCATAAACTGCCTCTAGAGTCAAAAGTGGCATCAAAGAGCCAGCCACATTTTTTTTATAATGATGCATTGACGTCTAAAAGCATTCAGTGCTCTCTCTCTCTACGCTGATACGGAGCATGTTAAAAGCAGGCATGGCTTGGGTTACGAGCAGGCAGGAAATGCATTCAGCCCTCAAGAGACTGGAGAAGAAAAGTCAATTACTCCAGAATTGAAAAGTAAATTTCACCAAGCTACTGTCTAAGCTATATGTCAGAAATCTAGAGGCAGTTTCCCCACGTAGCTGTGGTATTTCCGTTTCAAATGAAATGTATGCATTTTCCGAGCCAAATCAGTCAGCAAAATGTGCATTCTGCTTACTTCTCACAAAACCAATATTAAAACACATTTCTTGTTTCTCTTTCTCCTCTCTTTTTCCCCACACTTTCTAAATCCATTCTCTGTGTCTACACCCTGCCCACAACGCACAATTTCCTGCTCATCTGCACACACTTACGGCCATATTCCCTGACCCTGTCCATCCCTCCAACCAACTCCAACCAAAATCCCTTTCCTACATGCAGCAGCGTCCCCTCAAACAGTCCTTAAGTGGCTCTCTGTGCCGGGAGTCCCATTGGAAGTGCCTGCTGTTGACCCTGCTTATGTACGGCTGCTTTGGCACCCTAGGCTGGTGCTCCCTGTACCGCATCACAGTCATGGCCTCTGATGACCAAGGTCCTGCCTATTACTATGGTGACCGAGCCCGGCTCTATCATGACAGCCCCTGCTCCAATGGATATGTCTACATACCTGTGGCCTTTCTGGCTATGCTCTATGTTGTCTACCTGGTGGAGTGCTGGCACTGCTACTCCAAAACAGCCAACCTAGCTAAAGTGGAGATCAGTCAGGTGTATGATCGAATCCAGCGCCTACAGCAGGCCACACCCTGCATCTGGTGGAAGGCCATCAGCTATCACTATGTGCGGCGAACCAGGCAAGTGACACGCTACCGCAATGGCGATGCCTACACCACCACGCAGGTATACCATGAACGGGTCAACACGCATACCTCCAGCTCTGAGTTTGACTACTTACGACATGGCGTCAAGGACGTGTCCAAAGAGCTGCAAGGCTTGCTGGACCACCCTGTCACACGACTTCGCTTCACTAAGTGCTTCAGCTTTGCCAGCGCCCGTGCTGAGACCGCCTACCTTACACAACGAGCACGCTTCTTTGGAGACAATGAGGGCCTGGATGACTACATGGAGGCACGGGAGGGCATGCACCTGAAGAACGTTGACTTTCGAGAACACATGCTAGCATTTCCAGATCCCGCGCGGCCCCCCTGGTACACACGTCGTTGGGTGTACTGGCTGGCTTCTGCTCTGCTGCTGTCCTGGCCGCTCAGGGTGGTCGCCGAATACCGCACAGCCTACGTCCACTACCACGTGGAGAAGCTCTTTGGCGAGAATGAGGATGCCAGTGACAACGATAACAGTGAGAATTATCGGTCAGGATTTGAGCATGGCACAGGAGGTCCCACTCTGCGCGTTATATCCCGTGTAAACACTGTGGACATAACTGAACTGGAGTGGCACATTCGCTGCAACCAGCAAATAGTGCCCAGCTATTCAGAGGCCTTGCTTATGGACCTGGACATGAACACTAACACACCACTGTCAGTTGCAATGGCAGCCCAAATGAGACGTAACTCCAGCTACTTCCTCCAGAGCTGCCCTCGTTGCCGGAGGTCCACAAGCAGCTCTTCTTTGCCCTCCTGGGCCAGAGGGAATGTGATAATGGGCGCAAACTCATTTCCAGTCAGGGCTGGAGGGAGGCTGGTTCTGAGCCGCAGCGGCCTCTCCCTGGGGCGCTTCCACTCCACCCGAAACCGCCACACCTGCCTATTTCATTCAAGGAGCCTTGGAGGAGGACTAGGGGGCAGAGGGGAGGAGGGAGGCGGGGGCTTTCTAGGCCTGGGGTTCCGCACAGCAGATGAGGAGAGGAGAGGTGTACTAGAGGGGGAAGGGGAGGGGCTGGAGGATGAAGAGAATTGTGAGGCTGAGGAGCGAGGGCAGGGAAACAATAGAGAGAATAGAGAGGTCAGGGGAGAGGAGAGAGACAGGCCACCGGCCTATCATGATGCTCTATACTTTCCTGTGTTGATCATTCATGGAGAAGAGAGCTGCCATGGTGGACAGGACATTGACACTGGATAATGCCGGGGACTGGTGTGTGAAATGTAGATTAGGATGTGTGCAATGGTGTTCAGGTAAGTGAACTAAAGGAATAGAATAGGGAGTAAGGCAGAAGACTGTTGGGCACTTACTGAGGAAAATAATTCATACCCAGGGAAGATACAAAGATGAAAGTAAGGTGAAACCTGAATGTTTGATTATTTGAAGAAAGAGAAAATATGTGTTTTCACCCTATACAAGACCAGAGAGTAGCACTAAAGAACAACTCCAGTATGAATGAATGTATAGAATATCATAGGGTTTAACGGAAAACATGATATCCAGGTCAGTTCATGTTCGTGCCAGCTGGCACAAAGTTGACATGGACTGACCCGTTAGAAAATTCTTAGAGGCATGAATCATTAGATATCAGTATCCTATTATTCTATGCCTTGGAATAACATCTTCATAAATGGAAAAAATGCTCAGTCTGTCCATGTAACGCATCTGTCCCTCTAAGAGTATTGTAGTTTACATGAAAAGCTGGACAGCTATACCCGATCACTTAGTGAAGACATTCCAGGCCTAGCAACTCAAAATAATGATGTAGTCCATGCTACAGTTTGAATAAGGCAGTAGCCTAATACCATTATTTAAACAAAAGTATAACTGTAGTTATACTGTAGAGCAGATGGTCTCAGAGTTCAGTTAATTTCTTTAAAGAAATGAGAGCATACTGAAACAAAGCCAAAAGATCTCAGGGGAAAAGAGACTATTCTTTTGTAATAGGGAATGAAATTGGTAGAGATTTGTTAGGGGAGGATGTAGGCTGATGAATTGTAATCCCTTGCTGTTTGTACTTATGCTTCAACCCACCATATTGTGTCATGATTTCTTTTAATCTTTTTAATTGCCTTGTAGAAGCTTGGTGCTCATTATTCCACTGTTCTTTGCCTTAAAGGTGTTTCGATTCAGCGCCATGTTTGCACTGCTAGCACAACCTCTTATAGCTATAATACAGCATTATTCTTAAGCTTCTTTACATAAACACTTACATACAGGTGAGTCTGTGAACACTTTAGAATTATATGTACTTCTGCATGAACAGTTCCTAAAATTTGATCTGATTTCATTTAGCGAAAGACACATTTGACATTTCTATATGTTGAACACATTTTAAAAATGAAGCTCATTGATGGTCTCTGGGTGCTTATATTACTAAATAGTGGAACATCTTTCTTTATCAACAGTAATGTCAACTAAACACTGTAACTGCTATTTAGTCCTTATTGCAGCATTTAGGAAGTATTTTGGCTTATTCCTTGCACTGACCTTTGTGGGAACCCACTCCTAGTGTGGGTAGTAGCTGTGAAGCATCTGCCTGATTGTGGACTGACAGAAGCTTCTTCAGACATTCTTTTCTAATGCTCTCCAATCTTGTAAACTTCAACAGTGTTTTTTCAGAGGCCCTTTGAAGTTATTTGATGGGAACATATTGTAGTTGAACAAATGTCTGTTGTGAAGAGCAGATAATCAAAAGTGTGTTTTTTATATGGCCAGACAGGTCAAACTCGCACATTAGTTAATTGGAACACTTGACTCCAATTGTCCTCTTTTCAAGGAGACATATTCCTAGAAGTCTTCAAACTTTTCCCATCAATGACCCTGATTGTTTAAACCATTTGTTCAGTAAAGATGGTTTGTACTAAGACTATCTTTATTTACTATTATGACCTAGATGAAGATCAGCTCAAGTTACGACTGTTCATGCAGAAATCCAGATAACTCCAGAGGATTTACAGTTCCTTACAACAGACAGGAATGGATAAGTTGGTCTCAGGAAGAAACATGTAAAAGAAATAAATATGAAAAAGGGAAAGAGGTTAACTCTATCTCAACCCCCTCACATCTGTACAATTTTTTGTTGAGTTTATTGTAGTGGTACAAAAATAATATCACGCGACCACTTTAAACATTCGCTCATCTTCCTCTTCGCTTTGCCTGCTCCCTGTACTGCTTGAATATTGGCAGCTTTTGTCCTTTAAGTTAAAATAAGGCTGTCCTTTGATGAATTTGGATGATTCTGCTAGAATAATACAGAATACTACAATGTGTAATGACTGTCACTAGTGAAAAGCACATGATTGTCTATTAAAACATAAGCCATGATCCAGAACTACACTGTCCAGTTGCCACACTAATACAAACCAGCTTGCAAATCCCAAATTGAAGCTTACTTGCATGAACACCTAACGTAGGTTCATTAACAAGCACAACTAGTCATCTGCTTTACAAACAGTGCAGGGGATGCTCTGAACAAAGTGAATGCTGTCAAGCTGATCACAGAATAAATGAATGTACCAGTAGAGTCCTGCATATTCAAGAAGAACCTGTTCTACAATCTGGGACAACAAAAAACTCAAAGCACACAGCAAATGCATCCCTATTTTGTCGGCAGAGTTGCTGCTTATCTGGTAATTGCCACTACTCCAACTAGCACTGAACATTAATTTTTCTGTGGTGATGATGACAATGATGGTTATGGTGGTGGTAATGGAGGTCATATAAATAAAGTCAAACTATTAGCAGTCTGTTTGAGTATTTCTTTTGTGAATTGCCAGAGTATGAGACATGTATTATCATACTGTATGGCATACAATACCTTGGATTATTCAACTGGAGTCCCAATGAGTGACATCACAGCAATGTCAGTATGAGCTGTTCATTTTAAATAGTCATACCTTTGTGCTTACATCATTTTTGTCAGGACACCTCTCTCTTCTTTTCATTTACGTCAAATGGACAAATATTAGTGGTCTAAAAGAAAAAAATATATCACATTATCTTAAACAATATATTTTTATGGTCCATAAAGTCTTTATGTTCAGATTATCTTAACAATAATAGATAATTCATAATAAAATTCACCACAATATTCACTACAATATCTTTAACAGACTTTTCACAGTTTTTTGACAAATATTTCAGTGTTTCTTTTTAATAGAAATCCGTGATTTCTATTAAAAACAGATTTCTGTGTGGACAGAAGGAGAGTCGGGAGTTTAGTACAGTTGTTAAGAGCTGTTTTTAGGTTTGGATCAATATAGGGCACTGACAAACACCTACACTGCATCTTGTTAGCCAGCTGTATTTACTTTTATTTTTTGCCTTCACAAACTTCTCTCTGAATGTTGATTTGTACATCATTTTTCAATATGTGCCTTCATTCTGTTTACATAACTCTTTTTCATAGTACATAAAATGCATTTTCTGTCTGGAGGAAGTCTCAGTTAAACTATGTATGTTCTTTTCTTCAATAACATTGATAGAATATATTTTGATGTAAATGTGTATTATTTACAAATCTGGAAGCAAACTGCGTTTTCCTCTTCAAAGATGAGCAAGCAATTCAACATTTATACTTTTGTTTTTATTGTTTAAAGGCTATTTTTACTGTTTTTTATATGAAGAAAGCAGTTGTTGTGCTGTCTTTTACATTGGCAAGGCTGTCTTTGTGAAGAGATGTGAATTGTTTTTACAGCAGGGTTTCTCAACCCTCCCCTTTCACCCATCATTGTTCACTAGCAGCTCAACACAAAGTCACAATTTTACTCACAGAAATCAACAGTATTGTAGTTAATCTGATTACATAGTTATGAGGAATTTTTTTGTGTATATATTAATTAAACTAATATTAATTAAACTGGTGGGATGGCCACTAGAGGGCCGGTGGAAAGAGGCTGCAGACATTACTAATACACAGAATTGCTGTACTTTTACTGAAAAGGCCCAGTAGCTGGACTGTAAAGTTTTTTTTTCTGAATGAACTGATGGATTGTACATAAATAGAAATGACCTAAATATTCCTTCTTTACAAACCTGTGAAGACAGCACAGACATTGTTTGAGGTCATTTATTTGAACATAAACATAGATGCAGAAGAATTTACTTATTTTATTTTTTAGTTTACTAAGGAAATTGGGATAGTCATGAAAATTGTACTGTATGTCAGTGGCTTTCCTCTCTCCCTCTCTCTACTCTCTTCTCCCTCTGATCATAATCTGTGCATGAAGGACAGTGCCACTATAGTCACAGCTCTAATGACAAATGAGATCAAAAGAGAGAGAGGGAGAGAGAGAGAGAGAGAGAGGCAAAGAAGGACGATGAGAGAACGCTTGCACACGTGGGAGAAAGAGCAGCTCAGCTGCACTGGAAATTATTAGTGGACGTGTGGAGGACAGACAAGGACGAGAGACTGAGGCAGTAAAGCAGCACTGCACATAGCGCCTGTTCTCTGGTAAGTGACTTCAGAGTCATGCACTCACCTTTAAAGGAAAGCTGTTACACACTGGGCAGTCATATGAAGGAACATAATAAATACTTATAAATGTCCATATTCAGTTTATTATGTTCATATGAATATCATGTTCAGTATTTTTAACAAGCTATTGTAAGATCATATGGCTTAATTTGTATTAGTTTGCTACCTATGGTCAAGAAGAATGTATTGTATAGACAAAAAAGGAACACAATCTGTATTGAATTCTGTTGAATATTCTAAATCAGTGTGTTCAGGTTTGTGTAAATGCCATGTTCAGTACAGTAACCAGACATTCTAAGATTTGCTCATATGTCAGTTGGAAGTTGTCAAGTTGTAAAGTCTGTACAAGTACAGTCAGGTGCACAAATTTGGGCAGCCCTGGTCAAATGACATGTTTTGTTGATTGTCAAGTGAAAATAAGTAAACATCCTCTACAGAGAACATACTTCTGCAAAATGTATTGCACAATTACTGTTTACACTGTTTATGCTGAACATGTTTGGAAGAAAAAATAAACATAAGATGTGGCCCACACAAACGTCATGGCACATTGTTTTATGTTTTTTCCCCAATTTACTAAATTTTGCAAATAAATATTTGCAGCTAAATCCCATACTTACGTTTGTTCCCTGTAAAGAAAGTGTTAACTTATTTTCACTTAGAAAATCAACAAAACGTCATTTGACCAGGGGTGTTCAAACTTTTGCATGTAACCATAGATAAAATGGACATAATGTCCGCTTAGATGGTAATAAGCTGGCCTCTATTTCTTTATATATTTTGTATAGAGATTAGGTGTTTCCTAGGTTTGCTAAGGTAAGTGTCTGTGTGAGGAGTTCATTAGTACAAAGATAAGATTAGCTTTGAATTAAGCTGCTTGCTCTGGTGATTCAGGCTAGCGGTGCCATCAGAGAATTAGGTCACATCGTCACTGGGAGTACCGAGCTTGTTTACCTAGTAACAGTAATAATGAGGGATCACTGTAAATTTAAACTGCTTGAGTTCACAGCATGCATGGCACCACAACTCATAGTACCAGTACTACACTGACATAATGTACAATTTCATATATACAGTACATCATTATTGCGGGTACAAGTAATACAATCCCTGAGTCAATGTATTGTTTTCGTAGTTAGCCCCTTGAGGTTGATATGTTGTTTGTGAGGCACCAGGCTTGGCACATAGCCCATGTAGCTCTACAGGTCTTCACACTATGTATTTGTGCTGTCCTTACAGAACTCAGCAGTGAAGCAGTGAGGATGTCCAGGGACCAGCTGGACTCGGTGGCAAGCCATATGGAGAGTCTGCTGTCGGTGGCTGTACAGCTGCAGGCACAGTGTCAGGAGCAGAGTGTGCAGCTGGCTGCTCTGACTGCCCAGCTGAGGGAGGAGGCCCAAAACCTCCGCCAGCAAACGTCACTGGCTGAGCAGGACATGGCCGAGATACATAAAACCCTGGAAGAGCTGATGGACACTAAGATGGCATTTGAGGCCAAAGAGAGGCAAGCCCGCAAGCTTAGCAAGCAGCTATAAGCTATGTCATGGAGAACACCAAAGGTAGAGGTCAGCCTGTTTTAGGGGATTTTAACAAGAAGAAGCTACAGAACAAGAAGAAGGTACAGAATAAGACACTTAAGTCAGGGGTGTCCATCTTCAGTCCTGGAGGACCAGTGTCTGGCACAGTTTGGTGATTTTCATGCTTAGAGACACCTGATTCAATTATTCAGGACCACAATTAGACACCCCTGCATTAAGTTAATGTTTAAAAGAGCTCAGTGGAAAAATATTCATCTTGAATTAGAAATTCATGACAAGCTTGAACGTTTGTTTTTTGTATATGACACAATGCTTGAATAATTGTGTTGTACTGTATCATCATGACTGGTGGATAAAACTCTAGCTTATTATACAGTACCTGATGGTGAATGTTTACACAGTGGGCACTGAACTGTTATCATTTCCATTCAGTTTTGTTTACAGGTATTCCAATAAATCAGAACAAGGGTGCCTTCAGCACCGAATAAACAGGACCTGTGTTTTTATTTTGGGTTATTTCTCTTGGTCATGTGTTGCAAAGCACCAGAATACAGACATTCTTAAGAGATTAGAGGTAAACAAGCAATATCAGTATACAGTGACTGGGCTGATATGTAATATAACTGAAGAGTATTCTCATTTCCACTGTATGAAGTCATGGTGGCCAGTTATTCTATAGGCAATGTTCTATCCAGTCATAGGTACGTTACATCACTTTTGGTGGGCAGTATTGTTTGAATTCCAAGTAAAATCCTCTTGGATAGAATTAACAGTCTTTATATTGACCTTCTAATTAGTCCCAAAGCAAACAAGACAAAACAAAACTTAAACAATTTAATACAAATGTCAGTTATAAAGGAACATTTTAGCGTTTAAATAATTGAGCCCTTGCGACAAAAAAAAACAGTATATGTGACATTTTCTGTAAAAATCATATGTGGCATTGTATAATGCCCTTAATTTAAAATGAAGGGGACATTAAATAAATAAATATAAGTAAATAAAGCATAGCTGGCTTTTTAATGTAAAAGATTGTACAAAATAAAACAGAAAACATAACTGATTATCCAAAAGGGTGGAATAATTAATATATGTTGTTTTGTTGGAGTGGCTCAACTATAATTATATTACTTTCTTTATGGGAAGAACACTTCTTGAGCATGTACAGCTCTCCAGAATTATTAGCACCCTTGGTAAAGTGTTTTCAGTTTGATCCTACTCTGGAAACAGGAGCAATCCAATCTTTTAGTTAATTAAAATGTTAAAAGAAAAAATATTCATATTTTTAAAAATAAATGTTTTTCCCCCTCAAACAAGGTTAAAATTATTGGCACCACTGCATTTACTTTGTACACTCACCCTTTGTCAGGATAACACTAAGTCTTCACTAGTAATGCTGTTTGATATGGGAGAACGCAAAAGACCACAACATATCTAGATTTTCAGGTTTTGGTTCTCACTTGTAGACTTTCATTTCAAAGTCCAGATATGGCCACTGAAAGCTTGTTTCTTTGGCTAGTGAACCAGTTTTGTGTGAATCTGAAATTATGCTTTGGCTCATTGTCCAGCCACGGCCCATTCTTTGCTTCCTGGCAGAGGCAGTCAGGTTCTGACTTTTCACTGGGCATTTGGAAGTTTAGCAGACCAATAACATCACTGATCCACCACCATACTTCACAATAGGGGCATGATCTTCAGTCTTTGTAAACCAAACCACCTCGGTAGAGATCATACAGTGTCCTGTGTGCTTAAAAAAGGTTCAAATAATAATGGGGAAATATGTACATTTTACTCACATTCATATTGAAGAAGTATTTATGAGCAAGATGTTTATTTTCTTATAACATTTGTTTTTCTTTGAGTAATTTTAGCTCATATTTCATATTTTCAGTGTAAGATCAATCTGACATGGCCATTGTGCTGCATTTGGGCATGTCTGTGTTGTGGCCGTAAAACATGTCTTTCTACAAATACTGTTTACAGCTGGGAAAGTTATTGATCACAGTGCACTCACCACTTCATTATTATAGCTTTCAAAATAGCTTCCCAGAAAAACCTTATTTTATGTTCAGATGAACGTGGAGTGACTGGAAATTGCCACCTCACTGATCACAGCATCCGACAGACGTCTTGTCAGTCTGCGATGATATGTGGCAGATGATACAGTGTGGCTGTGAGGTGGTTTCAGAGGGTGCGAGACGGGCGATGGAAGAAGGGTTCAGTCTCCGCACGACTCCATTCAGCGTCCTCGCCCGCAGCCTGCCGTCTCTGCACCACCACCACTGCCATGATTAGCATCCAGAAGAAGAAGCTCACCCACACAGACCTCTGAGGAGAGAGAAGTGCAGCAGTCTGGACTAATAAGATAATAGAAACGTCTAAAGATGGAACATGATGGAACCCTTAAACTCTAAGGGCCCACACTTCAGTTCTTCACCCTCATAATTACATAACTTAGATATTAGTTTCATAGTGGTTACTGAATAATGTCAAGATTAAAAACTGTATAATAAGCCTGTAGTTTAAAAAGTTAAACTGTTTTGTCTCTAATATTCTTTGGTATTAGGGGTGCTTTCTGGAGTTTTCTCATGTTTACAGAGCTTCCCCAGGAGCTGTTTTCAACATGAACTGCTCCTCGTTTGTGTATGATAAGAAAGCTCCTTTACTCCTTTTCATTCATGGCTGACAAATATTTTATCACTGTCCAAAGAAAAACAAGTATCTCTAAAAGGGAAACTTTACAAAAGAGGGCAAAAATGTTCTTTACTTTAATTGTAAGTTAACATAAAGACATTTTATCCCAAGCTATTTTGGAGCAATTCTGTTGGTCTATTCATCATGAAATTTTCACACTGTGTAAATGCCAGCTGCTGGGTTCAGATGATGGAGAAAAATAAAAATCAACAAAAATGGAGATACATGTTTTTCTTTGGACAGCGACAATTTGTTATCAAACATGTTGACTCTGAGGTTTGATGCTGTGTGTGGTATGGAGTGATACCTCAGCACTGTACAGTCCTGTGTAAAACTGGTTTCCTGTGTTGGGACTGGCCCACGTCTTATTCTGTGCTTCCTCACAACTGAAAAGAAAACATATACATCAGTGATATGAACTGATTTGATTTCTTCATCAGATCAGTGTTGAAGTTAATACATTGTCTGAATGTTCATGCTACAGAATTACCAATTTTCAAACTGGTTCTGTATAGAACTATATACAACACATTCTCCATCAATCTAAGCTACTAAGCTGAACTCAGAGCTAAGGTTTCATATACTGCAGTTGGCTCCAGACACCGTCCCATCATCAATAAAAAAAGTTATTCTTAGGACAGGGAAAATATTTATTATGTAGTGTATAGCAGAAGTGTTGAACAAGGGTAAGAGAAAAGCAGGCCTGCCTAATTGTTGTGGTTTATAACGTAATAGTGGCATCAAAAGCTGACTTATGTATGATAGTTGACGTTGTAATTAAAAGTTCAACTTTTAGGGGGACATCCACCCCTTTTAGTAGGCTAGCTACACACCTGACATATAACAGTTTGTTCCTAGATACACGTACAACATGAAATCAGGCAAGGAACAAGAAAAGTCAACCATCATAAAGCTATAATAAAATCATTTAAAACACTTACGAACAATTTGGCTCACTTTCCCTTTTCAAAGAATACCTTTCAAATAATTCAGTGATACAAGTTCCCGCAATTTTAAGTCTTTCTGTAAGTCTGCTTGCTTTCTTAATTGGCTTCATACAGTAAGTATGTTAAGGAGATACACATGAGAGTGTAGACTAAAATTCCCAGTTCTTTTTTGATAGATAAAATTACCTAAATAAGAAGGTATTAACCAATTATGGCTTTATATATTAATGTGTACCAATAAATAAGCCAACATGTAGTTAATAAGAGCAAAACTACTTTTTAAAAAAAACCCTTCCACTTAATAATGAATCTTAGGGCACCTCGATAAACAGCGCATAAGGTGTGTATTAAATACATAGGAACATGCATGTAAATAACAATTAGCATTATAATCATTCAAAAGAGGAAGAGGACAACTAACAAGACGGATGGAGACGATCAAAGGAATCATGAACAAGCCATGAATAAACCTAAAGATCCAAACAAACAACAGGATATTCTGGACTCACTTGCTAATGGATGGAACATTGTGGAGGACAGAGAGACACAGGCTGTCTCTCCCGATTCTCAGAACACAGCCTGACACCAAGAGGAAAAACAGCAGGAGTCCACAGATCCCCAGAGACACGTTCAGCAACACACTTCCCCTAAAAAACAGGCAGACGCAACAAAAAACCTGTTTTTCTGCTGCATAACAGTCAAATGAAAAAATGTAAATTAAACAAATGTGATTTATCTCAAAAACAACAAGTTTGCATCTGACATGCAGGCTATACTAAATAACCTAAGAAGTTCTCATTGGCCTTTTTGCACTGATCTCTTCTTGAGCAATCACCTTTTCACTTCATCCTCCACACAGCTTGAGTAGATCCAGTAGAGAATCAGGGAGATGCAGTAAATAGCCATGCACACTGAGATGGCTGAGACAAAGTAGCAGAGCGAGGTAGAACTGGAGTTTTCTAGTATCAGGGAATTGCTAGATGTGTTGTAGTGGACACTGCCATAGAGGATGCACTGTCCAGCAAAGTGGCCCTACAAAACAGCATGTTACATCTGATTTTCACATAGTAGTACACTATAGCAAACAAAATTATATTATTGCATACAAATAGAGATATATATGAATATACGGTAAACTGTTTCTTTCAGTGTAAATTTAATTGGGAAATAATAAATCCTTTTTCACTGCAGTGCTCTCTCTCTCTCTCTCTCTCTCTCTCTCTCTCTCTCTCTCTCTCTTTCTCTCTCTCTGTCTGTCTGTCTGTCTTTCTGCTGTTACTAAGTAAGAGGGAGGGGAGTTTTTCTGCAGTTGCTTCATCATCTGACTCCAATAAAGTCTAATGTGGAACCGTATGTTAGTCACATGATCAAAACCAGATTAGGACATTTTTGCTTTCTGGCTTTGTTAAGATTTTCTCTAGAGAAAAAAAGTAATTAATAATATTTAGTTTAAGGTCTCATCATTTAGTAATAATATTTATATTTTCTAATATAAATATTATTATGATGAGAGTGAGCCTAATCAGACACTAAATAGTTATTTTTCAGAAATAAGAAAAAAGTCTCACACTGATTTCAAACAGGACTCAATCATGTCTAGGAGAAGCAAGACAGATAGAGAAGTGATATCATTTTGAATATTTCTTTCCTCTGGGTACATCAACATTGTTCAAAGTAAAAAAAAAAATAAAAAAAAAATTCAGTTTATTGTTGTTAATCAAAATCTGAATCAGTACAATCAATAAGCCTGTCCAATATGACATTTGAAAGACATAATGATAACACATCTACTCACAATATGAAAATCTCAAAAGTGATAAGACTATGATTCTTTAAAATAGTATGTTAGACAAGATAGCGCAATGATTCTTCAAAAACTTTGAGAAAAAGATACTATGGGAATTTCTACAGGATTAGAGATTCACAGTAAATTCAAAAATTACTACAGTTCACTACAGGATACTACACGAGTTTTATAGATTACTATAAGTCTGTACTACAGGAATATTATGCAGTGAAAATGTTATAGATTACTATGTAAGTATTGCAAAGCATGTAGCATTACATATAGTATTTTGCTATAAAATAGATCTTTTCTGTAAAGGAATAAATCTTTAAAAATAAAACCTAACTGTCTCAGCTAGTTTTGAAGAATGGATCATCAAGTTCGACAGATCACAGCTTGATTCCTTTTTTAGATGTTTCTAGATGTCAGATGTTTCTCCTTGAAGCTTGAGTTTTAGTCTGAGTAGAGAACATTAACATAAAAGGAACCTTGTTGGTCAGAATGGAAGTTCAGGTGTGCAGTCCTACCTGCGTGAAGGTGAGCGAGGCAGCGGTGATTATGCCGCAGATGAAGCAGCCTGCGTGCAGTACAAGCTCCAGTGTCAGCAGCCACGACAGCCCCATCACGACCATGTTCTCAGTGAGGCGAGCCACGGAGAAAAGGCACACATTCCGGAGGAAAACAGCCACACGGTGACTGTCACAACACGGCCTGTAACGCCAGCCCTGTCTCCAGCAACAATGTTGCTTTTCACAAATGGTGCGCAGTTGGGGAAATGCAGCAGCATAGCTATTACTGCAAGAATGCATTGAGTCCAGGCAAAACAAATGCCTTGTCTGTGGATAATAATCTCAGCCCATTTAAATGAGTGACAAACACCACGGACACTTTCCCAATTCCACTTTCCACCTCTGAGTTGTAAAACTTCTGCTACTGTTCATGTGGAAAGTGGAAGTCCAGTTTTCCACTGCATGACAACCTTACAACCACTAACAAGGTTTACAGACATGACAGAGACGCCCACCCCCACTCTTATAGCACAGAGCTTTAAAACGACCTCGGAAATAGTCAAAGGAATAGTTCACCAAAAAAACAAATTTACACAATTATTCCTTTAATCAGGATATAGTTGATCAGCCAAAATATGGTGTCTGGTGTTTGCTTCTTTAGTTTTGCACCTGTGGTACGAGGCTAATGAAGCTGAAAACTAATGAAAATCACTTTGGGTGACATATACATTGCAACTCCAGTTCAAAACTAAGGAAGCAAATTTTAAACAACATATGTGTCTTGGCCCATTAGGTATGGTTGGGGTAAGGGCAGAAATTTTTTGGGAAAGCATACCTTTAACTGGTCTCAAATGAAAAAGCATTCAAACACAACTCAGTCAGAAATGTTTACGAGGATGGAAGTGAATTATATACTATTGTCATCATATCTTCATCAGTATAATGTTGATTTTACATCTATATATACTGAAAAAACTTCCATGAAATCAGAGCCTTACTCTCCGCCGTGTTGTCTCCAGCCCAGTAGATGGCGCTGTGAAGTCTGCAGGCCGTAGCAGGAAAAGGCTGAAAGCCTGTTTAGCAGAGAGGGATCCGTTTAGAGCTTTTCGTACACTTTTCTACGCTGAACCTTAAGTGTGAAATTAAAATGCTTCCGTTTTACATGTTTTAAGCACAGATGAAAGACACACGTTCGAAATCGTGTTTTACTGTCTATGCGGATTTACACAGATCTCTGTACCATGGCTGTGATGTGTTTAAATACAGTGGTCGTTACATTCCTGTGGTCTGTGTTGTGTGTAACAGGTAAGTTGTAACGTTATTCCAGATCACAGCAGCATAAAGCTAACGCGCATATTTGAACAGGACCTTTATTAATTATGCATGTTTCCGGGTATCTCATAGCCGATGACAATATGGTGATGATTCCTGGTGGAAATATGAAGATGGGAACCAATGCTGCCGATGGCCGAGACGGTGAATCACCGTCTCGAGCTGTGACAGTAGCCTCATTCATGATGGACAAATATCCTGTGACTAACTCCGATTTCAGGTGATTACTGCTGTCTTTAAAGGGTAACTTTGCAATGAGGAGAATGGACCATACAAATGACCAGTCATGTGATTTTGTTCTCGTTTTGTTGATTATAGCCTTTCTAGAGGCAACATTCCTTTAAGTTCATCCACTCTGAGCTACACTGTTGGCCCAACAGTTTGCAGACCCCTCCTCATTCAACAAGGGTATTAAATAAGGAGTTTATACCCCATTTGCTGCAGTAACAACCGCTTCTCTTCTGAGAAGATTTTACACTAAATAGTGTTGACTGTTTTGCTGTGAGGATTTGATTGCATTTAGACTCAAGAGCATTAGTGAGGTCAGGTACTGATGTTGGATGATTAGTTCTGGATCAGAAATGTCACTCCAACTCATCCCAAAGGTATTGGATGGGGCTCCAGAGAAAGCAGTTCCACAGCTCCACAACCCAATCTGCTAATTAGAAGATGGTTCCCCAAAGTGTTTCATAGCCCAAAGACCACAGTGTGGTGACAGTGATAATCTCTTTTCATTCTAACAGAGCAGATGATCAAAACATTGAGAAAGTTTTTGGGCAACTAAACTAAATGCAGAGCATTATTTATAGTTTTCTCTTTTGTCTCCAGGGAATTTGTCAGGTTGAAAAAATATAAAACAGAGGCTGAAACATTTGGCTGGAGCTTTGTGTTCCAGGACTTTGTGTCTGATGAGCTGAAAAGCAAGATTACTCAGAGAATTGAGGTATGAACACAATGTCAAATTCTGAGTTTGAAATGTAAAATCTGTTTTCATTTAAACAAAGTTCTCATTTTCCTTTTGTTCCTAGTCTGCACCCTGGTGGTTGCCAGTTGAGAAGGCATTTTGGAGACAGGTCATTTGCTCATTTCTTCATACATGCATAAATCATCGTAAATTGTATATTTAATAGATATTAAGAGTGATTCGAGTATTGAAGTCTGACTGGCTACAGTCTTTTCTGATTGATTCTAGCCCAGTGGGCCAGGTTCTGGTATCAAAGAACGGCTAAATTCTCCTGTGGTCCAAGTGAGCTGGAACGATGCACAAGCCTATTGTAAATGGAAGAAGAAGAGGCTGCCCACAGAAGAGGAGTGGGAAATAGCTGCCCGTGGAGGACTTGATGGTAAATCAAGAGTTTCCCTAGATGAGTGCTTGTTCTTCATTAACACTGCTTTCATATTATTTGGAAAAAAAAAAACAGTAATACAAATGTATTTTTCAGGAAGGACATACCCTTGGGGTAACAAATTTCAGCCGAATCGCACCAACTTATGGCAGGTCAGTGTTATGTAAAATTTGTAAAATATTGTTCTTTTTTTCAATCTTGATATATATTTTCTCACTTTTATGTTTATGGTAAACTTCTTGTCTAAACGAATCCCTTAAAACCTTAAAGGGCCTCTGTGAAGACTCTCATTTCAATTCCTTTCTCTGATAAGTACATAACTTACATATTAGATTCATAGTAGTAACTTTGTGCTTAAAGTCTGAAGTCTAAAGCGTCTATATGATGTTGGATGGGGATGTCGTTATTACAGGGATCATTTCCAGATGTGGACAGAGCAGAGGATGGATATCATGGCGTAGCTCCTGTTACTGCATTTCCTCCACAGAATAATTATGGTACACAGCATGTACATCTACTTTTATATGAACACAAAAGTTAAAGTAAAGTACAATATAAAGAGAACCTTTTGCCAGCAGTAAAAATGAGGTTTTCTGTCATTCTATCACAGTGTAACTTGTTACTCTTGTGTTGTCTCATATTATACCAGGATTTTACGACATGCTGGGTAATGTGTGGGAGTGGACCTCCACACCTTTCCGTTCTGCTCAAACCATGTATGTGCTGCGTGGTGCATCCTGGATAGATACAGCTGATGGATCAGCCAATCACAGGGCACGTGTTACCACCCGGTCAGTTATAACTTCCTCTTATGAATTGTCTCTCAGACACATTATTTATTACAAATGATCTGCAGTACTGTGCAAAAGTCTTAGGCCATCAGAGAAAATTATATGTAAAAATATGGGAAGTAAGTATTTATTTGTTCAAAAAGTTACACAAATAACTATATAAACTACATAAAATATATAAATATATGTTTTACTGTATTCTAATGTTATATATTGTTAATACAATACTGTACTTCCTCTTTGTCCTTTAACGACAAAAAAAAATTTGCTTTTTCACTCTGTTGTGCCTGTCTTGGTTTTTCCTGTAGAATGGGGAACACACCAGATTCAGCATCAGACAACCTGGGCTTTCGCTGTGCTTCAGACTATAGTTCCAAGCAAAAGAAGAACAAAAGGAAAACTGAGCTGTGAGGACCAAACAGTTAAAAACATGGTCAGTCATGCGCTGTTGCTTTAATAATGCATATCTCCTGTGGAGACCAGGACTAGACGTTGCTTAGCGGAATTCTTTCCTCTTAACACTGTGAAAATAAAGACAAGTTTTTAACATATACTTTCTTTCTTAGGATTTTTTTGTCCATTTTGTTATGTAATAGCACTATACATTCATACAGGAATTGCTCTAATATTACTACACATTCTTATTTTACTGATCATATGGTAGACATGCACTGTGCATATCTGTTTCTTGTTATTTGAAGTTTTTGTAGTTGCGGCATTTAAAGTAATTTAAAGTAGACCGAATATACTAACGTGGCTAATAATGTACAGGATTTAGTAGCCACTGATCAGCATGATGTCGTTGGCTTTATGCTAATAGTTGGCTATATAATTTCCTTCACTGTTAGCATTAGTAGCATTTTTGACTGACTGGCCTGCAATGATTTTCAGGCTTTAAAAGTATTTTGTGTGAGTTGGTGCCCCCTAGTGGCTGAGCAGTGTATTTCAATACAATATCCTCTGTCATGTTAACCAGAAATTCCACTGATTGTTCAAAATCTCTGCATCATTTAATCGTTGTGATGTAAACAAAGTGTTTTCTTGTAAAATGGTACATAGTAGAGAAATGTACCACCTCAGATTTATTTACAATGGTAGCGATAGAAACCAGGGATCTTAGTGTCTGCAAAGCAAATATTTGCCATCAAAAGCAACGAGTGAACCTAAACAAGTCATCTTTGCTTTTATATGTATATATAGTCTTTATTTTAGTCCCATCATCACTACTGTGAACAATTCTAACTCTGCACGTTTCTCTAGAATGGAACATTTAACATTAAACCACGCTGAGTGACTTTGTTTACATCTTAACTATATATTGCTGCAGAAATTTGGAAAAATCTGTGTGAGTCCCCCTTTAACTTAACCCAGCCTAGGGTAGTTCTAGTCCTACCACTGCAACGTTTGTATGAAATCACTTTAGATCTGTTTGTCATTCTCTGATTGCTGATTTCTTCTTTGAAATCTGCTGCATGTATTGTTCTGTCTTATCATAGTCTTGAGGTAATGGTGCATTCTGATTTGTCCTGATAGGATACTACAGTCATGTTAAGACAGATTGTGTCATAAAGTCCTCAGGGCCATTTCATTCTCTTCAGCAGCGATAGACAGCAGGATGAATTTGGGAGTGTTCTCAAACAGGGCTGCTCTGTTCTGAGTCTGTCCTTTCTTCACCCAGTGGCCATAGATCTTAAAGGCACAGGCGTCAATCATCTTCCGCACTGGTTTGATGGCATACGGGTCACTGCAAATCACTTCCTTGCTGACAGGTTTGACGCGACGGTAGTTGCAGTAGATGCGCATAGTGGCCAGTACGGTCAAGCAGATAACCTGTGAAATCACACAGTGGTCATTTGAAACCGTAATGAAATAAAAACAATGTAGAAACACTGGAATTTTTAGTATTAGTCAGTATTAGTCTGTACCAGGGGTGTCCAATCTTGGTCCTGGAGATCTACCACCCTGCACAGCTTAGATCCACCACTAATCAAACACACCTGATCCAATTACTGAAGGCCTTCAGGAGCATCTGGATATGAGAGGAGGTATGTTGGATCTGAGCTTTCCAGGGTGGTAAATCTCCAGGACCAGGACTGAGCACCCATGGTCTATACCAAAGGTAGAGAAGCAAGTGAGTCTGAATGCAGATTGTGTTCATGATCCTTAAAACTGCTCTGCATAATTTTCAAGTAGTGGTTTTTACTTGACTGATGGAACATTCAAAAACATCTCAGTGGCAGAACATGCTTATGCAATATAAGGAAAAGTTAAAAGTGATCAGCTTTCTCTTTTTCCTTCCTACCTTAAACTTCCTATAAGGACTGAAGTGGCGGACCTCTGCGACCTCATACTGCTGAAAGAAGGGATGATTCAGAGCATCTGTGGCTGTGTAGCGACTCTGTGGATCTACCACCAGTAACCTGGCAATCTGTGAGAACACTGTGTTACAGGACCATCAGCATATCGAATTGCAATAGGCTATTCTTAGCACCTAAGAAAAGTGCCACATCATATTGCTGATTCAGAATTTACCATTCAGCCGCTGAGACGTACCAGGTCTTTCACGGTGTCTGAGCGGTCGTCCCACTCTGGAGAGCTGAAGTCGTATTTCCCAGCCAGAATCATTCGCAGCATCAGCATCTGCTTCCTGTGCCAGAATGGAGGCGACCCAGCCAACAGAGTGTACATAATCACCCCAGCGCTCCAGCTAAAAGAGAGGTGTCAGGAAGTTCAGCTACCATCTACAAAACTTCTAGAAAACTTCTCTAAGTGATGGTCTGACCAAAGATACACAAATTTCCACCTATCACAAATATACTCAATCAGCCAAGACATGTTTGGTTTCCAAAGTTTGATCCTTTAGTTATGCACAGAAGCTAGGAGGCTAATGTAGCTTTCAAGTATGGAAGCTTATGGTCACCAGTTAGCATTGTGCATGCCTCAATCAGTACACGCCTGCCTCAAAACATGTCACTATTATTCTCAAACAGAAGTGATATGTGAACAATTTGGCAATTGCTGCTCTCTAGAAAAATGGACAAGTATGAAAAACGTATGGACAAAATTGAAGCCTCAAGATGGCTGCTACTACTGTTTGTAGCTAGACCATGTGGCATACTTTTTAAGATGACAGTTAAGGCCTTGTAGCTCAAGTGCAAAACTAAAGAAGCTGTCTTCAGACACCATAAATGTCTTGACTGAACAGCTACATTCGATGGTAAAGTTATGTAAATTTGATTTTTCCCTATTGTCTAAAACCTCTGACATGTTGGGGGATGTATATTTGTTCCCAGGGTCCTGTGTTCAGCTCTTTATATAATACATCATATACAATTTAATAGGGAACCTAAGAAAAGGTTCCCATGGTAATTTTTAACACCATGGCCATGGTCACATGATCATTAAAGGTCACATGAAGAACGCACTGTCCTTCAGCTAAGTTAGCCTCAGTGAGCTAATTAGCTAAGCAAAACGGGTAATTCATATTTTTTGGGAAGTCAGAGTGTAGAATACATAAACTTTGTGAATAATTGTTTTGTCTGGTTTATTGTAGCTCTTAGCTTGCTAACCGGAAAGTTAGCAGAACAAAATAACAAATTTGAGCTGAGGGCAAATTAACAAGCGCAAGTTAAGAGTAAGTTAAAAACAGTATTAAAACAGGGTAGAGGGTAGATGTTCTCACCGAAGATGTGCTCAAAGACTGTATTATTAGGATGAATACAAACTTTTGTAATACTCTACGCTGATAAAAAAGACAGTTCTTTTTAGTAAAGAAAGTGGTTCTATATAGAACCATGAACCATCAGTGCGCTTAAATTGTTTTTTGCTCCGTGAAATTGTTCTTCAGATTGATGGAGAATGTGTTGTATATGGGTTCTATATAAAATCCTTTTGAAAAGGGTTCTACATAGCACCAAAAATGGTTCTTCTATTGTTATGACGTCAAGCTTGTAGCAATGAAAGAACCTATTTTGGTGCTATATATAAAACATTTAAAAAATGTTCTATATAGAACCATATACAACACATTCTCCATCTGTAGAATGATTTCATGACGAAAAGAACCCTTTAAGCATGCAAATGGTTCTTTGAGTGTTCATGGTTCTATATACAACCATTGTCTTCACTAAAGAACGCTTGAAGAACGATCTTTTTTTAAGAGTGTACAATGTTGTTAACATGGTGAAGTTCAAATAAAATTATCCCTGAAAACATATAAATGCTATCTAATAGATTCTCATATTTGTTTGCAGAAATGTTCATTAAGAGTGTGTTATAACATCTATTTGGGATCTATTTGAAAGCAGCGTGAAAATAAACACGATATTTTATTTACTAAACATATAACATTTGTATATTTGTAAATATACTAGAGGTGTGGATGTTACTCTAATTTTCATGTCGAGGAAATATGATTGAGGTAACATGGGAACATACAGCTATTTCCTATTAACATTTCAGTGAGGGAACATAGGACCCTAGGAATATAGGGCTGTTCCAAAAATTACAAAGAGGGAACATGGAGCTTGGGGAACAGTGGGCCCTGGAAAAACACAGGGCAATTTTCTAGAAATTCCAATGAGAAAATGAAGGGCCTGAAGATCATAGGACACTGGGAACATAGGGATGACGCCATATGTTATACTATTACATATGTACATTTATTTCTTTTGGTACTGCCATGGCTGCCATTGTTTAAAGAGCTTTGTATTACTCCAAAGGGATTGACTGATGGCATTGTCTAAAGATCTTTACATCACTTCAAAAGGCTTTGTACACTTACAGGTCAACAGCAAGCCCGTAGCCTGCATGTTTGGGATCCATGGAGCACTCAATGATCTCAGGAGCTAAGAAGCCTGGGGTCCCGCAAACCTCTGAGGACAGGCAAAATTAAATATTCATAACATTTTATACTTTAGCCACCCACACACTGAAACTAAGAATATTTTGGCTAAGCTGGTTAGATATCTAGAAATATTATGCTCCATCTTTCTTTAACAACAACTGGTTGAGGATTGCCAGTGCCTTCTGATATGTTATCAGAAAGACTCACCATTCATCCTCTGTCCTGGCTCTATCTGGACAGAGAAGCCGAAGTCTGTCAGCTTAATGTGCATATCATCATCCAGCAGGATGTTCTCTGGCTTCAGGTCCCTGTGGACTATGTTTTGGGCATGCAGGAACTGCACCACCTCCAGAAGAGCATGCATGATCTTACTGTGAATGACAGACATTAATGAAATATTGAACTGAAATATTGAACTGTAATAATTTGAAGTACAGGCTTGTAACTTCCTCAACTGATCACAATAATTTAAACCACTGCCACATGACGACAGCAGGTAGGGCAATGAAAAACCAATGAAAACATCAGTGTCTTTCACTGAAGGACAGAGACAGAACTTGAGGAGCAATTCCACTGATTTTTCTGCATTATTCAATTTTTAAGATGTAAACAAAATCAGTCAGTGGTTTGCTGTGAAATGTGCCATTGTAGAGAAACTTAATGAGTCAGAATTGTTCACAGTGGTGGTGATAGGAATCAGACATTTGAAGATTTAAGTGCCTATGAAAGCTACTCCACAGACAGTTACCTGAAACTGTTACAAATACGCTGCCTGAGTCATTGTTTTGAGATAATGTTCTATCCTAAACCGTATTTTTTAACATGTTCATGGTGGAGGCGTACACACAAAGCATTGTAAGGTAAAATAGTACCCAAAGAGTTCTTCATCTTTACCATTAGCAACATATTACATAAAAAAGTCAGAAAACATATAGGTTCACTAGTTGTTTTGGATAGCAAATAAAATGGCTATATTTGTAGTCAGCATGAACCCTGGTTCCTATCACCACCACTATAAATAAATTTGAATCAGTAGTTTTCTCTACAGTAAACCATTTCACATCTAGCCACTCTCAATGACTTTGTTTACATCTCAACATGGAGTTATGCAGAAATGTAGAAAATGTGATGGTATTCCACTTTAATTTAGTCCCTACTGAGTGTCTGCATTCCAAACAACCAGGCCCAGAAAGACTTTTGTTTCTGATCTCTGAGTCTGTAATGAACTGTTTAGGGGTGTGAATATATTCTTTAATTACTTGTATGTATTTGGAGACTGCTAAAATACTGTTACAAATGGCAGAAAATGAACTGGTGAATGATTTGAGGTGATATCTGACCGTGTCTCTTTCTCACTCAGAGTCACTTTCTCTGTGAGGTAATCAAACAATTCTCCTTTCTTCATCCTGCCAAAGAGGAGTACAAAACACACCATCAATGTGAGGAAAACAGTCATGCAGAGAATATGGATGCTAAATCGTTTTAAATCTGCTCATGTGGGGACACCAACTATGTGTGCGCTTAACATGGAGAAAACATATGGGAGAAGTCATGTGGAAGGACTCCCAGTAGCTGTGAGTACACTGGAAGGGAGAATGAGAGGAGAAACTTTTCTAAGAACTAGTAACTAGATCTGTGCTATTTGTGGCTAAGGACAAGTGATAGTTGTGGATACCATGTCCCCCCTGTGGGTGCAACAGAGAGGAGGAGGGAAGGGTGAGATTTTTGTATGCACGTTGCTTTGGAAATGAAGACTATGTTGGTTCTCCAGCAGACTCCCTGGCATAAGGCTGGTGTTTGGGCAGTATGAATAGCTAAGCTCTTATTAGTATGCTAGTATGTCCACAAGCACAATACAGGGAATACCAAAACATTTATAAAAGCCCAGACCTAGTGGAGATTCTGAAACTGAAAGCGCAGTGTACGCTGACCCAACATCCCACAACAAACACTAACTTTCTATTGCTGGCATTACATTCTGATACTGTTCCAAAATAAGAACTAGCAAGAACCAATGTGAATGAGGGAGAACACTCTAGAGCAGTGTGAAAGAAACAGAATATTCTAGGACAGCAAGATTGGGGATGAACATTATAATAACTCCCAACAGTCACACCAAGCTAATGTTTGGGTTGGTCGGTGTTTGTTGGAGAAAATTGGGTGCACTAGGCCCTAGAAACGTGCGGGGAGAGAGGAGTAAGATACTCACAAGTCAAAAACTAAAAAGAAGAAGGCCTTCGACTCAAAGCAGTCCTTCAGCTGTACTATGAGGAAAAAAATAGAGAAAATCATTAGTACAGACTCTTGGTCATGTATTTTGTCAAATACTCATAGAATAACATGCAGTTTGGGAGGAGGACCATGCAGGGTTGCCACCTTTACAACAAAGCAAAACCCGGACCCTCCTAGGCCCCAAATACACATTTAAATTAAAAATTCCACTAGACACACCCCTAATGTTTCTTCCAGCTGTCCTTTGTTTTTGGCTTTGCTGCTGTCAGCAATAGCTTGTTTTTCAAAATATAAGCTCACCAAGGTTTTGTTGAATTGAAACACAAACAAGTAGCATATTGATTATTAATCATCCCTCTGATAATGGTTAATTCCAAGATACACTAATGTTAGTTCTCCAGCTGATGCAATCTTCTTTGCCATTGGGTTTGTTTTTTATTTTTTGTTGTTTTTTTTTTTGTTGTTTTTTTTTAGTAAGAATTTTAATAAATGTTGGCTGGACAAACAGTGTCAGATGTTGAATGTTCTTCATTTTAAACAAACACTGTGACTTTTGGTAGCTCTCTTTATGATTGGCCATTGCACAAAAAAGGCTAACAATTTAAAATGACCCAGTAGGCGTAAAAATGCCAGTGTAAGAGAAGAAGTGGGGTGTGACAAATGAACTGACAAACATGACTTTATTACTTGTTTTTTTTCCCCACACAATTGGGGAAACACAAAAATAGACAAATGCCATTTGAAACCGTACACATGGTGCATAGCCTGAAAACTGTCTGGGTGAAAATTGGATAGATGGCAACCTTAGGACAATGCCAGAAACTCCACCTCTTCCAATCAAGCATCCTATAGATTTCCCATTTCTACCTGCTCTTTCCTGTGACAAAGTTTTTGCACCCCCTATCACCCTGTCTTCTCTATGTTCCTCAGCCCTGTCTGTGACTTCTACCTCTGTCCAACAAAAGTGGTTCAGCCTTCTAGCTTAAAGCAGAAGCCTCCCAGAACTCCAGTCCCATATGTTGAAGGCCTGTTTATATTTTTTTCCTAATTGACACTGAATGTACAGTAGTCTTCAGGATGTACGCATTTTTTTAAACAAAAAAACAGTTTGCACATCTAGAAAAAACACTGACTGACTTTAGCACGCTTGGTTTTATTTGATTCATTTTCTCTGTTTGCAGATATGATGGTCTGGGATAGTCATACTTATGTTCTTTTGTCCAGAGACTTTTTGGAGAATGTCAATCTCTTTAACGGTGGCCTCTTGAATCTCTTGTATCTCCTGAGGGGTCATTTTGTCTGATGGTGTGATGTCTATGATCTTTACTGCATACTCCTGGCTGGTTCGCTTATCCACACAGCGACGAACCACACTGCTCACCCCTCTGAGACAAAACACAAAGAGTAGGCCCCATGACAAAGGACTGTGCGTTCGCTTGTACTTTTTCAATTTAAGCTATAGACGACTGATTGAAGGCAAACTTGTGCCTCTTTTTCTTTCCTGTGCCATAAACATTTACCTTCCAAGGATCTCTTTGGGTTCATATTTGTCATAGAACTCCTGTCCACCCACCCATTCTGAGGTCTCTTCTTCTTTAGTCATTCTGAAGGCTCAGAGAGGCTGGGCTGAGGATGGGAGCACATGATAAACATGATAAACACAGTACATACATTAACACAATCAGTTGGACGGTAGTCAACAGATCACAGATATGACAGAAAATTTATTTACTGTAGTGGTCAGTGGCACGTGGGCACACTACAATGTGACTGTAAAATGTTGTAGGGGAATTAAGCGTGGAGTGCTTTTAGATTATGAGGATCTTCATGCAAAAGTTCAAGGCTTCAGGGTCCTACCTTTTTATTTTGTTTTTAAAGGATATTATAGCCAACCATGCCTTTTCAGGATATCAGTCAGCAATATATCAATCAAAAAAGATATAGATGATCTAGTCTAATCTTAAAGTTGAATTCATCAGTTCCACCTATTAAAAAATGTTGGGAAGTAAAAGTCATTCAGAGTAGTTTGATGTGACATGGTTTATTGTAGAGAAACTTACAGACTCAGATGTTCTTTACAGTGGGGGTGATAGGAACCAGGGGCTGCGATGTATTCAACACAAATACAGATACTGTACTGTACTGTATTGTACAAAACAATCACTGAACCCTGAATGTGTCTTCTGAGTTTGATGATGGTTAAATATTAGTAAATCAAAAAAAAAAAAAAATCTTTGGGTACTATTTTATCTACATGGTATATACCCCTGCAATACCCCTGGATTTTAAGCCATTACTTAATGGCATAACATTCTCTCAAAACTGCTGTAAAAACAATGTCTTAGACCTCAAGTAACATTCACAAACATTTTGCATAATGTGTAAAATTGGTGGTATTACACCTACTGACAAGAGTGACTGCAAGAACTGATTTCCTATATTGTCATACAAATGACTTACCTACAACTACTGGTTCTTCTGTACGTCTTGCGCTTCCTAAAGAGCTTGTCTGAGCCCAGTGTAATGCTGTGAAGCTACTGTGGACATCTGCTCGGCCAAAATCATGTCCTTTCTGAGGCTTTCAAAGCTGTCCCATTCTTCGTTGTCCCAGTAACTAAAATTCTGCTCAAAAAAGCATAAAAGTAAGTCCTTTCTTTGTTGATTCTTCACACTGCCTTTCAATGCTACACCATTGCACAACTGGCATCGAGAAGTGTTTGCTAAAAATAAGCTGGCAAAGTTATTTGAGTAAGGGCAGCCTTCAGGGGCACAGGCAGGCTTTACATTCAGTTCCCAACTGCAGAGACAGAGCGGGAGTTATAAACGGAGAACAGTCTTAATTGAACTGTATTAGCATGATTGTTCAGTATGGTGTTTTTCTAAATGGTCGTGTTAGTGCTGATAATACAGTGAATGCAGGCCTCTCTCCCAGCAAGCCAAACAGAAAAAACCTGTATGGCATATTTACAGGGTGATATATAATAAGCCTGCATAAATGCATCAAGGTTATGTCTGCTGGTGTTAGGTTGTGATGATTTTCTCACGTCATGCCCAGTCCTATCTTATAAATGTGTCTGTGCATGTGTGTCCTAGATACAGTCTAAATCATTCACATCGTTTCACCCTGGAGGAACAGGTGACGTCCTTTTGTGACGCCACATATGATGAGCTTGAGAGCGCACATGCTGCTGCCTACTGTCAGAGAGCTGGAAAAACAAGTTTGTCTGCATTTAGTTCCATCCCTCTCAAGTCAAGTCTCGCTTGTTTGGTCTGGGGCATTTTGTTACTGAGGCTTCTGCGAAGTAATGGAGGCTCTTGATTCTTTTTCTACCCCAAAAAGCAGATCAGACACCCTGGCTACTTTCCGAGACCTGCTGCAGACATCTCTGCCCATCGAGCAGATACATCTGCGAATTACCAGGGAGGATGATTCAGATCCATGTCATGTTTCCCCTGAGGAAGAAGCAGACTTCCAGGACATTGACACTACAGAACTGACCGCTCTGGATGAAGAACAGGAGCAGTTAGAAGAGGTCAATGATAGTTCCAGTATGACAGATCAAGCTGATGGGATAGAGCAGTTGACCCTGGACTCTGAGCCAGATTCATCTTTGAACAAGCCTGTCCGGTCATACGTTGATGAAACTTTACCGGACCTGCTCAGAGGCGAAAAACCCCTCTGCAGACGTGTGTCCAGCCCTATGTCAAACACGGTGAGTGAGAAAGTGTAAATGTTTATGATCGTTGAGCTTTAGAGTCACTGAAAAAAGGAACACATTCATCTTAATGCACTGATTTGTAAGGCACGGTCAGTCATTCTTTCACTAATTCATTCATCACCTGGAAACTATGCAAACCGACAAGCAGATCTGATAGGGAATTCATTTCTTGCCTGTAACAATAGAGCACCTTTGTTCATGATAATGTGTATGGAAATTTTACAGCCAGGCCCAGAATGACATAATCAGTCTGTTTTATGCTGGTACATCTTTGTCAGATGGGGATCTAAATTTTAGCTAAGAAAGTAAATGGTGCAAACCATAGAAATGAAATTTTCAGTTACAACAGTCTGAACACTGTTGAAGCTTCCAAATTTACTGTTAATTCTTCAGTCCATATGGGCCATATATGACAACTAAGCTACATAGGCAGCCCATTTTGAATTCATTGTTTTTGTGAGAAAGCAACATATTTACACATGTCTACACCTATTCAGCCTACAGCAGTTTTGTGACCATCCCCCCCCGCCCCACCCCTAGATTATAAATAATATACTGTAATGTTTTATTTATGGTCATGTCTTTTTGTCTGCCTGAGACTGTGATCATGTTTCAAATGATAATTTTTAGATTTTGAGTTATAATTTAAATATAGCAACATTCACTATGTCAGCCAGTTTTCTCAGTCATTATGGAATCATCTACAGCTCTGTTTCTCTTTCTGGACACATAAAAAATTTGTTCATTGTTTGCAGTGTATTACAAATTAGTTGAAATTGTAAATTAATATCATCAAAACAGACTTATGTCATGTATTTATCTTTATTATTATTATTATTATTATTAAACACAGTTATCCCAAACTTTCGAACACTAGTATATAAACATAGCTGTGTATTAGCTTCTGAAAAATTCATTTTGGTCTGTGTATTTGTCTTTCTTTATGGTGTCTGAGGAGATAAGAGGAAAAGTTAAATCAGTTAAATATTTTGACTTCCGAAGTCTTCCGAAGTAGTAGGCTGTAGGTCATGTGATTTCAGTCATTGTATGTATTGTATGTAAACGTATGCAGTTCAGCAGGTGTGATCTTCTTGAATTCGGTTTCTCAAAGTTCGGCTGGAGCAACAAGATTCCACTAATGGAATCTGGAATTACGAGGTGTCAGCTGGCACACACATTTGACAGCACACTCTCTGGGCTGACACAGAACAAGTCCAACCATAAAGTAAATTACACTGTAATTCAGGAATCACAATTTTTAGTATAGGAATAAGTTTCATTTGTGGCTTGAAGACCCTCACTGTATCTTTTGTGTTGCCATGTGTTTGTATGTTGTCTGTTTGTGGCTATATGGCCTGAAATATGGTTTCACATTCACACAAATGTGTAAGGTGAACAGTTAAAATTTGGCTACATATGGTACACCAAACAGTGAAGACTGAATATTTACATGTATGTGATGGCTCTTTCTGCGGGACGGTAGCTGAAGCAGGTGTGCAGGGAGGTGGAGCTGTCTCGGCGCAGGAGTCTGAGGCTGAAGGCTCAGGTGGATAAACTGCAGGAGCAGAGTCAGGATGGACTGGCCTGGAATCAGCAAAAAAATCGGGTGAGACTCAATTTGGGCACTATGCACTATATTCTTGTGTACACTGTGTACTTCACTGTTTAGTGTCTGGAGTTTTACATGGTCAATTTTATATTTAACAAGATTAGAGTTTATTGGGTACAATTATATTTAATTATATTTAAAAGTACACTGAATATACAGGTGTGATTAGAGGAACTAAAGTCAGGGGGAAACAAGTATTCAGGCACTTTTTGTTACTACAGTGCAAAATTCACTTCATATTTACACACATGATATATTTTGATTGTGTACATTTAAATATAAACAAAAAGTATGTATTTAGGAGAATAAACAAAGCTATATTTAGCCAATATATGAAGCCACTAGAATAAAATATACACAGTTGTAAATGTGAAAAATAAAAATAAATCTAGCTATACACATTAATGCTGCAAAAATAAAGATGTTCTTGGTCAAATTGCACTGTGTGTCATTATAAAAGATTTGGGAAAATTTCAGTAGCAATCATGGTGAAGGTGAAGGAGCTTACTGAAAATCTCAGGGACAACAGTAATAAACACTCAAATGGAAAAAGCTGCAGAGCCATAGCCAAGACCTTAAACATCCCTGTCTATACAACTGGTTTGATATTTTGCAAATGGAAAGTTTGGTGTACCATACAAGATTTCTCGCAGACTAATGATAAGGAAGGTAAGAGAGAAGCCAGCAGTGACCCAAAAGGAGTTGCAGGATGACCTGCAAGCAGCAGGAACAACAGTAAAAAATGTTTCTGCTGAAAAAGCGCAGAAATGCACATCTAAAATTTGCACCTAAGCATTGAGACAAATCAGAACTATTTTGGAACAATGTGCTCTGATCAGGCAAAACAAAAATATATTTCAGTTTACCAGTTTATTTCACCATACCCACAGTGAAGCATGGAGGTGGGAGCATCATGATATAGGGTTGCTTCTCTGCAAACAGTGCAGGGGCTTTACACATCATCAAAGGAAACGTGACTGGAGCAATTTACCGGGACACAAAAAAAACAAATCTGGTTTCAACAAGAAACTGACACAAACATACAGCCAGAATAATCTGAGCCTGGTTTCTAAAAAAGGTGAAGGTGCTTGCATGGCCTAGCCAATCTTCTGACCCGAATCACAGTAATAATTTATAGAGGATTTTAAAAAGGCAAGTATTCATATATATAACAAAGTACTAATGTTATTCACTTGTGGTGTCTGAATCCTTTTTTTGTTTTTTAAACATATTCTTGTTTATGCTTATGAATACTTTTGAGTTAAAAGGCATTAAGTAAATGTGAAGTGGATATATGCACTGGAAGTATATTAAATAACAACAACAAAAGTGTATGAATACTTGTTTCCCCTCACTGCATTAACACAGTAGGGGAATATATACAATAATACATGTAGGTTCTTTAAGTCTGAAAACAACTCAAGACCTATATTTTGGCCAAAAAATAACACAAACTTGTTTTTGAAAATTATTCAATTCGATCTATTATAGCATCTTATTATCTTATTATAAAATCTATACACCTCCACTTCGATGCCTCAGTGCATTCTGACATCCTAATTGTTACCTAATTACTTTGTAGGTGACGGAGGAGATTCAGTCCATTGTACAGCTACTGCTGCCTCTGACTGATTTGGGGCAGACAGCTGATCCAGTCCCTCAGGGCAGCCCACTGGACACTGCGCTGCTGCAGCTGCAGAATGTGGCCCGCACACTCGCGCTCAACCACACAGCTCACGTGAGTCTTCATCATGCCCACCAGCTCAGCTCCAGCCACAAGTCTGAATAAAGATTCGGAAACAAATCTTGATGAAACTCACTTTCATTCACAGAGACAGTCCAGAGATGGGAAGACAGACAATGATGGAACTATATTACAGCAAGCTCTTCGAGACAGAGATGATGCTCTAGCAAAGTGAGTACTTTTTTGTGGTCAGTAAATAGAGCGTAATGAAAAAATCTGAAAAAAACAGGACAATGATATTTTGATGAGTGTTCCCTGAATTTCATTTTGTGGCATAAATGTTCATGATAGGAAAAAAGCAATGGAGTCAGAGCTCCTGAAAAGCAAGACAGAACTGATGACACTGAACAATCAGCTGCTGGAGGCAGTGCAGCGACGGCTGGAGATGGCCATCGAGCTGGAGGCCTGGAAGGTGGGTCTGAATTACTTCGCCTGTAACTTCTAACGCCTAAAATAACTGAAACTTTGTTTATGTGGAGCCAGATTTTACACTGGAGATGTGCTACTTCATGAGCCAGCTGTCTGAATGACCACGATTCATGCAATTTAAAGCCTAGTAATAATCAGGGTACACAAAAGGTAAATGCATTCTAATACAGTTACAGAAAAAAGGCAGTAATCAGATTGCATATACATTTTAACAATAGAGTGATTACCAGCAGGACTACAATAAAACCACTCTTGCATAACAATCCCAATTTTCCACACGGTGTAAATTCAACATAGCCATAGAAGCAGCCAAGCTGACCAGACAGTTGTGTCCCAAAAACTTGTAACGAAAACGAAAAGAGTAGTCTGCTTCATCACGTATGGTGTGCATTTCCAAAAACAGCTCAAAGTGGGCTACAGACCCAACTGAACTTTTTGCCTTTGTTGTGAGGAGAATAGGATACAGTTGTGTGCAAATGTTTGAGCACCCTGGCCAAATGACATGCTTTGTTGATTCTTTTAAGGGAAAATAAGTTAACACATCCTCTACAGAGAACACACTTCTGCACATTTGCACAATGACTGGTTATTTGGTTATTTGTCGAAATTGTGCAATTGTGGATGTGTTATCTTTTCACAAACAAAACATGTAATTTGACCGTGTTCAAACTTTTGCATACAACTGTATTTTTGTCACTTGAATGTGGTAAAAGCAAAAAGAAAAATAAATATATAAATACAAAAATGCAGTGTGTCCACTGTGCATTGTTATATTTCACCTATGATATCATTTTGTTTAAAAATGCAGCTTTTCTGTGTACCTTGTTAAAAAACGTCTTATTGAAATTTGTTTTAATTCATCTTTCTATATTTTTATAACTTCAAAAACACACATAATCCAAAAGTAACTGAAATTAATTAGATCACATTGCTTTAATAAAATAATCCATTGAAATGAGCTACAGGTTAAATCTTTAAACAGGTAATCAGAAATCTGTACTGGAATACAGTTTTAAAGTAATCCCCCAGAACTGTTAGTAATGCTGAAAGTATGCACTGCACTGCATAGACTGAGTTTTTGAAGTTCATAAACAGCTGTGACACTCTGGACAGACCAGTAAAAACACCTTCTGATGATATATCAAACAGTGGGAGGAAGTTCTGAAAAACAACTGCTTTTGGGGTCTGTAAGCTCTCAGACACATGGTGTCTAAATAATTTACAGACATGATATTAGAAAAAAATAGACCTTAATATTACACCCTGTTAATGGACAGCTATCAAACAATATGTAAAAAATCAGTTACGGGATTTTAAGGTTTTGAAAATAATTGCTGTCCTTTACATTGTGCACACATTTCATAATGAACGGACCAATAGAAATGGTTGGAATAAATACTCACTTCATTAACATACATTAAATGCAAGAACACGTTTAGCTTCTCCTATAAGGTTGAGATTTCTAATGTTTTTACAGTAACAATATATTAATTCTCACATAAAGCTCAATAGAATGAATGTTTCATTTTTATAGGGAGGTTACAAACAACAACAAACAATTTATGGTATGAATTAAAGGGTATAGAGCAGCTGGTAGGACTAGCTGTGTCTCTACAGGACTTTAGAACCTGGAGCCAGAATGACCATCTGGAAGGTGTTCAGGTTCCAACACTGTTCTTTAGACCTGACAAGCTTAGAGCTTAATTATGCTCTTCTGTCTTTTCCTGCTAATTAGGATGGGGAAAAAAATCTGACAGCTACCTCAATCTCTCAGGGAACGTGGCCAGTTAATATCTTGTGCAGAGAACAGTGTAGCTAAATTTGACTGTTACACTGTAACTACAAGTCTTTCTGACAGGATGATGTGCAGGCCATCCTTCACCACCAGCTCCAGAATCAGCAGCAGGCCGAACAGGCCCAGAAGAAGGCCAAAGGATTCAGTGTGCTCCGGCGCTCCAAACAGGCCAGCCCAGCCCAGCCTCCAGCCCCCAGCCGAGCACCCACTTCCATCTCCCAGTCCCCCAATACACCTGTAGCCCAGCGCTGGAAAGAACGACTGCGGCGAGGACGCATCAGTCAGCAAACATCCAGTTCCGTTGAGCAGCCAGCCAACAACAGTTCCTTTGAGCCTGATTCTCCAAGCAGCTTCAGCAAGGAGGACAGATTTCAAATAGTCTCTCTAGACTGAGGTTAAAAGTTTACCATCTCCCACAAAGGCTAACACTAATTTCTAAGCAGCTATTGCTAGGTCAGACAAGCTTAAAGAATAGTGGCAAATATTATCCCATTCAAACTATTTGAAATATTGTACTGCACAACTTACTTATTTTCCAAATATAGCCTGGCAGATTGCTGACAATGACTTTGCCACCACACTAATGTTAGCTTGTGGGTTATTTGAGCCTTACTACATAACACTGACATAACCTATATGGCTATAAAGCAAATTGTCTTGGCGGATGTCATATGCTGTCATTGTCTGTCAAATGACAAATTATGTCTAGTGATATAACAGTGTTATAAGTTAGCATTACTATTAACTGTCATATGTCATATTTTGTCATGATGTAATATTTTTCTAAAACCTGAAACAGCAGCTATGAAAACACATTTTTGGGCAGAGCATATAAAGTCTATAATCAGAAAGCCCTTGATGACATAAGTAATTTCAGTTCTTGTTTTGGAACTGTGCAATTCATCTACAATTATGAACTATTTTGTTGCTTACTGGCACCTTTGCAAAGAATCCTCCTTTTACAAAAATGTAATATACTTTTTGTTTTGGATCATAAATCTTTTTTATCTGTACAAACACATATGAATACATGCTGCAATCCTTAGTGAAGTGTAAATACACATACAGCAATCTCTAAATGAAGCATAAATGAAGGGAGACCCTGAATGATCTGAGAACTTGGACATTTATTTAGCTGGACAGGTATACAGAGAAAACGTCTTGCATGCATTGTAAACACATTCACACAAACTGATCAGGTTTTATGAGATAACAGTGGACACACACATAATTATAACAGATACACTTCAGCCACTGAGAGGAGCACTTGTGCATGTTTAGAGTTTGGCCCCAAGTATCGCTGTTTGCAACAACAGGTTTTTTTTGTGCAATCACATCCCACCTAATGGCTACACTGGGTCGACTGTATACAGATGTATTAGCCACCAGTAAGCCACTGAAACCAAGTGTTCTTTGAAGTCCAAGGTCCTCAGAATCAGACAAATTAAATTAATCCTACAATGAAACATGAGTTTACATTCTGTTTGTGCTACACTCCATCACAAGCAAAATAATGTTCACTAAGACTGTGCAAATTTGTAAGTTGTAACTTTTTATTTTAGTAGATATAAATACATATTAAAGTACTGAGAGTACTGTATACCAAATACTGTTTGTAACCATCATCAATTGACACCTATATAATTGATCATTCATAGACGACAAAAAAGCAACAAAAAACTTTATTATATTAACCAATTAGTTAAACTAAATAACACAATTCATTGACTACAGTGTATTAAAAGTAATGACACTGGGACATTACTCAGGAAGTGCCTACATACAATCAAATATGAGTTCCAATCCTTGACATTCTAGGCAAAAAAAAAGATATTTTTAAAAAATTCGATGTCTAGGATAATTATCCTATATTATCCTGCATTAGACTTTGAAATACAAACGTATGACAGGATATTCAGTCATAGAAGGACACAAAGAAACATTCTATTAAATCTGCTTGGAGAAACCGTCCATGGACCTGCTAACTTTCCAAGGCAAACCATCTTTTGTCTCTAAGACACCCAAAAAGGCCTAAAAAAGTCATTATACCTCTCTGATAAAAGTATCTGGCAATACACAATGCATTTGCACTGTTTTAAACATAAACTTTAGTAGTTTAAGAAACATATTTCTGAAAAATACATATTCACATGTGCATTTATACACACAAACACTCTTGCAACACAACCCATCCTCACAGACACAAGGACCACTATATATAGCATGATACTCATGTTCTACCATATACAGTTAATATCATCAGCAAGTGGGCAGCTCTGTAATTGATTAAAACACTTGCTTTGGAGTTTAATTCTGCAGCATATTTCATAATCCTAAAATACCACTGTCACACATATACATATAGAACAGAAGATTCATGTTATGACATCATAGTCATAAAATATAAATATTTACCTCTTATTAGTATCCAATAGTAATAATTCATGAATATGTTTAATATAGTAATACAAAATACCATTCAGTCACAAAGTACAGACAGACACATCCACGGTTAACAAAGGCGGCCACATAAGACAGGGCTATTGAACCTGATGAACAGAGGTTTTCAGAGTTTAATACCCGGCAGCATAGCTCTTTAGCATATAAGCTATTATAGTTATACACGTCAGTTTTGGTTAAACATCCACCACAACACAACTACATGCCACTCACGTGAATATACAAATTAATAAACAAGAAAACACAACAACTGACACCTCTATAAACCCTTATTAAAAGCTCTGAAAAACCTACTAACAACAATGTGGGATATAATTGGTATATATCTTCTATACTGTAGTTAAAACATGATTAAATACTATCTGATAACACTGGCAAAAAAAAACTTGATCCCTTTGGGGCTGAATTTAAAATTACAAACAACACAAGATGTCCACTCAGGTCAACCATGAGTGCTACCAAAGGAAGTATTATGGAACTGGTTGTCTATTAAAGTGATATGGTTATATTAATCTTATAGAATGTACTTGTGTAAGACAGTGTGAAGTACATGTACGCTTAAGAACAGTGCCAAAAGCCAGGCCCATATTGCATAGGCTTCTTTGGACTTCCATGAGAATAGAGAAAGGATGTCTGCTGGAGAATGCGGATTGACAAGTGCACATCCTACCACAGATCCACCCCCCCCAAAAAAAGCAAGGGCCATCTAGGTGACCCAAAAATCATAAACAGCCATCTGATACATAGCATCAATTTTGAACATTAGAAACAATACTTGAGGGCAAAGCAAAATCTAGAAACCCACAAAAGCAAAATGCCATTTCAATGTATTAGACTGAGAACTGTTTTAGAGAAAAATCAAACTATTCATTATCAGTGAACGCTGAGACAGTGCAACTAAAGACCTAAAAATAAATTAGCACACCATTATAACATATATGTAACTACAAACAACCATATAAAGGTCAAGTTGTGCATTAGAAGGTAACGGACAAGGCCTGATTATAAAAAAACAAGGTTAGTTTGGTCCATGCCCTCAAAACTCTTCACTGTCTGTATACCACTGCGCCCACCTGGATGAGTTAGCTCAGAGGACTAGGACTGCAGGAAAGTGATAACAGAGCTGATGAAGTCCAGAGGCTTGTCAGCGTGGATCCAGTGACTAGCATCAGGTATATACTGGATATCTGCACTTGGAAAGAGTCGCTGAATCTCTGGGTAATCCTCAGAGCTAAAAGGAAACAGAAAGAAACAGAGAACAAAAGACGACTTTCAGATATTTTAATTACATTTTAGAATGTAAATATACATAAGGAAACTGAATTATTCCATTAGATATTTGCTATGAAATAGCAAAACCACAACTGGATCAAGAACTTTTTGGATCAAAAGTTATCAAGGGTAGAAAATACTTGAAACATTGTGCTTACATATTATTTTGGATCATTTTATTTAGACCTTCAAAAAATCTGATTTTTTTTTTCGTTTTCTCTTCTCAATCAGTTGAGATGCTAATTTATTGTTTTTACTAAAACATCTAACCAAATTAATGTCAATATCACATGTAACTGCCTACAACTATGTAGTATCACTCATTAAATCACCACACCAGACACGACCAAACCGACAACACGGACAATACTAAAAAAAAATTTCTTTCTTTTAAGATTAGTTTTTACTTTCATATATTTGAGTACATTTAAATGTGGATACTTCACTTTCTCTCAAGCATATATTTAGTTCCATACTTCCAACTTTACTTGAATTAATGCTGATATCGTACCTGTGCTTTCACTTAAGTCCAGTTATTCTGTACTATTCTGTACTATTTCCTGGCTGTTCTTACCTGATGTATGCTGAGCTACTACCACCCAGGAAGAGTGTGGGACCTTCATAGGTGCTGTTAAATTCAGGAAAACCCATGAGGTCTTCCAGGTGATTTGATATGGCTTCTAAATTTACTCTCCAAGCATAATGTCCATTCTGCTCCACCAAATTTGTGAGGAGGAACTGTCGGACTGAATGTTCCTGTGTGCAAGCCAAAATAAAGACACATTTAGTAATTACCCTTGTCCCTAAAAAAACATAACCCACATGGATATTAACTCTGCTGTATGATTATATGTTACAGAGAAAATAACATACCAAATGTACTATTTTTAAGCTTACGGCTAAATATAACTTTGAACTTTGATGTGACAGACACAAAATAGAAAAAAGGAGGACCTGGCCACTGCCATCCATAACCTTACCTTCATGTATACTATGCCAACAACAGGTCAAATTTAGTGGACATGCAAATTGAGAAAAACATCAACTACAAACTTGATGTAAAATGCTCACTTTAACATGCTTTCGTAGTTGATCTTCAGCCATTCTTCTTGCTGTAGAGCGTGGGATGTCAGTGGCTATGTTCACCTCCTTCATAGCCTCAATATAGGCACGAAAATTGGTGCGTACTGACGTTGGAGCAGGGCTGATGTCTACCACAATGAGACGCTCAACTAAACTGGGCTGCAAATAACAAAAACACTTTAAGTACAGAGAACAGCAACTAGTGCTTGTTTCCACACATTTTCATAAACACATAAAATTAAATTGAGCAAAATAGTACAACTCCAAAAATAGTACAACTCCATTCTTTGAAATGAAAAAAAAGAAAAAAAAACCTACAAAACACAATACCTGTGACAAAGCCGTAGCCATAGCGACTTTTCCTCCCATGCTGTGACCAATTAGGACACATTTTCCAATGTGCAGCTGGTTAAGCAGATGCTTCAGATCAGTGATCATTGCTTCATACGTCAAAACTGGACTGTGTGTGCTCTTTCCATGGTTACGAGCATCTATGGTCAGCACCTGACTGGACAAAGTACAGTTAGAACACTAGCACAGATACCGACTGAGCTCTACTGTATACTGAGAATACAGAATGACATTCCTATAAGAGTTACTCAAAATGACATTTTTCAGATTAAGATATATTTCAGGCCTAATTATCCATTATGTCAACAACCCATGCAATACACAGTTTTAGTTTATAGCATATTAATCTTTGTTCAACACATGCCACACTTCACCATCCCAGCCTGAGTAATAGCACATGATCAGTAAAGCATAGGATCTGCAGTGAATATTAATACCACAGAATCACAAAAAGACGTTAAATAAATAGTTTGTAAGAAAGTATGCAAATCTCCCATACCTTCCGGCCTGTCCTCTGTACCAGGGACTTGGCTATAGAATGAAAGTTTGATTTGCTCCCAAATAAACCGTGTAGAAAGACCAGAGGTGTGCTGTCCCCTTTCCCATCAAACACGTCATACGTCAAGTTTACAGGGCTGGAAGAGAGCATTCACTATCAGTATGGTAAATACAGGTATGAGGAGTAAACCAGCTCAGCCTACATTTGAGATTAATAAGAACTGTTATAGACTTTTTATAGCCTGGTTATAAGCTCAAAATATGTGAAACACAAATAAGGGTACATACATAAGGTTATCGACCTCTCAAAACTGTCACTGCAGTTTTTTAAACAAAAGGCTCGCTAAATAAATAAATGTCACACTGACTAACGTTATAGCGTAGGCCGACTAGCTAGCATACACCTTCAATTCTCTGTAAACAGCTAAGATTGGCCATACAGCCAAAGAGAATTAGCAGGGTTAGCAGGCTACAGTCTAATATCATGTACGTTATTTCACACGCAGTTAGTGTGTTTAAAAGCAAACTATATTTAATTTAAAAAAAAAAACACTGTTCCTCTGAATGGCCCACCCAGAAAGAGCAAGAGGGGGTCAACACCTGGTAGAGTTAGCAGCGCTGTCACGTCGAACAGAGTCTAGCCGAGACACTCCGCTACAAAAACACTGAGCTCCGACTACAGACAACCACTGCGGCTGTCCGCATAACAGTCCTCTCATGAACCTGCGACACAGGACGCTCATTGTAGCATCTAACACACTTCAGTCAGGAGAAACCATTCATTCGAGTCCACGGCTTGTTTCAAAGGTCGTGATGTTCGGCTAACACGCAGGAGAGACGACGCTAACGTCCAGCTGGTTCCTACGTCATGACGCCGTGCGTACAAACAACTTTGCACTAGGGCTGTTCGATTCCAGAAATGCCAGAGTCGACTCCAAGTGCGATTCCAAATGATGCGAATCGATGGAGTCGGTACCAAGAGTAGTCGAGGGATCCGGACATTCACTTTCAATTAAATAAATATAAATCTAATGATAACAAATTTGACCTTAACAAGAACATCCTTTGGGTGGGAAAACACAGTGCAAAACTCTGTTAATCTAGTTATACGTATTTTATGAAAAGACATTTATTCTCATACAAGCTGACTAGAAAGTGATCGCAAACAAAGTGCGGGCAAATCTGAACGTCACTGTGTGGAATCGAATCCAAATCTTTCATCAAGAATCGACTCTTTTTCCGATCGACTACATTGCACTCTCCCGAGTAAAACGTTACGTGCTTAGTATAGCCTAATCCAGAAACCTGAAGATAACCTAAAGCAACGACCAAACAATACTGCTTGACCTAAAAACTACAGAAGTATTTACCATGAATAAAGTCTGAGATAAACAACTATCGCCACAGTCGTTTTCAGTGATCACCAACATAACCACGCAATGGCGCCAAAGACCACAAATGTGATATTTCCTAATGTTCCCCAACATTTTGATCTATATGGTGTATTTGTCACAGTTTTATTAGCCATTCAGATATCAAATCAGCTTAGGTTAACAATTGCATGAGGCAAGCATTTTTTAAATTATTTTTATGCTACCTTCTTTTCATCCCATGCTGCTCTCTCTCTCTCTCTCTCTCTCTCTCAAAACAGCTTTTCATGGTACTGTAGGCCTATTTCTCAACTTGTGCTTATCACTCACACTCACATTCCCATATTGACTTTTTTATTCATACTCTCAAGATTTGGTGATTTTATTTATTTAACAAAGCAAATAAAACACTATGTCACGTAGAAAGTCTGCAAGCACTGAATAGGCCAAGTGTTGGCTTGGGAACAAGAACAAATGTCAATCTTGCTGTGAAATTTGATCTAGTTCTGACACACATTGTAGTTTGAAGTTAACAGTCAATAAATTCCACTGTATATTGTGTTGACATTATAGATAGATTTAGTATATAGTGATGAATCCAAACCCCAACGAACCAGGGGACTCGATCTGTTGTTTGGACAAATGAAGTTTATTCGTTGTGCGCACAGGTTCCAGACAGCCAGCCAGCCCATAAGACAATGGACTGTCACAGTTTTATAGCTGGACTGATGCCAAGATTAGACTCAGCCTATACATGACAAGTGACAGGTGTGACAGACATGACCATATAAGGAGAAACACAACAATAGGCAGCCTAAAATACAACTTTAGCACCTTCACATACAACACAGCACATTTCACAACAATACATTCCTTCAATAGAGTATTTGTGTAGTCTGTCAGCCTACCTGCTTTTGTTGCAGCATGATTTTAAAGAAGGGATGGAGCCAGTGACCGTGTGACAGATCATTTTTAAAAATAATTTTTAAATGCTCCAGTGTTTTCTTTAAATCTGAGGCACACTGCCTTGCCTTTAAATTTAGTGACAAGATATTCTTCACACTAGTGCCTCTAAATCTCCTCTTGTCCATGTGTCACTAGTGCCTGTTACACTCTATTAGCTCATGACTGCTACGTGATGTCACATCAGCATTGCAATCTGTGACAGTAGAGTGTCGAGCTGAGTAAAGGGTCATTTTTAACATCTTATTTTATAATCTTACACTATATCTTTTTATACTAAAAGTACTTTAAAAATAATATGTCTAAAAATAAGAAGTAAAAAAATAAGTATAAAAATATGTATATGTAAAAGTGCGTGTTCTTAGGCCTTTATGGTGGGCCAAATTGAGTATCCTTACAGGCCAGTTTTGACTGCGGACCCCACTTTGGTTTAGTTCTATGCATCAATATTGTGAACAGTAAATGTGTCTGAGTACAAATGAGCCTATTTAGAGAACACAAGGCACTCTCGTATCACAGACTTTTTCATTGCTTTCAAAGGCCACTTTAGTTTATTACCAACACTAACACATTTAACACGTTTTCTGTAATAGGCTGAAAGTGTGCCAGATATTGACACAGTAACCCAGTGAGAGACCTGCAGCTCCTCTGCTCGTTGTGTGAAGGCCGCTTTATCACTGCTCACCTATTCTCATTTGAACGTAGTGCTGCTAATTATGTAAGCATTCTAAAGGGCAGTGGTTGATTATGGGAGATTTTTAAAGTGCTAAAATGGCATTTAAGTGACATTTAACATTTTGTTTTTTTATTTGTATATTAAGCAATGAATTTAATCCCAGAAATAATGGGGTGAGGAGTATAATGCTATTGTGTAAACCAGGATTCTTATTCACATATGTCACATAGACCACACTCTGCCATTTATCTATGTAAAAAAAAAATAATAATAATAATAAAAAAGCAAACTGAAATATAACTTGAGACAGACTTTATCTGACAGGATTAATGTCATGATGATTAAAATTGAATATCTTTTACCAGCTTTTGCTAAGAGTTGTTGTAGGCTACTAAACTGACACTAAACTAAGAGGAGAGCTGTTGCATGACGGTTTTATTTTTTATCTCACTCTGTTACTATCTACTAGGAAATCCATGTTGTGTTGCGTAACTTGCTGTTTTATCAGACAGACACTAGCTTGTAGCATCATAAAGTTAGCTAAGCAAATAATCTAACAGCCAATGTGGTATCGGTCACATGATGGTGAGTTTCATTTCAGCCACTTCCCTTGAAGAGCATAAAGGTTTCATCCATACAACAGGATCAAACCAAAATGCAAAACACCACGACAGAAATTATTAAACACCTTAAACAGCTTATTAGACACATCAGTCTGTCAAATCAAGACACAAAGTAAAGTAGAGTTACATTACTTGTCGGCTAATGTTCATAAACATGTCCTGAGGGTTTGAAGATCAGATAACACAGGAGCTCAGCAGGAGTCATATTTTATAAAATGTGTGCCTTTGTCCAAGGATGGTATTTATTTTAATACTGTACGGTGCTCATTACTCATTCACAGGCCAGCATTATCAAGTAAATGACTGTACTGTAGCAGATAGAAATCATATTTCAGGTAAACCAAGAGAGAGGAAGAGTAGTGGAGAAGGTCATAGCAATTTTAAACATGATAGACTTACTGATAGACTTACTGATGCTACAATCCTTTTGTCTTTGAGGGCCAAAGTGCAATGTGGTGGCCTGAGGGCAAAAAGACGTTTTTAAAAATGTATTTTATACCATTACATGGGATGGCACAGTGACGCAGTGGGTAGCGCTGTAACCTCACACTGAAAAGGGCTGGGGTTTGACTCCCTGGCCAGGTGAGCAGGGTCCTTTCTTTGCAGAGTTTTTCCTACAGTCCAAAGACATGCAGTCAGGTGAATTGGACACACTAAATTGCCCATAGTTGTGAGTGTGTGATTGTCTATGTCTGTGTGTCTGCCCTGCGATAGACTGGTGGCCTGTCCAGGGTATTTCCTGCCTTCTACCCATTGACTGCTGGGATAGGCTCCAGCACCTTCTGTGACCCAGAAGGATAATGTTACACTATTTTTCAACTTTTTACATTTTTTTAAATTAATTTTAAAAACACTTAAAATATGTATAATTTTAAAATAAGAATATAACTGTTTATATTTAGTGAAGGTTTCAGCAGGCCACATCAAATGTCATCACTGGTTGTGTTTGGCCCGCAGGTCCCACGTTGAGCAGCCCATGCAGAAAGATCTACAACAAATTTTAAAACAGCGATTGACACATACACCACCTAAATTCTGTATATTAATGTGTAGATTAATTATGCATTCTGGATGCCCAATGCAATGTAAGGGTAATAAAGTTTAAAGAAAGTCATGGAAGGACAGTGAAATCCTTAGTCCTAATTGTACTCAAAAGGGTCTGAAAGCACTGCTATTTAAAAATATATTTAAAAAAAAACAAACCTAAGTGCATGTTGGGTAATCAGTTACCTTCTAACACTTTTGTAGGTGTTAACCTCTTAAGATTATTAGCAGGGGTCTCATTCAGTTGCACATTGTACTTTCAACCTTTGTGTACACACTTGTTTGTATTTTGCACATTTCAGCAAAAAATTCTGTAAAGAGTTGTGAAGGACTTGCAAGTGAACAAGACTGAACTGGTGGATTTTAGAGATTAACAAGTCTGTTTATGATGGACACAGTTTTAATTCAGTAGTGTCAACAATTTCATTTACATACTTGCATACATAGTGCATACACTGAGTTACATTTTAATATCTGCATGTGGAGTAAAATAAAATATCAATCTAGAATCTGATATCTGATCTGATGCTGTTTTTGAGAAGGCATTATGTACACTGAACTAACCACACTGCCTAGAGAAAGTCTTACATATATATTCTGTAACCTAAACAACCAATAATATAATCTATAATCCTTGTAACTTGACTCTGGATGTGGACCTGGATCCTCTGAATCATTCAGGACCTTCTCCATTTACAGACTAGACCATGTAAACATTGGAGCCTACTATATACCATATTGTTAAAAAGAGTCCCTTTAACACTGACATTTCAGCAGCCAAGTTTAAATAAAGGCTTTGAATAAACGTAGGCCCTTATTAATTTTCTTGGGTTATCTTATTTACACTGTGTGACAAATTTAAAGCTGTTTTATTTTAGAACGATGCCCTGCGATGGACTGGCGTATCAGGGTATCCTGCCTACTGCCCAATGACAGCTGGGATAGGCTCCAGCACCCCACCGTGACCCAGAAGGATAAGCGGTTTAGATGATGTATGTATGTATGTATTTTAGAATGAAATCCCTTCACAGGATCATAAAAGACTCTGTTATTTATTATGTTGCTGAAAGGACAATAACACTAGTCAATCTTTATGGGCATCCGCATGTGAACTGATAAAACATAAGTACAAGTTGGAAAAAAATCACCCAGGTATTGTGTGACTATACTTTATTCTTGCTGGACTATTTCCTCTAAGCCTACATCCTGTTTCTTTCCTTTCTTTTTTCTTGCATATTTATATCATTTCTTTTATTATATATTTGTATATAATTATATAGTACTAAATATATAGGCACAGTGCGTAGTGCTGTCACCTCACACCAAGAAGGGCCTGGGTTCGATTCCCTGGGCAGGCAACCAGGGTTCTTTCCTTGTGGAGTTTGCAGGTTCTGTTTGTGTCTGTGCTGGTTTCCTCAGGCAAATTGAAATACTAAATTGCCCATGGGTGTGAATGTATATGTCTGTGTGTCTTCCCTGTGTGATATATATATATATATATATATATATATATATATATATATATATATATATATATATATATATATATATATATATATATATATATATATATAACCAAAATATTTAATCTCTTAATATTTGAGCACAAAAATTTAAAAATATTTTCTGCACTATGTATGTGGTAAGGCACTGATAAGTTTACATGCCCAGATGATGTACCTCACAACAACTGAATCTTGAGGAACACCACACAACTTTGTTTCTCTGATACAGTGTCAATGCTGTCAAATATCTGCATGATATGCCTGAAATGACTAAAGTTACCCTTCGTGAAGGCTGACCCAATTTTCAAAGAGATTCGCAGTTTCAAATCCTCTAGAATCCAAGAGGAAAGGAATAGATTACTGTTATCATTGTTTAGTCATAAGCTATTTGCTGATAAAAATTTATAGCACTTATCCCATCTTCAGATAAGGCATTCATTGCCCTTGTTCTAGTGTGAAAAGGACTAAGAGGACACGTACACATTTTGAAATCTATAGATAGAATGTCATTGTATGCTGTAGCATTAAGATTTCCCTTCATTGGAACCAAGGAGCCCAGCCCAAACCGTTAAAAACAGCCCTAAAAGCATGAAAAACAGGCTGCTCAGCTGTCATTGTCACCATGGAGACCCAATTAATGAAGCTCCTGATGAACAATTGTTGCACTGATGTTTGGAACTCAGTAGTAAGTGTTGCAACCGAGGACAGATCATTTTTATGTGCTACATTCCTCGGCACTTAGCGGTCCTGTTCTGTGAGCTTGTGTCGTCTACCGCTTAACAGCTGAGCTGTTGTCGCTCCTAGATGTTTCCAGTTGACAATGCTAGCACGTACAGTTTACCAGGGCAGCTTAAGCAAGGTAAAAATGAGACAAACTGACGTGTTGGAAGGGTGGCATGCTATAAACAAACTCACACTGAAAGTCACTAAGCTCTTTAATATGACCCGTTCTACTGCCACTGTTTGTCTCTGTAGATTGCATGGCAATGTATATAGTAGCAACAGCAAGAAAATGAATTTCAGTGTGCATCCCCAGTGTGAACGTCTGCTATCTTGTTCAGGTTAAATGACTGGGGACAGTGAGTGCCAAGGCACAATCTAACTGGCAAATCAGATTGCAAGAATCAAGTAGCCAATCATGTTGCAGTATTCAAGTAGTTAATTAGAGGACTGGACACAATTGGCCAATCAGATTGCAAGATTTAAAAGCCAGTCAGATTGCAAAATAAATTGAAATAGCCAATCCAAGTCCTGGATCCACTTTGCCAATCATAAATAGCCAATCCCAGCCCTGGATCAAGTTTCCCAATCATAAATAGCCAATCCCAGCCCTGGATCAAGTTTGCCAATCATAAATAGCCAATCCCAGCCCTGGATTTAGTTTGCCAATTACAAATAGCCAATCCCAGCCTTAAATTCAGTTTTCCAATCATAATACTGGATTCAGCTAGCAAATCATCTCCAAAATAGCAACTTTTCAGGAAAAGGCAAAAATGGGGTTCTTAACCTGGGGGTCACAAGGGTGGTGCTGTATATCTCATAAAATACAGACAAATAATTTCGACAAATGGCTGGCAAAAAAGTCATATCATAAATATCATATCATAAAAAATGGATTTGTTTCCAGTCGTGTTAAAACTCACCTGATTTTTGCTCCACTGCTGTGATGAAAATAGCAAGACATCAGTCCGGGATCTCGGCTTTAAGTTGATTATGAATGTCTGTTGAAAATTTTTTTTTGGACGGTGACAAAATAGGCCATGTGCTAAATTACCGCTCTAGATAAACTTTTGTGTCTTTTCAGAGTATAAGCAAATATGGGAAGGCAAAATGTCACTTTTGTGTAATACTGATGACACTGTATACAGACGGACCTGCACTACATACTGGGAGCAGTACTAATGGCAGATTCACACTATTGTATTCATATTCTTTTAGTTTCCCCTGGCAAATGCTGACCTTTTCTTTACTTCCTCAGGAACACCCACTACAACTGAAATTACCTTAGAAACCATCATATCACCACAGTTGTCAGATGACCTGTCTAAAACTTGACAGCTTGGAAATGACTTCTACATTTCTTGTTGCCTTTGCTTTAGGATATGTTGTTTATTTAGTGGCGATGGTGTTTAGATGTTGTGAAGAAAAACTCCGCAGATACTGAGTTGCTAGCAAAAGATTTATTACATAGTAAAACAGCATCATATCAAGCACTATAGAGCACCTGAGAGAGGATCCGTGCCAATTCTAAATGTCCTCCCCGGAACAGACTGACCAACAGCATATATATATGGTTCTTGTTGAAACAGGAGACAGAGCATATGGTTCTTTTTAAAATGATCTCATCTATCTGGACCTAAGAAAAGAAGTAGGGAGAAAGTAAGAGGCCCCCTTCCTCTGGACCTTTAAATTAAGGGGCTTTAAACCCAGAGGCCCCCCTGGTTCACATTCCTATCCCCTGCACAAACAGAGCACACAGGGCACTCCTAGATACTTGGAACTTCAGACATCAGCTTATATTCAATGTTAAGAGTGTTTTTGCCTTCTTTTATAAAACTACTTTTCCAAATACACTTCAGATACAAAACTAGAATGACTTGTAACAAGCTAATCTCAGAAATTAGGTTTGCTTATCTTGTACTCTTCAACTGCATATGTTTGTTTTTATGTGGAAAACCTGTGTTGCTGTGCAGATCTCTGCTTTATTTACTGACCATGAACATTTGTGTAAAAACCAAGTAATTATACTAAAAATGCTACACAAGTGAATTATGGTGATAATATGTAGATTAAAGTTTACAGTTACACAAAGCAGAGTGGGATTTGTTTGCTTTAAAAGTGGCTCCTCCATCTTTAAGAAGTGGAAAACAGGGCGTGAGGCCCAGGTGTATTGTCTCTATGGTAACTCTGCTTAAGAAAGGTGTGTTCAGTCTGTTTCTGTGAGCAACAGGATCCAAGCATATATTAACTCACAACTGAATAAAACTGTCCGCTACATCCTGAGTGACTGAGACTCTCTATCCATAGTATATTAAATATGAATGCCCATAATGAGCAATAAAATGCAATGAGGCCACTGATGATCTCATATGTTTATTTCCTGCCATTGAGTGTAACAGACATAGACTTATGTAGTCAAGTAGACAAGAGTTTATTTAAAAGTGCACAAACAAAATGAAAAAAATCTGAAAATTATGAATATGACAGAGTAATAAAAACCACACACTGTTTTACCTGATATAGAGCTTTTTGCCTGAATAATTTGATGGCTGTATTTTGAAATTATGTCCAAACTAAAAAAATAACAAAAATGGAGATTTGGCTTTGTTTCATCACACACATATATACTGTGGTATACAAATGTTGGGTCATCACTAGTCAAACTACATGTTTTGTTGGTTTTCTAAGTGAAAATAAGTTAACATATCCTCTACAGATTATTTACTGAATGTAACATATTGTAAAAAAATAATGGCACAGTTTTATATTTTATGTTTTTTTTTCCCCAATATGTTATAGATGTAAATAGAAATTTGTTCCCTGAAGAGAATGTATTCAACAACAAGCATACATGCAGGCACACACAAACACATATACACATACACACACACACAGCTCTCTCTTTCTTTCTCTCTCACTTTAATTTGTCTGCCACCTCCTATAGCAAACAGTTCTACTTTTCGAACCTTTGTATGCTAAGACATTTTGCAGTGTGTATTCTGTATACCACCCAGCATTTTGTCTTCTTTGTTGTTATTAGGGACAAAGTAAATAATGTCAGCGGTTACAACACTACACACAGAGTTTGAAATATATCTTAAAAGCCTACTTAATTTAATATTGAGTTTAACTGCTTCTGCTAAAAACAAACAATTCAGTGAAATGACACACAACTAACTATTGCATAGTTTGTACCTTTTGTATTTAAAATTGAAATGTAAAATGTTAACACATGCACAAGCAAAATCCTTACAGTTTAAATAAAAAAAACAAACACTGAAACACAGTCCCGCATAAAGTGTTATCTAAAAGCATATGGAAGAAGAAAAGAAGAGTAAAGTAGGGCTCAGACATAGGATCTCAGTTCCTGTCCCTGCTCAGATTTTCATAAACAAATACATGTAAAAGGGGATCTCTTCCTTTTACCTCACCGCATGAGTCATGAGTTAGAAGCCAGTGGACACACCATACATTTATACAAGTATAAAACTTAAATTTTTTACTCAATGTATTTTTTTTCAGAACAAATATGATTGTTAACTAAATGTTTACATATACAATGAAATATATTTAAAAACCTGCACAAAATAACCTTGTAGTCCTTGTATATAAAAAGGTTTATATTACACTAAAAGGTGCAGACAATTTCAGTCAATATAACAATAAAACATCATAAAAAGACAACTATTTTAAGCCAAACGTTTTTAGAAGGACACTAAACAAACACAGCAAACAGAGCGCAAAGCAAATATTGACAGCATAACAAGGCCCTTCATTTCGGAGTCTTCTCAGAAGTTTCTTGAAATTATGAAACCACACTCACATTTTGACCTATGAAATGATAAAATCTTCTTTTTGAGCATTTTCAGACGTAGTCCTTCCTGTCGTAGCCGCTGGTGGAGCGTGGAGCAGAGTAGCCCAATTTTGCAGGCTTGTACCTCTTCTCCCGTGGGGGGCAGGTGCAGCACAGTAAGGCTCCTCCAATGATGAGCAGGGCAGCAGCCGCAAAGCCAAGGTACAGCGACGCTCCGAGCTCTCTGCGCTGACTGCTAAGAAGTGTAGGGTTGTAGAAGTCCTGGATGATGGTGTTGCTTGACCAGGAAACGGGGATGAGCTGGAGGATGCCAGCAAGGATGAATAAAATCCCGGAGACGATCATGACTTTGGCCTTCGAGGCTTCGTCCTCGATGCAGTTGGTACACTTGGCTCCCATGATGGAGATCATCACAGCCAGCACAGCCAGGATAATGGAGATGATGACCATGGCTCGGGCAGCCTGCATGTCCTGAGGAAGAGCCAGCATGGAGTCGTACACCTTACACTGCATCTGCCCAGTGCTCTGCACTGCACAGGTCATCCAGATACCCTCCCAGATGACCTGGGCTGTGACTATGTTAGCACCGATAAAAGCTGTGACCCTCCACATAGGCAGAGCACAGGCGACAATACTAATGATCCATCCCACTAGACCCAGGGCAATGCCCCCAATCTCCATTCCCATCGACATGGTGCTGTCTTCCTGTGGATGCTCTGGCCCTGAAAATGCAAAAGCAAAGAGGCTCAATTCAAAAAGAGCACCTGAAAATGTCTTCACAAGGAAAACATGTTTTCTTTTTTTTTTTTACCAGAATTCTCCTTTTCCTTGCTATTTTGGCCAAGCGATTGCTGTCTCCACCCTTTGTGTAGCTATATGATGTGGTGATGCTGTGGAAACAAGCTCCTTTTATATTTCCAATGCGACAGGTGAGGGAGGTGGAGATGATGACATCATGAAGCAGAAGGGCAGGAGTCTGTAGATTGTCTATACAAAGCAACACCTGCCTCCTCTCTGCTAAGAAACACAATGAGGAAGTGTTGCTCACATAAACCAGTACTGTTGGATGAAACTGACTCTGCTGCTAAACACTGAGTTGGAAATGAAAGGTACATTCCAGGAACTAGTAGGGTATGAAATCAAATAAAGCCATACCCTGTGTTTGCTTGAACTGGAGACTTTGAATCTATGAACAGTTCACACGTGTCACCCTAGAACTGGTGTAAGTAAAAATGAAGTGCTGAAATGCTCATAGTTCTATAATCAGATCAGACACAAACTGTCTATACTTCTCTGGCCTTAGTGGAGGAAAACAGTGGAAGAAATGTTGTTTTGGCATTTCCCTCAACAAAGAAATTTCAATGAAAAGTGATCACACCTAGTTAAGGGCTCTGTCACATCAGCTATATGTAAAAAGCTGTTCCTGCTGGAATGAAAGATGTTCCTGTTGCACCGAAACTTTGAATTTCCAAATAGATAATTTTACTGTATGTTAATTCTTAAGTAAGTTAATGTAATGACATTTTATTCCAAGTAATGGTGGATCAGTCATGAAATGTTCACAGAATTTAAAACTGGAAAAAAGGAGAATTTCCAAGGTTTTTATATGACAATGATGACCGTTTCCAGCTGTAGTTCTGTAGGATAATCAGAACAAATACGAAAGGAAAGCCAGCCCACCTTCAACCCCCTTACCCCCGCCCCTAATACACACAAATAGTGGACAGGTGTTACTTCAGCCACCATTTGTTTCCAAAACACATTTTAGTTAAATTAGTTCGGGGTTTTAATGACTGTGGTCACACTGCTGTCTTAAAAACGAGGCTCTGAGAGCTTCTGATAGAGTGACTTCATTTATGAGAACGCAATGTTTAACTGTAACTAACAATGGAACATAACAATAAAATCCAAATTTAACCCCTTAAATGGCCAGTGCCCACCAGCAAGCCTAAAGTTTTATTACACACTTCTATAACCTAAGAACAGCTCAACTAAATTGCAGTGAAGTCCCTATAGTTATGGAATAATAAGCCTTAGTATATACTAACCTGGCATATTAAGGGGTTAAAGGCATTAAATTCAGTGTGTGACTGAATTGTTAAGTAGCTGAGAACATCATATATATAATGTTCTCTCTTTCATATGTTTTAAATTGACACGACATTTTAGAGAAATTGTATACTTTTGAAACAAGACAGCATTTCATTACCCCTTTATTAATCTGAAAATGGAAATGCTCAAATATAGTATATGCATTTATTGTGATATATTGATCATGATATATTACACTGCAGATCTGCTGGTAAATGAGTTTGTATGATATAAAAATGAAATATAGACACGTTATAATATAATAAAAACTGCAGGTTGATGTTCAGCGATATTTCAACATCATTTCATGATTGAATAATGACTCTTACTTTAAAAACCTATTAAGAGAATTTACTCTTTTTTACAGTGGATTGTAATCACAATGACACAAGTAGCAGATCAGAGAAAATAATCAAATATGACAAGTGAAAACATCTTGTGACACTGTAACACCAAACATAAGAGTGAATACATTCAAAATAGTCAGTCTAAATTCTACTTCAACTGACCTACTCTAAATTTATACAAAGATATACAGTGCAACCATATCTTAAACAGTACACTGTAAAAATGACTCAACTTAAAAAGAAAACACTTCAAATAATAAGTTAAGAGGATGTAAAACAGATTAATGTTCTGTTAATTTACTATCAGAAACTATGTGAATTATTTTTTCGAATGTATATCGCTTTTTTCATCAAATATTGTACCAAGATTGGAGTGGTAGCAGCTACTGATTTGATTAGGAAACAAAAAAAGAGAGTCTTCAGAATAGGAATAAATATTCACTTCAAAGTGTCCTTGAGAATGTCTGTGTATTGGGCTGTAATAGCCAAACTCCAGGTAAAACATTCCCAGCTTTGGTCACCTGAGCTCACATGGCTAGACTGTCCTTCCCCCGAGGCAGCAGACAAAAAAATAACCAGAACAATGCTGAAATGCTGTTGTGATGTTTTCAAACATAGTCTCTCCTGGTGTACGAGCTGGGGGCCATTGAACGGTTGGTTGAATAAGCCATTCGAGTTGGCGGGTTGTACTTTGTGTCGCTTTCTCTTGGTGGACAGCTGCAGCACAAAATGGAGCCTCCTATCAGCAGCATGGCTGCAGCAGCCCAGCCCAGATACAGTGAGGCTCCTATTTCCATCTTCTGGGACTCAGGCACGAGCGGACTGTAGAATTCCACAACTATGGTATTGGCCGACCAGGACACGGGAATGAGTTGTGTGATAGAGGCAGTTATAAAGGTGACACCAGAAGCAATCATCACACGGGCTTTCGACCCCTCATCCTCGATGCAGTTAGTGCACTTGGCCCCCACCATGGAGAGTAGAAGTGCCAGGACGCCCAGGACAATGGCCACTACTGTCAGCGCCCGAGCTGCCTGAAGGTCCTGAGGAAGAGCCAGCATGGAATCATAGAACTTACACTGCATCTGTCCAGTGCTCTGCACCACACAGCTCATCCAGATGCCCTCCCAGTACACCTGAGCCGTGATGATGTTGGTTCCAATGAATGCGGTGACCCTCCACATAGGAAGAGCACAGCACACGATGGAGAGAATCCATCCAAGAACCGAGAGAGTTATTCCAACTATCTCAAGGCCTAATGCAGACATAGTTTTTCAGTTTCTCTGCGATAGTTTGAAAGAAAGAAAGTTCTCTTCTGCCTCTGAAAGGCTCACCACTTCACGTCAGTGGTGTTGAAGTCTCAAGTGTAGTCCTGGTGCGTGCTTAAGTATGTTTGAAGGCATCCACTATGTCATGTCGCACTCAAACAAGGCGGTCTGTTCTGGCTCAGTGGAACTGCCCTCTGTAATCTTTATAATGTTTAGAGAAATGAAGGTTGACCTACCTACGATCTGACATCAGATGATAAGGTGCGATCCCGACATTGGCTGGCCTTCCTCATAAATAGAGTGCAGATCTCTTAATTACCTTTTCGCCCATTGTACAGTTTCAACATGTCTTGTTTATTGAAACCAACTGAAGAATAATGAATGGCCAAGGCTGGGCTTGTAACTTGATGTTAATGGTTAGCAAACAGAAAGGGTGGTAGTATTGCAAAGCAGGACATATTATGGGAAATTACTGACAGCAGCCCTGACAGTGGATAAACATTGTCCATCCCAGACAGGATGCGCCTTTAAGATGTAACAAATCACAAAGACATGTTTATGACATGTACCACAGTTTCGTGTTTGTGCGTTTTAACCTAATATAAAACTCATTGTTTGTTATTTAACAACTAGTAATTCTAGTCTAAGTGTAGATCAAGAGAGCATTTAATAGATCATAAAAACTAGCAGTATAATGAATATGTTTCTATGAATAGCAGTATTGGCCCATATTCATGAAGCTCCTCAGAGTAGGAGTACTGATCTAGGATCTGTCCCTGTCAGTAAAGTCACAGTAAATAAGAGGGAAATCTGAATCCAAGCCATTATGTGCAAGTTTCTCTTTACATTGAATGCCTTACTTAAATGAGTTGGATGCTATTAATGGTGAGCATTATGAGCTATTTTTATTCTGAAACAGTGTGCTCACAAAGAACAGTGTGCTTTTATTAATGAAAGAAATATCAGATATTATTGCAAACACAATTTGCAGTTTATATACAGTCTGCAGTAAAATATATTTAGGAATAATTATCAGCCAGCTTATAGTTCTTAATGACAATTCAGTGAACAGATCAATGCCTTGCAATATTGTGAACATGTACATAATTTTAAGGGCCCTTTCATTTTTTTTTTTTTCTCAGAGGTCCACTTATGATGTTTGTGTGGGTTTAAGTACTAAGTCGTTTCAATTCAATTCATTTTTACAAGACCATCTTCCAACCTAATTCTTTGCCTTAGAAATAAACAGGCTGTTTTTGATTGTATGCCTTTAATATGCCTAAATGATCTTTGTTCTGAGTGGCCACCCTGTATTGTGCCTCATTAAAAAAAGCAGTCCAGGCTGAAATGCTCCTTATAACTTCAGCATGAATGGGTGGAGCTAAACTGTTGCTGGCTGAAAAGATGTGCATGCATTTAAATGCATCAGATTTCATCACATCACAAAAACAATTAATTTAAAATGTGCTGTTCTGGCAGCTTGGTTTCCATGTATGGACTGGGGAGCAGACTGTACATTTTAAAACTATGTTTCATTTAAAAAAAAGTGTGGAACAGTAATAATTTTACATACAACTTCAAATACACATACGCGGACAGAAAACCTTTTGAAAACTTCTTAGAACTATATTTGCAGGAAAACAAACAATACAAATTTCATTTTCTCCATAAAATGCTGAAATTATTGACATTACAGTCATCGCCCATTCAGTAGGATACACACCCAAATCGGTGTACCAGCGACACAACCTAAAGCTTTCACTTAAAATAACAGTGGTAAGACAATTATGTTTGCAACAGGTGAATTTAGCATAACCGAGCTTGAATCATAAATTAAACATGCATGTTTTGGCACTAACAATTCATTATCTTGATGTGCTTATAGATGTATTGCACCCAGTAAGCTTACAGAAAGAAACTCAAGAACAGCCTCTTTCTTATTTATTTTCTAATGTTTGATGTTCTCACTTTTAAACTATACACCAATTTATCATGTATAATATCTGATAACATTCAGGTTCTGTGTACTACAAATTTGTTTTAATTGCCTAGAGACAGATACAATTGTAATTGTAATCAAATCGTTTGTTTGCATTGTTCATTGAGTGCTTGTCATTGTAACAATGTAAATACAGATTATACAGCACAAAAAAGAGGCTTAGAGCAGGTCCAAAACAACAGGAGGCTGAAAGCTTTAATATGTGTTCCTATTGTGTTCCACTGTGCTAGAAAAAGTCTACATAATAACAGTCTTTTAGATAATATTACTGTTGAAAGGTACAATTAGTATTTTGTGTATTTACTGTAAATCACATAAAGCTACTTCACAGCACAGAGGTCCTAGAAATGGGACCCAGGACCAGTTTTACTTCTAAATTAAAATGATTCCTTTTTCAGCAGTCTTGGTCGTGTCTTATACTTCTATCTGCTTTTGTATCCAGGAAACACCAATAAACAAACTTTGACATTCTAACAAAACATGTACAAGACACTAATAATGATAAATATAGAGAAAGAGCAAGAGAGAGAGAGTTCATATACAATTGTGGCAAAAAGAGAGCACTGAAAGGTTTAAAGTTTTGTATGATGAAGAAAAACTCTGTATAATTTGTTCTGATTGACTTTAAATTATAGAAATTTTGTATAATTACACCTTGGACGAACATCAAACAGTAGCCGTTTTAATCACATTTTTATTCAAATATGAGTCCTGCATGACCATAACACAGACTGATATGGATTAAGTGATAAAAACTTGCTTTTTAGCCGTATGCATTGATAGATTTGAAACGTTTCTTAAAAAGCTAAGCCACTTAAAAGAATATCACACCAACTTTCCAACATATCTGCATTATATTCTGCCTTAAGATGGAAACAAAGTCATTCAGAATGATTTTAAATGTGTGAGTAAAATTTTTAAAAAATGTGAAAAAAAGTTAAAATCCATTCATGGTGTAGAGATAAACACAGGTAAATGCAGAATACCCCCCTTTTTAGACTGACCAGTAGTTTACCATTATCACCATTACACATAAAAACTCAATACACTTTTAGGTTCACCAGTTGTTTTGGATAGTAGATAAAATAGCTATATTTGTGTTGTAGACATTGGGACCCCTGGCTCCTATAACCACCACTGTAAAGCAATTTGAGTGGGTAAGTTTCTGTACAATGAACCATTTCACATCAAACTCCTCTAACTTCACAGAAACTGAGAAAATAATTAAAATCGGTGGATTCCCCCTCTAAACACAGCCAACCTTTGACTTTTGAATGCCCGTGTTTACCATACATCCACTGCTGATAACGAGCTAGGCGCTGTTTAGTGACATCAGATCGAAGTCTGATAGCGCGTCCCTCCCATAGAGCACAGTCTCTGCTCAGTTTCTGTTCCGTCATCCAAAGCTGGAAGAAACAGCCGGGCGAGTTTCTGTTTGGACTGCTGGTCTGCTCAGATGCCATGTCGCTCCTGCGCATGCGTACGTGTTCGATACTCTCCGCAACGCGCGTGCAGTGAGCGGGCTAGATATGCAGAGAGGCAGTAATACCGGCTGTGCGCGGAGCAGGTAGAGTACACAAACAGTGAGGGTGTGTCTGTGTGTGTGTGTGAGCGCTGAAGGCGATAGTGTACCTGACAGAGTAGGAAAAAGTGTGACCAGTCTGGGGTTAACAGTTACAGCTGTTCTCCAGTCAGTGTAAAAGACCGGCCACAACCTTGCTGTTTCCAAAGAGAGAGAGAAACATGGCCGTCAGTGGCCTCCGGTCGACACACGTTGGCGCTCAAGTACAAAAAGTGTACAATAAACAGTACTGGACAAACGGTAGTGAGGGCTGAATACTGAATACACTGTCCTGAATGTGTTCAGTAATGTATTCCATTACAATACATAAAAAGTGACGTGTTCAGAATTATATAGGGCCAACCCCATTTCTTATTTTTACCCCCTTTGTTTTCGTGTGTCACCTTGCCCCTTGGGATGAAGTTAAGGGGTAGTGGTTGAAATCTTCCCCTATAAAATGGGACAACCCTCAAATAAAGAACATTACTTCATTAACAGGCTACTAGCGCTGCTCTGTAGGCGACCCTGCCAGTCTGCAGTGATAGCAGAGGAGGGTAAAGTTCAGCAACCTCACTGCTGGTCTTTAGTTAAATTTAGGGAATCATATGCCTTCAAAGAGGGGGATACGACAATTATTTGGTATTGCCCATCTCCAATTTTTTGGTGATATAAGGCTGAAGCTGCTATTCGCCAGCTTCTTGTTCAAATTTTCCTGTTCCACCTTAAATGGGGCAGCAGTTCTGACACCTAAGCTGCCAGAATGGAACTGCTGCACCATTTAAGGTGGAACAGGAAATTTAGCTAGCTAGCTACCAAGACATCAGTGTACTGCTAGTGATTTTTTATACTTGTTATGAAGAAACAAACATCAGGACACCCTGCCCCAGGTGTGAACGTGCAAAATGGAGGGGTAAAGGCTAAGTGGTAGGGGCAAGAGGTGAAATGGGATTGGGCCTTTGAATACATTTACAACCCTGCAACAACCCTGCAGAAAACAGATCATGAAAACCATTAGGATTAAAACCTGATGTTTTGCTTTTTTCATTGGAACTGGCTTAATGGTTACCATTACAGACTACTAGTTTCCTGTAGGACACCTTCAGATTCCATTAGGAAACCATCAGATGCCTCTGGAACCAGTTTCAGAACAACTGTTAAACCATTAGAATCCTTTACACTGTGATATCAACCCATCAGGAAAACACAAAATACTAAAGACTATTGGACACCATTAGGAACCAACAGAAACCTTTAACGGCGTACGTGTTCGATACTCTCCGCAACGCGCGTGCAGTGAGCGGGGTAGATATGCAGAGAGGCAGTAATACTGGCTGTGCGCGGAGCAGGTAGAGTGCACAAACAGTGAGGGTGTGTCTGTGTGTGTGTGTGAGCGGTGAAGGCGATAGTGTACCTGACAGAGTAGGAAAAAGTGTGACCAGTCTGGGGTTGATAGTTACAGTTGTTCTCCAGTCAGTGTAAAAGACCGGCCACAACCTTGCTGTTTCTACAGAACAACTGTTAAACCATTAGAATCCTTAACACTGTGATATCAACCCATAAGGAAAACACAAAATACTATTAAAGACTATTGGACACCATTAGGAACCAACAGAAACCTTTAACGGTTTCTATAATTTGTTTCAGCAGGGAATACATCTCAGAATCAGATTTATTGGAAAAGTATGTTGAAAACACACAAGGAATTTGGTTCCAGTCTTTGGTATCTCTAGGATTAAATGCA